CAAGTATAACAAAATATAGAACCATAACGATAACTTATATAACCTCATTTATTTGAGACCATATAATTGACCGAAAGGATTAGATAGATTATGTAATTCGCATAGTCGGCCACTAGGGCAAGACTTCAGGGAAGTATGATGTAATCAATCAAGCATCGTCTCCTTTCTGTCCTCGAATGAAGCACAAAGGACGGGTATATATATTCGTTGACAATTTCCTGTAATGAGGAAAGCAGTAGCAAGGCTCAGCCATCTTCATCGACAATTTCCTAAACATCGTAGCTTTGCATCGGCCAAGATGGCAGATCTGAACATCAACTCGAAATATAAAATGCTCTCAGGCTATGACATTCCAGCGTTAGGTTACGGAGTAAGCAAGTGCTCTTTTATACAAGTTGCCTTGTCAGCTTGAATCTTGATGTCTTTGAAATTGGATTGTTTGGGGCTTTTTGAAGTGAAATTCAAAACAAGAGCTGATGCCATGATTGACAGGTCTATCAAACGTACAACCTCTGCCTCATTGATCTAACTTCTACTGATTGTACACAATCAGACCTGCCGACGTGGCAGAAGATGTCACCCTGCACGCATTCAAGGCTGGCTATCGACATGTCGGTAGGCTTCCCTGCTCGATTTCCATCGGAGACTCCGCGCTAACATACATCACGTTCAGATTCAGCAAGGGTTTACCGTAACGAGCAGCCTTGTGCAGACGCCATGAAGAAGTGCAAGATCCCTCGAGGCGAGATCTTCTTCACCTCGAAAGTTCCCCCTCGATCAATGGGCTATGAGCAGACCAAAGCATCAATAGAATCGAGCTTCAAACAGACCGGATTAGATTACATTGATCTGTAAGAATGCTTCTAGTACCGTACTACATCTGGGTACTGATCTCCTCTGATTGCCCTGAAAGGTACCTAATCCACGCCCCTTACGGCGGCACTGCGGCCCGCAATGGCACCTGGCTCGCTCTTGTCGAAGCAAAACGCGCCGGACTCATCCGCTCCATCGGCGTCTCCAACTATGGCGTTCACCATCTCGACGAGTTGGAGTCTTATATCAAAGAACTCGAAGGACAGTACGGCAAGGGCCAAGGCGGAGAGATCAGTGTTGGGCAGTGGGAATTGCATCCTTGGCTTACAAGGCCTGACATCGTAGAGTGGTGCCAGAAGAAGGGAGTGGTTATCGAGGCTTATTGCCCGATAGTGCGGGGCCAAAGATTCGAGGAGAAAGTCTTGCAAGCGTTGGGGGAAAAGTATGGGAAGACGCCGGCGCAGGTGTTGGTGAGGTGGAGTTTGCAGAAGGTGGGAGCTTTTCAACGGCTAGACTTAAGTTGGAGTGACTGATGTTCTACGCAGGGGTTTGTGCCATTGCCCAAGTCCGTGACGCACTCAAGGATTGAGGAGAATGCCAATGTCTACGACTTCGAACTGACGGCAGAGGACATGAAGTTGCTGCACACTACGGAATACTCGCCTTGCGCATGGGATCCGACGACAAGTGACGATTAACAGGCGAACTGTGCACAAAGGCTGCAGCACTAGACAACGCAAAAAAATGAAAAAGCAAGACATTTGAGATGGTCGGAACTTTTGGCACGACGATCACTTCTGTTCAGGAAGAATGTTATGAAGGTTTCTATTGTTTGTATCATGAGGTATCAATGTCTCCACTTCTATCCCTTGTATAAACTTTGTCTGCCCTATACAATCCGTTTCACAAGGTTTCCTCCCGGCTCAGAACCATGAATATCGCCAGCATGTCCGACGGAACACTATCAAACCATCTAACCATGTCAGCTACCCAGAAACTTGATCATCTCGAGTGTGAACCACCAAACCAAGAGCTCCTCAAACGCATCTCCCCCGAAAGCAAAACGTGCCCGCCTCACAATCGAAGAAAGAGCCGCAAGAGTCTGCGCCAGTCAGCAACGACGCGCCAAGGGCCCCCAGGAGTTCAAGCACACGCACCACCTATAGACCCCGGACCCGCTTCCGCCGGCGCAGGCGCTGCGGATACTGAGCCGATGGCGGCGGATAGTGCGAGGATGAAGAAGAATTCGAGCTTCATGGTGAGTGTCTGACGCCGAAAAAAACACCTTTGTTCTGCCGGATCGAGAATGACGCTGGGGGTGAGGAATGTAAGAAGAGGTAAGGTAGATGGGACAAACGACAAGCTCTACCGGAGGGTAACGAATACTTATACCCCCTCGAACGCATCCGTGAGCGATCTCAACTCGACGGTTTGATATCGGCCTAGCCCCACGCCCGCGACCACCGTCCTATACCTCCCAGTCCGAAACCCGAGTGGGTGCGCACAGGACCTCCACATGGGAACGTTGTCGGGTCAGGCCCACCCACCACGTGTTCGGTCCGTGGCTCCTGCGCTCGCTTCCCACCCTCGATCGTAGGACATTCTCGATGTGCGGGCCCACGTGGTGTGTGTTTTCTTGACTCAAAAGGTTCATCCGCCACGGTTTTTGCTTTCCTGTGGATAAGGTGCAGAGGTCACAAAGGCACTCAACCCAAGGAATGGTCGAGAAACTCTGGAGCATAGTCGGAAGAAGAAGAAGAAGATGCCGTCGGCTGCGGAGGCTAGGTTCGCGCACGGCTGTTTCGGGATGCGGAGGAGACTTTGTGGCTGGCTGTGGCGGCTCTTGTGATGGTTTCTTTTCACTGGGAAAAAGTGTATCTAAGGTAATAGTGTACCCCACCCGGCCGTTGAGGAGCGAGCCCCGTCACGCGGATTCTCGTCTTCACTTTGGCTAGTGGTTTTGGCTGATACGAAGGCTTCAAATTCTTACGGTTTTTTTTGGGTCTGGCATTTACAGGCTTCCAAAGGCTTTTTTTCAATAGCAACAAGATTCGTGTCGGATTGCCATTGAACGTCTACATCTCTTGCCTTGGAACGCGGGTACTTTCAAGGAAAATGTCACTTTCAACCCGAAGCGCGCTTCAATCTTCCCAACAATGGCGTACTTTACATATCTCAAGGTCTTGGCAACGTGGACTTGTTATAAAGAAACACGGATACGGAATGTGTGCCGTTATACTCGGAGCATTGTCGGGACTTTTGGTGGAGGGGCTTTGTCCGTGGGGGCAGGATTGGGACCGTGTGGGGCAGAGGCGAGGAGATGATGCCGGGAGCGCCGAGAGACGAAGGTCATGGCAGATGTCAAAGGCATGAATGAGGTTTGTAGGTTCATTGGACATGTCTCCGTGTATAGCATTATGTATCATAAGGGAATGGAAAGGCCGTACGATATAGGACCGAGATGCGAATATTCAGTCCGACCAGGTAACGCACTTGATCCTCAAAAACTCCTCGATGCCCGCACTGCCATTGAATCTCCCCCATCCGCTCTTCTTGGCACCGCCGTGAGGTAGATTGCTCTCGTCGTGAACGGTCATGTTGTTAATGTGTACCGCACTGTCATCGTCAGCTTCGACTATTTACCGGCACCGTTCTGCCTCATCTAAAGACTGTATGAAAGATTGAAAGGGGATAGGTACCCGGTCTCGATCTGCTTGGCAACTCTCAGCCCAGCTGCCAAGTCCTCGGTGAAAACAGCAGAGGTGAGGCCATATTCAGTATCATTCGCAATCTCAATCGCTTCTTCTTCGCTCTCGACCACGATCAGCGACACGGTCGGTCCAAAGGATTCGATTTGGTACAGATCCATATCCTTTGTGACACCGTCGACGACAATCGGCCTCATGCGAGTATCCGAATGCTCTTTCGCATTCAGGTCTCCAGTCAGGATTTTGGCGCCTTTCGAAAGCGCTTGCTCCACGAGTTTCTTGTTCTTCTGCACCGGCGGTGCATTCACGAGGATGGGAGCCGATGACTCTTTGCCGTATATTTTCTCCATGGCGGCTTTCAGAGCTTCACGAAACTTCTCAGCGATAGAAGAATGAACGAGAATGCGTTCAGTAGACATGCAAATCTGCCCACTATGCAGAAACGCACCCACCGCACAGCCCTCTGCGGCTTTTTCAAGGTTAGCATCCTCAAGAACAATAGCTGGCGCCTTCCCACCGAGCTCCATGAGCACTGGCTTCAGAAATTTCCCAGCTTGAGCTGCAACGATACTCCCGGTAGCAGTACTGCCCGTGAAGTTGATCTTCTTCACGAAAGGATGCTCAATGATCGCACTCGTCACCTCCGCAGCGTCTTGTGGACGATGGAAAATAACGTTCAGAACACCGTCTGGGAGGCCGGCGGCCTTGAGGATGGAGCCGATGGCCCAGAAGCAGCGTGGGGACATCTCAGAACCTTTAAGGACGCAGGTGTTGCCGGCGGCGAGAGCATAAGATATGGCGCGGAAGCCGAGAATGAAGGGGGAATTCCTGAGGATTCTGTGAGGAAATGGGAGCTTTGGGAAGACAAGAAAGGGATACTCGCAGGCGAGTGAAAGAGGGGACTCACCATGGAGCTATGCCAAAGACGACGCCGTACGGTTCCTTGTACATGAGAGCGCTCTTACCTTCTTCGGCACAGACAGGAATGTTGCCGGTAACGGTCACGATCCTGCCGGCTACATCTCTCAATTGCTCAATGCTGGCGGGTACATTGAAGTATGTGGACATTGCCTTAGTAGATCCAGTTTCAATGTCCATGTACTCGCAGACTTCTTCACCGCGGCTCTTGAGTATATCGCTCGCCTTGAGTAGGATATCTCGCCTGAATGAGGGTTTCGTCTTGGACCATGCTGGAAAAGCAGCCTGGGCCGCTTCGACGGCTTCAATGGCTTGCCGTTTGGAGACTGAGGAACCCTTCCAGATTAGTTTGCCTGATACGGGGGAGACTACATCGAAGGTAGTTTCGTTGGTGACTTCTTTGCCGTTGATTAGAAGGGGAACGACATGGTTGGAGGAATGATTAGAGGCGTGTGTGCCATGACTATGACCGTTTGTTGTCATTGTGGACTCGATGTGGGGATGGTAGCCAATGGGTTTGCGTGATAAGATGCTGGGTCCAAATTAAATATGCACCTCGCTCAAATGATGTGAGGAGCTGAGCGCATGGAATTAATACCTAGCTTTGAAGAATATGAAACAATTTTTAGTTTCAAATTTTAGGAAGGTTAAAAGAAGGTAAAGTAAGGATATGTTGTAGTCAATCTGTGTGCTGCGACTCTGGCAGTGCTCTCCGGGTTCCTTCAGCGGCACATCTTGCCGGCTTCCCCTCGGGCCCAGGCCCAGGCCTTGGCGCTTGGCAGAAGCAAGTTAATCGTACTTTCAGAATTTGCCATGTCGACGACATATCTGAACGTCGAAGCTCTGGTGTGAACTTGAGGATCTGAAGATGTTGCGGGCGTTTGGAGTGCGAGATGTTGAAATCATGGGATAAGCGCCATAACTGCGACAATGAAATTATGCTCCTTGATTCAGAGATAGCCAATGAGACGAAGAGGTCGAAATGGTGAGGTACAGAGGTACAGGGAGACGTTGCAGGAAGTTCGTGACCACTATCGCGAGCTTCTCATTCGACGAAAGCTACACTTTCTGGCAGTTGCTGCGCATCGGGGCTGACCAATTCACCATGATTGCAAATGACTGGCGTCAGTAGCAAGTTTGCTTTGACCTCGATTGCGGATCTGTACGAACAATGTAAGCTGCAGATTGGAGTGACTTTGTTTCGACCCATGCTTCTGATGATTCCATACTCTTGTCCGGCTGTGAACCAATTAGGGTTTAGAAATGGTAGAACAAATACCGGAGACTCAGGGCAAATTGCGGCCATTGTTCCAGTCGTGAAGCGATCGACTGTGAAGACTAGACATCTACCCGAGAAGTGAATACTGCTAGAGATAAAGGTAAACACTCTCTCCACTGTTGCTAGGAATTACCCAGGAAAGTGAATACAGCGGCCAAGATAAGCTTATAAAGCAGACGCCAGACACTGATGAATAACGCGGCTGATACAAATATAAACAATAAAGGGAGATACGCCATGTTCCGTCTACACGCGTTTGCCGCCATCATCTTTGCTTAGGCGTCCGGAGCATCTTCTTCTTCAATTTTTCATCTTCCTCCTCATACCAGTACAGCAAATTGCACAAGAAGATCTCTTCCACTTCGGCGAGCAAAGTCTCACCCAAAGACTTTTCCCAACAACCAATCAAGGACCTCTCTTTGAATACTCTTTGAACCCCATCAGAGCTAAGCCTCACTGAGTACAAAGTCTCGCTCAAGCAAGGCAAAGCTTCATTGAAAGCAAGCATTCCTCAGCCATGCGTCCGAAAGAATACTCAGCGCAGCCTGGTTCATCCTTGCGAGAACACATAATCATCGATGATCAAACCAGCAGAGGAACCACTCAACCAAAGAAAAGCTTCTCCTCAGTCACACCTCTAGAGTACCCTTCTAAGGACCCCGCTCACTCCCCACAAGATCCCAAGACCGTCGATACGATCTACAAGATCGTCTACTCGAATCGCCACGAGTACTCACTGAACGGAAACGTGTACATCAGATACGACGTGCCGCCCGAAAGAGACAGCACTGGATGGTTCTGCATCGTCGCCTTCCATTGGCAGGATGTCCAGGCCGAGTTCGAATGCGTCTACCACCCATCGATCAAGCTCTTCGACGACTTCAAACCGGTCGGTGGCAGCTTGAGGGGAGGCAGTGGAGGCGTTCAGAGCGTGCGGATCTCCATGTGGAACTTCACAGACAGAGGTCCCGATCTCAACGCCAAACACACGGTGAAGGACGACAACGAGAACAGGATCATGCTTGCGGTCATGATCATGGGAGATGGGTCATCTGTGAGGCTGCATGGCAAGATGGTGAGGGACGGGGAGGACGAGAATGAGGTCTGGCTGTCGGAGGATGAGCGTGGGAGGTTGGGGCTGCGTTCGTGAGAGGGGAAGATCTGGTACGAAGCCACATTACGTATCGCAGGAGGAACGGAGCTGCTGTCGGAGGGCTTTGGCACTGGTGAGGGGTTGCTTAGAATGCTGAAGGGGAACCTTGGTACTGATTGAGGGGAAGTTTGGGGCTGATGGAGGGAAGGAAGACCGCACTAAACAACGATGAAGGCGTGCAATCATTCGATCGGGGCGAAATTCGGAAGATCTTTACAATGCCAAGAACTTGTCGTGGCAGCTTGAATCACTGCGAGATGATCTAGTGTACCGCCCTGGCAGGGCTTTCCACCATGCTTTTCAGATCTCTGGTAACACCCATGGCAGATGCGCGTCATCGTTTGGCCATTGCAGAGTCCATGAGCACCCTAGCACAACGCCTCGCTGTAATGTTCAGAGCTCACGCCAGGAAGTGCAGTTTTTGCCGAGTAGTCCGTGGAAGCATGCAGTCATTTCCACGACCGCGGAAATCCTCCACGGCACATGCCGGGGCCCCATTCGGCAGGTCGGACACGCATCTTATTTGCTCAAGTAGACAACCAAGAGCTGCGCGGTGTGGCTCTGACGTTCCTTGGTAAGCTGACGGAGCTGACCGGTGACCATGCTTTGACTTGTTGAGTGACCTGGCGACATCCAAGCGTCAGATAATCCAATCACGAAGAAGCATCTAGGTAGAGCAGCATGTTCGGGCGATCTCGTGCGATCTCATGCACTTGCGCGTGTAAGCTTGTGACAAAGCGGAGAGGGGGGGGGGACGACAATAGCGATGAAGGTGGGCACCAATCGGACCGAGACATGCAAAGTCTTCCCCTATGCCTGATTTTCCGGTTCCTACTTGGTTCCGGTTTTGGTTCACACTAGGTAGGTACAATTGAGAGAGTGGTTGAGAGGTGTCAGAGCGCGCAATAACTTACTATGCGACAACACGAGGAGGTACACTGTGGCGCCTGTGCGCTTTGAATGGGACAGAAACAAAGCACCAGATACATTAGGTACGAGTACCTAAAACATTGAAACCACAAAGCAACGGGATCGGGGATCTGACACGGATCTTTTCTTGGCGCAGCGGGTGGCTTTTGCGGGGTACCCGAGGAAGAGAAAAATGGTTTTCCTTGCTCATGACCACCCTGCTTGCCCCTTGCTGCTGATCTTCCACAAATCATCGTCGTCACCGAATCACCGTGCATCGCATCGCATCGCATCGCATAGCATAATAATACTAATATTATTATTATTATTATTAATTTCATGTTCTTCATTTCAAATTGTCATTGTCACTTTCAACCCTGAAGCCCGTCCCTAGTATTGGCTGCCCCCCGCATGCATGTGCCCCCTATTTCCGCCTAGTACGCGCCGGAAACGGGTCTCACTTTTATACGCTCGAGGGGTATTGGATGGTTGTAGGAAATTCAAAACGCACCGTCGGTGCGTCATTGGTCATTGGGCATGTGCATCTGAATCCCCAAAAATGAATCCTTTGGCCATGGGTAGTTGCGGTGTGACCACCTTTGCTGTTTCCAAACCTACACGGAAGGTCCCAATTTCCTCATTCATCATATATAAGGAGAATGAGAATCACCCGCTTTCTTTGTTTTGCCCCCTAAAGAAAATCTTTGTTGCATTCCACATTCCTCCTAGTTCCTCTAAAAACGTGAATGGCATCAACCTGCAAACAAACCTCACTTGATCACCTAACCTACATCTACCAGCGACAAAGATCTCAATCAAGAACACTCCAATAACCACCATGTTGAGCGGCGATACCTTCCTCCACCTCTCTGCCCTTGCCACCATCTTGCTGGGTACCGTGCAATCTGCCCCTCTCACCTTGTAAATTACCCCATGTCCCTTGCCTAAGCAATCTCACTGACCAGTCAACAGCCGCCTCGGCAAGCGTGATGTGGCCTTCGACTACCAGAATGACAAAGTCCGTGGCGTGAACCTGGGTGGCTGGTTCGTGCTCGAGCCATGGATCACTCCCTCCATCTTTCAGCCCTGGGCCACGAGCATGACCGTCGTCGATGAGTACACCTACACTCAAACCCTCGGCAAGGACGCTGCATCTGCTGCTCTGACGAACCACTGGAACACCTGGATCACTGAAGATGACTTTACCCAAATCGGCCAGAATGGCCTCAACCATGTTCGGATTCCCATCGGATACTGGGCGGTTGCTCCCTTAGAGGGCGACCCGTACGTCCAAGGCCAATTGGATGTCTTGGATCAGGCCATTGGCTGGGCTCGAACTGCTAATCTCAAAATCTTGCTTGATCTTCATGGAGCGCCTGGATCGCAGAATGGCTTCGACAACAGTGGCCGCTACGGGCCTGTGGATTGGCAGCAAGGAGATACGGTTAACCAGACCATCACCGCGCTTCAAAACCTCGCTCAGCACTATTCCGGTGACACTGACGTCGTCACGGCAATTGAGCTCCTCAATGAGCCTCTTGGTGGCTCTCTCAACCTCGACGAGCTTAAGACCTTCTACCAGTCCGGCTACAAGACCGTGACCGGAGCCAGCGGCAACTACGCAACCTGCATCCATGACGCTTTCCAAAACATCGACACCTACTGGAACGGCTTCATGACCCCAGCCTCGTCGGGCGACCAGAATGTGATTCTCGACACTCATCAATATCAAGTCTTCTCGCCAGCTCAAGTCGCCATGAGCCCCTCGGACCACGTCTCCGCCGCCTGCGCTCTCGGCCCACAACTCGCCGGAACCGACAAGTGGACCATTGTCGGCGAATGGACCGGTGCGCAAACCGACTGCGCCCAATGGCTCAACGGCCTCGGAAAAGGAGCCCGCTATGACGGCAGCCTCGCCAATTCCGGCTCCAGTTACGTCGGCTCCTGTGCCGGCAAAGCCACAGGCACGGTCGCGGCCCTGAGTTCCGACGACCAGGACAATCTTAAGCACTTCATTGACGCCCAGCTCGACGCCTACGAGCAGCACACGGGGTGGATCTTCTGGACCTGGAGGACCGAAAGCGCACCGGAATGGCACTTGCAGAATCTGACCGCGGCCGGCCTCTTCCCCAACCCGCCCACGAGCAGGGCTTATCCGGGCCAGTGCGACTCCTAGAGAAGGCAATCACGAGACCGACATGTTTTGGACGTATCTTGTAAATTACGGACCGTCAACTCGACTTCCCCCACCAAAAGCACCCTCGGCATCACCATCACCTTCGTTACCTGGCTCTCCCATTTCGCCCACACTTGCACCCAACATATCCAGCCATGCCTCCACATCATTTTAGCTCGAGCATCTGCGCTGTTGTTACCACCATTCACCGTCATTATGATACCCACGTGAGGAATTCGCATGTTCGCTTTCAGCCAATCGTTATTTAGCGGAAAAAATATATACCCCAGCATGCGTGGCGCCATCGAGCCTTTTTTTTTTTTTTTGAAAGCATGGGTGGAGATTTCACTGTACGCTACGTTGGTAGTTGATCGGCTACGGAAAACAATAAATCAAAAAGTGATCGCGCAAGCCTTTGACGATGACGACGTTTCGGTCATTTCCGCACCAAGAAAAATTCTCTTTAGAAGTAAACTCCGCTCAAGTCTATGCATACATAAGCACCGTAATCATAACCATGACGCTATACGGACACGACAGCTTCTCGGAACGGGTATAGGTACTCCCAAAAACGGGCACGCGGTAGCAAACAAGCAGACAAGAAAAAGCGCCGCCCGCTCCGGGCCAAAAGCCATAGCCGGAAAACGTCAATGCTGCCTCGCTGACGCCCTCGCGAACGCCGTGCCAAGAGAATATGTTCATAGAAGAAAGAAGAAAGAAGAAAGAAGTAGTGTTTGAGCGCCTGAGCGAAACCTCGGGAAAAAAAAAACACACCCCTCAGCAGATGGCCTCGAAGTCTGCCGGTCCCAACGTCTCGGCGAACGTGATGCTGCCGTAGCCGGAGTCTATGCCGTTGGACTGGAGGCTGTTGATCCTCGAAGGCGGGGATGTGCCGTCTGAGTGGTCGACGACGAGTGCATCTCCATCGCCACTCTGGTGCCTTGACCTTGATCGGTGCGCTTGCAGCAATGGTTCGCGTTCATGCCAATGAGTCTTCGGGTTTTGGGTTGCTTGCGGCAGCGACTCGTGCGCGTGATATGGAAGACGGGGGTCGAGGTCTTCGCATAGTAGACTTGCGGGACCGTCTTTGATGGCCATGCCGACGGCGAGGACGATGGTGAGTGAGAATTGGAACCAGAGACGGAGCGTGCGGCGGGATGAAGGTTCGACGCAGTCATTGCAGGGAAAGAAGTGGGCTTGCTTTCTCGGTTTGGGAGAGGGTGTAGATGGCGGTATGATATTGCTCGAAGGCAATTGTTGAGCTGAGGCATGTGGCGGAGAACGCCAGGAGTCCATTCTCTGATGGCAGGCCCCGTAGTCTCTGAAGTAGTGCTCAGCGGCCCTACTCCTGCTCGCTTCAGCCGTAAAATGATGCCAGTCAAAGTCCTGTGTAGTTGTTGGCTCAACTGTTCCGCTGTCAGCCGTGCGTTTCCGTTTACGCCATCGAGTTCCATAAACCAGACCTAAGAGCCACCATCCTATGCCACCCAGCCGCTTGGATCCCTGTGTCCATGCGTTGAAGAGGAGCCGCCGTGCGAGGACAAGAGGGTCTTGTTTCGTTTGGGAAATGAGGTTTGTGAGGCGGGAGAAGATGCCGAAAGCGTGCTGAGTGGTGAGGAGAGTTGATGGGAGAGCTTTGACTGGTTGGGATGATGCGTATGTAGGTGGGCTTGGCTTTTTCTCTCGCTTCAGAATATCCTCCGATTCTATGAGTAGGCGTGTCTGCTTTGGAAATGCGGCCTCTGCAGGTGCCTTTGAAGGGGTTGGGTCAATGCCCACCATGCTTTGGCCGGATTCGGGGCTCTCTTCGGGACTCTCTTCCATATCAACAGGTATCAAACCATCCTCGAATAGCTCGGGGGAGGCCAAAGCTTGTGCTTGCCCAGCCTGCTCGATTTCGGCTTCTTCAAGCTCTTTCCGAAGGCTCTTTGGCCGTGACCGTCTTTTATGATCTTCTGATGGGACTTCTCCAAATCCAAAAAGCTTCTCCTCAGATTTCGGGACGACCGAGGGAGAAATTTGTTCGTCGTCCAGGTGTTCCACATCCACGAACCTGCCCTCTAAAGCCTTTAATGTCTGCTCTTGTGCCCAAGACGTCGAGCGATGACGCCCAGGTCGATCAGGGGTAGTGGTTGGTGAGCTATCGACGGGTTTGGATAGAAAGGACGTAGTTGGATCGAGCGAGACTTCCGAGATGTCTTGTCTCGCAGTAGCTTCTATTGATGGGTAGATAGGGGCAGATACAGGTAACGGAGGTACGATAGTTGCGGTAGGTAAGATCAGAGGTCGGAGAGAGACTGAACCAGAGGGAAATTTGCGCATCTTTCGCTGCTTGTTGGCTGATCTGGCGTCGACGTCAGCGAGATGTGGCAAACCCCATGATGCTGGACCAAAAGAACCGCTTGACCGGAACGAGTTCGGTCTTGATGCAGATGATGGCGCAGAGCGGAAGGAACCTGATGTTCTCGATCGACTTTCAGATCCAGACTGCCTAGACTGCCTTCTGTAGTCAGGCGATCGCACGCCTTCCTCATAAGAGGGCGACTGTAAACATTGTCCATCAACATCCTGCACAGCGTCCTCGGGCGACTCCACAACGCTCGGTGACGATTCAATGTTGCTGGGCTGCCAGAATGCAGACTCCGAAACCGTAGACAGTGACAGCCGTACGCCTCCAGATGGCGAAGGAATCTTTGGAAGCATAGACTTTGGCCTTGATGTCCGTTTGATTGGGTCAGCTCGGACTGGAGATGTTGCTGCGGAGCACATGTCAAGCTTGTTCGGTGATTGAACAAGAAGGTTCGCCAAAATCTCTATCCTTTTCTCCAGACCGATGTTCACTTCTTCGAGACCTTCTGCATCCCCAACTTTGACTCGCATGCTCTCGACCTCCCACTCCAGCTCTGCTATTCTTGCATCCTTCAACTCCATGTCATTTTCCAGCGTCCGCAGACGTATTCTCAACTCCATCTCAACCTCTAGACGCTGGTCCCTCTCTTCTTGGACTCTGACGGCGAATTGCTTCTCCCAAGCTGAAAGATCCTGACGTAAATTCCGATTGTCAACAGTAAGTGCCCTCAACTTTGCGGAGCGGAGCTTGTTCGTGTTAGGTGACGTGAGGGAGTCGAGTTTCGCGTTGACAGAAGCTAATTGAGACTCGAGATGCTCAATGTATGTTGAAGCCTCGGAGCTGGCTGATCGAAGATTGATGCGTTTGAGATTCCGACCCTTTACTTGCTTCGTCAATGGGGAACTGAGCGGTGCTGGAGGAGTCTTCTGGTTCCCAGATCCTTCCCTTAGCTTCATCATGTTGACCGGAGTTGCGGCCGAGGCCGCCGGAGAGCAGTTGCGACTTCCTTCCGCGTACCAAGATGTCTCACTAGCTCCATTCATTTCCCCCGTCTGAGTGTTGTCTTGAAAAATGGCACCAAAACCTGGTCTTGGCGATGAGCGCTTCTTTCTTGTGGACTTCTGTATCTCTTGCAGGATATTCACCGGGCTCGGTGGTAGATCTTCGCCGTACATTGATCTCTTCTCTGCGCTCAAGGAGCTATTCTCGTTGCTGACCTGGCGACTGATGGACTCAACCGCGGTGGATGATGTTGTAAATAGCGGACTTATGCGCCGAGTAGGAAAGATCGCTCCTCTGAATCCAGCATTGCGTAAATGTAGTCGCCTAGTCTGGTGACTCAGGCCTTCGTTCTGCTGTTGCGAAGCCAGCGTCGTTGGTGATGTTATTGCGCTATAGCTATGTGACGAGCCAATTGCTTGACTCGATGTAGTACGTCCATCGGGCAACGGATGTGCATGTGTGGAATGCATGCTTGTATATATTTGTCCTCCATTCCTCGACGTGAATAGTCACTTGTAACGCGATTGGAGGCGAAAGGCAATCCCTCTTAGAAGTCCAGTAGGCGGACTCGGTGGTCGTCACAAACCCTTAGCCATGATTGAGATTTTGCCAGACGCGGTTTCTGCATGTCGTGGCAGCGAATTGAGTGACAGCTTCATTTTGATCTGTTGGTGTTGAAGATTTGGCCGTTTGGCGCTGCTTGTGTTTGTTTCAGAAATCAGGGGAAATTCGATGGTGGGTATCGACGCTAATGCACGCCACTTTCTCTAAGTTCCCACACCAAAGTTGAGGCGTAAACAACAGTCAACAGCAAAAGTGAATCAGATTTGATACATGGTGAGAGGGTTCGTGGGTTCACTCTACACTACAGAGTTTCTAACAAACTGACGAGGGTAACTCAAAACAACTCTACTCTAAGAGTGTGGCCTTTCGCAGCCAGCATACTCATCTACGCATCATCCGCCAACACAACCTCAATCAAACTCTCCGTTGCCCCCTCCCCCTTCCAGATACCACTAATCTTCAAGCCCACACTCCCCACCAGATCTCGCCACTGCGTCTCTGTTCGTTCGCAACTCCCAAGGCATACCATCATGGTCCAATCTAGGCTCGTAATCTTCCAGTCAGCGTCTCGATCACCGACCACGTTCTCATTAATCAAGATCTTCGAATGTTCCGGTTTCAGCGCTTCTTTGAGTTGCGTGAGTATCTTGCGCGCGTTGTCATCGCTCCAATCGTGCAGGACCGAGTGCATGTAATAAGCTTTCGCGCCCCTGACCGGCTGCGGCGTGAAGAAATCATGCACTGTGCATTCTATACCTGGCCGATCGCCCTCCTGAATCGAGGAGATGGCCTGGGCTTGATCTTGCAGGATCAATCTCCCAGACATGGTAGGCGCTTTGTCGTGGAATTCCGCCAAATCATGTCCCGTCGCTCCACCCACATCCACAATCAACACCTCCCCCTCCCCCACTCCCCTCAAGCGCTCGGTCACGGGATAGAACCCATCGTCCATCCAGTGAGGCCGCCCCATGCTGTAACCAGCCATGTGGTTCTGGAAAGCCGTCTGCATGCGCGGATCGGCTGCGATCCATTCGAAGATTCCTAATTCGCTCTTATGGCTGTATTTGAAGACGCTGTCGTCTGTGGGGATGATGTGGTTCGTGCTGCGGAGATAGGCGGGCAGACGGGCGTGGGAGGGGAGTTGAGCGTCAAAGGTGAAGATTACGCCGTCGTAGAAGATTTGGTCTGTGAGTGCATTGGAGAGGGCGGTTGGGGCGTATGTGTCTTGGAGGGTTTCACGGATGATGAACATGCTGGCGAGGTGTTTGAGCATGCGCCCTGGGCGATGAGGGAATCTTGTCAGTCCTCGGCACTTACTTCAGATCATTCCAGCACTACGACAACTTGGGGGCTCAAGTCTTGCAAGAGGAAGCATTCATTGGCTTCACCAAGGCCTGCCTCTAAAGGTCTCAGAGGAACTCACGTCCTCAACCCCCATGAGTCCGAGATGAACCCTCCACTCGACCATTTTTTCTGAAATCGGGGAGACACACTGGTAGTCACTCACCAATTAAAGCAGAATCCGTCTTGGTAGCATCGGCGAGCTGCTGGCTATTCTTTGCCTTCCCGTCATCTGCTGCTAGCTTTTCGAATAAGCCTATGTCAATGCTTATCCGGATAGTGGCCGTTCTGGCTGGCTCAGCCCAGCCCATCCATAAGATTGACTCCATAGGTGCTTCCAGAGTACTGATTAAGGCTCTCGCTTTCGCTATCATCTCTTGACGCGTGCTGTCGCCGGTCTCTAGGAGGGATGTTTGGAGAGAAGATAGGTCTTTGATGAGCAACGACGCCCGGTCTACTTGTTCGGCTGCTGGGGAAAACATCCTTAGTTGAACTTGGGATTTCACAGTACTGCTTTCTGATTGAAAGTTTTCAGGAAACCTTTGGCTTCAATGGGAGGGGAAAAAGGAATAAAAAGGTCGCCAAAAACGTTAGCTGACCTTCGCTTAAATCCAGAACAGCGCCGTAATGTCAGACCAACACAATGGCCTTGAGGCTGAGTAAGACTTGGTGCTTGTATGGCACCGTTGAGCTTACGCAGTGCTCTCAATGGTTGATCCGAATCGAAGCTATCTACACGGTCCGTGGTCTGTCCGTGGTCTGAACTGATCCGGATTAGTTTGGACTGACCGAAACTCAATTAGGTAGGTAGGTAATATCTCGAGATAGTCACAACGCTGTTCTACGCGCCTGTTATTCTTGATGTCGGAACCGGTAATATCTACGAGTAAAGCGATTGCTAGATCTGTAGCGAAGAACTTTCTCCAGGAATAAAGTCCATTTCTTCTCTCAACTCTCATGTCGGTTTGTGGAGTTCTCAGACAGCATTGGAAAGTCTTTGTGAGAGCTCAAGCTGTTCAAGTTATGAGACCTGATATGATTGACAGTGCTTGGAAGAATAATAAGACTGTGCCATGAGATGGCGTCTGTACAGATGAAACTCAAAATCACGCGAATCAGGATCAATGTAGTTGTCATGTCGGCCTACTTTATTACTGGTTTTGTTATCTTCTGGCCTGCAAATCACATTCTGCTTTATTATGCACAATCTTACTGTGCGGCGTCCAACCCGAGTCTATCTCTGACCCAAGGTCAATACGCGTGGCGAGCACAAGAGCCAAACATCAATCTCCAACATGAGTGAACACCAGCGTGCAATACTATCTTGACTCTCGGTCACAAGGCTTCAATGTTTACCTAGGGAACAACCAACGCCAATTCACGCAATGTTTCAGTAGTGTTTGCATCAGTTTGCCACAGACGGTCTCCAGCTATGAATGAGCCCCCTTTAATAGCCTAGACGATTTTGTCACTAATCGTCTGCGGCCTGGGAACCGTATCCTTGAAGCTCTGCCTTTCCTCCAGGTCCTCGCTGTATCTCGCTAAATGAGGGTAGGTCTCCCTCCATGAATGCTCAGGAAACCTGACTTTCAAGTAGCCAAGGACCGATCCCGCTGCAATATCTGCCAGTCCAAAGGTGTCGTTGACGAAGAATTTCTTGTCGCCAATCCAAGCTGCAAGCGCCTTCAGTCCGCCATCTACCTTCCTTCGCTGCCGTGCCATCCACTCCTCGCTCCGCTTGCCGTCTTCCCTTTGTTGTTCAAAGAACAAGAGCACCAGCGCATCGCAAATACCATCGGCCACGACTTCGACCTGTTTGGCAAAGAGCGCGCCATCTACATCATTTCTTGGCAGCAGCTGCATTACATCGGTATACTTTGCTTCGATGAACTCCAAAATATAGTGGCTTTCGTATACGGATTTGCCGTTGTCAAGGATCAAGACCGGTAGCTTCTCGAGGGGGTTGTATTGAGGGGTCTGTGTGGTACTGTCCCATGGCACTTCCGTGAGGAGCTCGAATGGGATTCTCTTCTCCGTGAGAGCGATCCTCACTTTGCGAGCGTAGGGCGAGGGCGTGGCACTGATGAGTCTCAGCATCTTTTGGGATCGCCGATGGGCTTGCGGCTGTCTGGTAGCCAATGGTTCCTTGTTCAGGATTGTCAACGATACGGTTCTCCGTTTTGCCGAAGCCGATGACGCAATGGACGTCAGCGAAAAAGGACCATGCAACAAAATCTTTCAAAAGGGCAACTCTTGAAAGATGAGGAATCTTAATCGCGGAATCGAAGTTGCGAAGTGCATCAAAGTGCTGAATACGGGCACGACGCATACCACTGAGGCGCAGCCATGCGGCCGAAGTTGCTTACGAATAGGTAGGCTGACTGTGAATCCTGCAGATACACACATATTATGAGCAGACTGCTGTTCTTACCAGAGACATCAGAGGAAGCGCATTACGAACACTTGCCATTGTTGATACTGCCGTCTACCAATTCTCTTCTCGCAAGCCATATTCTCGTGTGACTTCCCTACGCTCTCACACGCACACCTGGACCATGGCTTCTCAAAATACACCCCTGGCTGATTTGGAAGCTGCACATCTGCCTCCTCCTTCAAGTACTAGCTCCCTCTCCAGACCGCCGTCCTACATGGAACAAGACATGGCCGAACCTCTGCCCACTTACAAAGACGTCGCTCTAGGGAAGATCCAGCAACAGCGACTTAGATTGCCGAAACCACGTTCGAGGCGCGCTCAAGTCTCCATTGCCACTTGCTTCGCCGTCCTCTGCATCGGTCTAGTTGTCATTCCTCTCGCGCTCACGCATGGACATCTAGACACCAACGGCGATGAATAGCAGGCTTGGTCCACAAACCAGGTTCCGGCAGAAGATGAATCATTCACGAGTGGACCTTATCAAGAACCCAAAAGATTCATTTCCAAAGATAGCACACCGGGAGGTCGACCATTGTGGTGCCACGGTGCGCCGTCAGCGCACATGTTTCTGCGCCCCCAGATGCCATGAGATCTGCCACAAGTGCAGAGGCACCATTGCGGAAGACAGCTGGCGACAGTAACTCGTGCATCTTCGAGGCGAAGTCAACATCACAGAGCGGACGTGTCAACATTCACTGAATGGACTTGAAACCCTCGAGAAGAATGGTTCGATCGGCTGGACCAGCCTTGCATGAATACGGGGTGCGATGGTCTGTGCCGCCCCGAGAGGCTGAGTAAACCTTTTACAGTTCGCTTGCAACAAACAATTGTACTTGCAGAGCTGCATAACCCAACGGGTTTTGCCTTGAGCGAGCGTTTCATGTTTTTAATTTGTGGGCCTCCTGAAATCTGACTGAATACGACCTGGAAATGAACTTCTAATATCTCGCATGAACGGCGCACACGGCGCACAAGGCGCACCTCCTATTTTGTCTGCTTTATTCACCGCCTCGCTGTCGTCCTACAGTCATTGCTTCCTTCACCCAAGTCGCTCTTTGGCAACCCGTGTCTCTTCCGGTCTCCACACGCTCATTATATCTAGTTTTCTCTCTTTATAACGCTCAAACCCTCCAAATTTCGACTCTCTAAGCAAAACAATGCGTGTTACACTTGCGACTCTGGCCATTCTGGCTCATGCAGGACTCATCTCAGCTACCGATGTCTGTGCTCAACAAGCAAAGAGTGACCCAACCCCCAATTGCAATGCAATCAACCTTCCTGGCCTCCATGACATCGTGCCAGGGGGCACGCCGTATACTATCCGCTGGAAGAACAACACCGGAACCTCCGTCTCCCTCGTCCTCTGCCAGGGCGACTCTCTCGACATCAAGGAGATCGGCTGTATCGTGGACCACACCCCTAACACTGGCTCATTCGTCTGGACCCCTGCAACGGATCTCGTGCCAGATGGAAACCACAATTACGGCCTCAAGATTATTGCAGATACCGGCGACTTCCAATGGTCAGATCAATTCGGCGTCTCAAACTCCATAAGTACCTCTTCCTCATCAACACCGGCAGCCACACCTACACCGTCAAAGAAAGCTGTGAAAGAGTCAGCGAAATCCGTAAAGGAATCAGCAAAGTCTGTGAAGCAAGCCTCGGATGGGCAGGTTCAAGAACCAACAGGCACCGTTGAACTCGAGAAGCACCACACCAAGAACACTTCCAACACCATCAAGATTTACGCAACAGGCGAGTCCAAGACCCACACCAAGGTTCACACTCATACCAAGGACCACGTTGCCAAACCCTTCGCCACCGGTAAACACCTCTCCGCACACCTGGTTCACCACGAAGGCGCCAACGCCACTCACATCGTCAAGCACCAGAATTCTCACATCCTACCTTCCGTCGTTGTCACACCTGTGACGGAGTCTGTGACGCCGACCGTAGCACCAAGTGTGCCAACAACGCTGCCAGCTACGACTGTGGCACCACCAACGTCATTGAAGACCTCTTTCAGTGCGGGTGGTGCTGTCAGGGCTGCCGTTACGGGTGTCCCGTTGGTCCTTGGAGCTATGGCTGCTTTGGTGCTGTGAGCTAATCAGAAACCGTGAGGAGCTTGTTGATGGAGGTTATAGAGGGGAAGGTAATAACCTGGCTCTATGTATATATAATTCAATTTGTGATAAGAATCTAGGGTCGGACGTAAAATACAGGGCGTTTGATACCCCATATGATGCCACTGTCATTTACTCCCATCACTCTGTATGATCATGAGTCTTAATAATGGTGACCGCCGGAGCCACGACATCAGTCATTCATGGCACAGATATATCCATCATTTGGGCTCCCTCCACCCAATAGGTATCAAAGCACACGCCACATTGCCCACCCCCCTCTCCGTAGCCAGCAAATTGAACTGCGCAGCCGCATTCCTCGTATCCTGCACATCAATCCGAATCCCCATATCGTTGATATACCTCCTCGTCTCCGGCGCAATCGGATACATGCCCGGCCCCAACCCCAGTATCAATAAATCAGGCTTCGGCCACACCAACCCCAGCACCCCCCACGCGCCCTCCCCGGTATCCCATTGCCCCTTACTATTCAACAGGCGCCCGCGCCCGCCGCCTTCCCACGGCCGCCAGGCGAACGCTTCGCCCGACACGAGCAGCAGGCCGGCGCCGCCGGTTATCTTGACGCCGTTGTCGAGGTGGAAGCCGTCGGAGAGGCAGGCGTCTATCGAGGCCGTGGGAGCGGGCGCGTTGGAGAACACGTCCATGGCGCTGAAGTCTGTTTGGGTGGGTTCGGTGGAGGCGGGGCCGCGGTCAGTGGTTGTGGGGGGTGAGGAGGCGGAGAGCGGGGTGGGGGTTGTTGAGAGGCCGCGCGCATGGCTGCGAACGTTGGTGGTCTGGGGAGGTTGTGGTGATCGGCGGTAGGGCGAGGGGGAGTGCGATGAGAAACGTTTGGGGAGATTTGGTGGTTGTTGGCGGAGAGGGAGGGTTGATCGGATTGCTTCGGTGGCTCTGAGCGCGCGGAGGAGGGGGATGCTTGGGGCTACCATGGTGTGGCTTGGTGAGTATGCAGACTTCAGAAATAGCTTGGACCTCGAAGCAATTGGACAATGACAGGGCAACTAAGAGGATTGTTGGATGAACTTTGAGAGTTTGAACTAGAGTACGCGGTCTGCGGAATCGGCTCTCAACGTCACACAATTTTGATATTTTCTCCGAACCAACCTCATCTCATCTTCTCTACTTCTCTTCCTTACTACGTTCTCTTCTACACGTGCATCTTTACTGGAAACTTGCGCTGTGCAGTGTGATGTTCTAAGTTCAAACCTTTTGGGCTTCTCTATCATCATCACGAACTACGTGATATTTCCTGATTACTGATATTACCCCTCTTCCGTACAGAAAGGGTAGTTGCTCTTGAGTTAATTCCGTAAGCTCTCCGAATGCAATGCGATCTGCTAAGTCTACGTCACCTCTGAGAATGGTTCGTTCACCTTGGCCCAGACTGATATTCTTATCAGGTCCGCAAGCCATCACAGAGTTTAGGTATTTCATCCGAGCAAACCCGCACATCATGCCGATTAGCAAAGGAAGACTATCCAATGATCAAGGTAATGTGCAATGACACGCATGCAACCGGTGCCCAGGACTTTGTCATCTCATTGCATCCAACCCATTTCCTAGCCTTCGATGGCTTGAAAAGGGAGATACAACGGACTATAAAGCTCTTGGGCTGAGAACAAACGGTCGAACTTGATCTGGATCATTCCAGCGAAAGAATCTTGCTGTCCCCATTGAAGCTCGGAAGTCTCGACTGTACTGACTCTTACAGGGCACAATGGCAACTCCATTGCCCGTATCGGAGGATGTGGAGAAAGGCATAGAGAAAGATGGAATGGCGGTTGATGCATCCAGTGACGAGCCGAAGCACTCAGCGCATGCACATTCATCAAAAGAAACAACAGAGCCTTTTGGAAGAATGGGGCTGTACTTGAGCCAATTCGAGCGGCAATTGATCAAGTACAACCTTGAAGCACGAGGGGTCCAGCGAGTCGAGCCCCACGAAACTCATGCGCAGACATGGAAGGACTACATCCAAGCCTTCCTTATGTGGGTTTCCGTCAACCTGGCCGCCGTCAACATTACCCTTGGAATGCTCGCGCCAGCAGTCTATTATCTCAGCTTCAAAGACGCCGCATTGTGTGCTGTATTTGGGTCTTTGCTGGGCAGCCTCGTTGTTGCCTACATTGCAACTTGGGGTGCAGTATCGGGGAACCGAACTATGATCTTCACCAGATATACTTTTGGATGGTGGCCGAGCAAATTGATCGTGCTGCTCAATCTGATCGTACTACTGGGATACTCTATGATTGATCTAGTCGTGGCTGGCCAAATCCTCTCCGCTGTATCGTCTAATGGACACATGTCTGTCGTCGTCGGAATCATCGTTGTCGCAGTCATCGGCTGGGTCATCACCACCTTTGGCATCTCGATATACCATATGTACATGCGGTACGCATGGCTTCCGCAGCTCATCGCAATCAGCATTCTTTACGGTGTTTCTGCGTCTCAATTTGATCTGGCCACGCCGACTGCAGGAGATCCTCGGACCAGGATTGGTAACAGGCTGTCATTCTTCTCCCTTTGCTTCAGCGCAGCAATTACCTACGCCGGTGGTGCAGCGGATTTCTTCGTCTATTACCCACCATCTACGCCGCGCCTGCCCCTATTCTTTGTCTCTTTGCTTGGTCTGGTTTCCTCTTTCAGCTTCGCGCTCATTGTTGGTATCGGTCTTGCGTCCGGCGTGACCAGTAACGCCGCTTACTCTGCGGCGTATTCAAGTGGCCAAGGAAATCTCCTAGTCGAAGGTTTCTCCTCACTGCACGGCTTTGGCAAATTTCTTGGCGTAGTCGTCGCCCTTGGATTGATTGCAAATGCGATATATCCAACATACTCCAGTGGCATTGACTTCCAGATCTTGGGCAGAACAGCTCAAAAGGTACCACGCTTCGTCTGGAATACTTTCGGTGTGATCATCTACACTGTATGTGCGCTTGCCGGTCGCGATCATCTAAGCGAAATCTTTACGAACTTTCTGGCGCTGATGGGATATTGGCTCGCCATCTGGATTGCCATTATTTTAGAAGAGCAGATCATCTTTCGAAGGAGGACTGGGTACGATTGGACAGTTTGGAATCAACAAAACAAGCTGCCGGTTGGGATTGCGGCACTGATCGCATTCCTTGTTGGCTGGGCAGGTGCGATTCTTTGTATGGCTCAGGTTTGGTATATTGGACCTATAGCGAAGCAAGTAGGAGAGTATGGGGCTGATGTATGTTCCGGCCATCTTCTATGTTCTAATAAAGAGGTCTCAGTTGCTACTCTTTTATATGTGTGCTAATCTTCGGGCAGATGGGCAACTACGTCGGGTTTTCATGGGCTGCGCTCGTGTATCCGCCTCTCCGATGGCTTGAGCTGAGAAAGCTGGGCAGGTAATCCAGTGGACCTGGACAACATGTTACGCTTGCGACGACGATGAGTGACGACTTTTGACTGTTACTTTATCTGCTATCTGCTATCTGCTATTCATTCCAGTTTTTCTCTCTCGCAATTGCACTGTGGCACATTTCATTGATAGAAGTGCATTCTGCCAAGCCTTCACCTCTAAGCATATCAGCACAAAGCGATGCACACTTTTCAGTAGTTGAGCGATTCGAATCAGCCCTCCTAGTATCAAAGAGGCACAAGAACCTGCGCCTCCACAATCTGTGGAGATTTTGGAGTGCCATCGCTAGTTACAGTCTAGCGTGAAAACGCGCTCTGGGCTTCATAAACCCGCTCTGCAATTACAGAAATACATAAACGAAGTTTCAGATCTTGATAGTTCTGCTGATTGACATGAGTGTTGCGTCTTGTGTGTCATTTGCGTTGCGCTTTTCAGTCATACCCACCTGAATTATGCATTGGGCTAGAGATCTACCATCAATTTTCTTTCGTAAGGCTCCTCGCAGGTCTAATTCTTCGACGTCTTACGTTCTGTATCCCTTCCGCAAGGCTGATATTCTGGAACCCATTCTTTGGCTTGATAACAGTGCATCTTGGTAACGAAGCCCTCCCTCTCGCATTGCTTCTCGGGAATCTTTCGAACTCCTCCTGTTGACGATCCTGCGGTAGCCTCCCTTAAAAAACCTCGCAGCTCGGACAACAGTATTGTAGAAAAAGGCAATGCTTCGAAAGGATCTTGGCGCCATACACATTTCAACCTATGGAATCTCTTTCTTCTTGGTGCGGCTATCCTTATTGCCATTGCCCTCGGCGTCGGCCTAGGAGTAGGTCTAACAAATGGTGGTTCATCTGGCGGCGCATCATTCTCATTACCGTCCAATACCACAAGCAATAACGCCAGCATTACTGGTTCCAATGGCTCGTTCTTGGTCTTTCACCACATCCAACTCCTGGCAAATTGAACTAGCGCATCCTCTCATCAATACCAGCTTCAACGCCTCGGTCTATGACATCGACATGTTCGACAACAATGCTACCACCATCACCACTCTTTACAATCAGGGTCGAAAAGTAATCTGTTACTTCTCGGCCGGCAATTACGAGAATTGGCGCCCGGACGCCGGATCCTTTAATAACAGGACCGATCTTGGAAAACCGCTTGATGGTTGGGCAGGCGAATGGTGGCTCAATACTTACTCGACCGACTTCCGCAACGCCATGCTTTCGCGGCTCGATCTGGCGGTGACGAAAGGCTGTGATGGTGTCGATCCTGATAAAATGGATGGTGACAACGATAATGGCCTCGGTCTTACGCAGGCAGATGCTGTAAATTACGTCAACTTCCTAGCGGATGCGGCTCATGCACGAGATCTGTCAGTCGGCCTAGAGAACGCGGGAAAGATCATCCCGCAGGTTTTGGGAAAGATGCAATGGGGCGTGAATGAGCAGTGCCTACAGTATGGAGAGTGTGATACCTGGCAGCCATTTGTGGAAGTAGGGGAGCCGGTCTTTCATATTGAGTATCCGGATGGAGCGCCCAATGTGGCAGCACAGAAGGTGGACAGTATTTGTGGCAATGATGATGCTAAGGGGTTTGAGACGGTGTTGAAGGAGATGAGTTTGGATGATTGGGTTGAGGCTTGTCCTGATGATTGAAAAGAATCGAGATTGGTTCGACTGTAGCCATATAGGGAATACTGTTAAGTTCAATAAGTGTGAGCTCATGTCGAAGAGGCGTGTCTCGGAGCAAAATACTCGGAAGTACCACTCCATTCACATTCCGCTTAAAGACAAACACTCGAAAAGCATGGGCGTACCCTTCAAATCTTCTCTAGTTGACCTTGCTGTATGCTTGCCAGGAGACGTTGCCACGCTAAGTGTTGGTGACCCACTTGCTTCATTTCGAAGACATATGTGTCATACCCAAAAGATCATTATCAAAGGATGCTAAATCGTAAAATACAATATCTTACCATCGTAACGGCGCAGATCGTCCCCAGTCCCCACGTCGTCCGCTCAGCCCTCTAAATCATCGTCTCAAATCCAATGTCATCTCGTCACCTTGAGGTTGATTAGAGAGGAAACTTCGTCCCTAAGCCACCATGCCCGAAAGCCCGAAGCCCCTCTTCTCCGAAGACCGCCCCTCCTCCGAACAATCTAGCGAACGACATGTGGAGGAGGAAGACGCCTTACTGACTGGCCAACATAAACCCCAACAGAGCAAATATGGCTGGCCTTTTTGGAGAGAAATAGGAATATTTGCTTGGGCCGTCATCGCTACAGCCGCGGTGATCGTCCTTGCTGTTCTATACCAACACCAGCAGACGTCGCATCCTACAAAGTCGGGCGGATGGGGAAAGAATGGAAAGCCGAGTGGAAAGAGGAATCTGATATTCATGGTATCAGATGGTATGGGACCGACTAGCTTGTCGTTGACGAGGAGCTTCAGGCAGACGCAGAGCGGTTTGCCGCTTGATGATGTTCTGGTATTGGATCAGCACCTTATTGGGTCCTCGAGAACGAGGAGCACATCGAGCCTGATCACTGATTCTGCAGCTGGCGCTACGGCCTTTTCGTGTGGAATGAAGAGCTATAATCATGCTATCTCTGTGCTTCCCGATCATTCGCCCTGCGGGACTGTGCTTGAGGCCGCGAAGAAGGCGGGATACTTGACAGGACTGGTGGTTACGACACGCATTACCGACGCTACGCCGGCGTGCTTTGCTGCACACGTGAACCAGAGATCAGAAGAAGACCTCATTGCAGAGCAGGAGATTGGAGAACATCCGCTGGGAAGAGTGCTGGATCTCGTGCTTGGGGGAGGCCGATGCCATTTCCTGCCTAATACCACGGACGGGTCTTGCAGACACGATGACAAGGATGTGGTAGCTATGGCGAAGAAGAATGGATTTAGCTACGTGGATGATCGGAAGAGTTTTGATGGACTGAGTTCTGGCAGTGGTGTCAAGTTGCCGTTGCTTGGATTGTTTGCCAAAACGGATATTCCGTATGAGGTCGACCGCAGGAATATGGATGATGTCTACCCTTCGCTTGATGAAATGTCACAGACTGCGCTGAGGGCTTTGAGTGATGCAACGAAGGACAGCGATCAGGGTTTCTTTCTCATGATTGAGGGAAGCAGGATTGACCATGCTGGTCATGGGAATGATCCTGTCGCACAGGTGCATGAGGTGTTGGCATACGACAAGGCCTTCACCAGTGTCCTCGACTTCTTAGACAAGGATACCGTGGAGGGTGTACTCGTTGGCACCAGTGATCACGAAACAGGCGGACTGGCGACGGCTCGACGTAAGCATCCTTAAACCTCTCATGACTCGGATCTCAGCTGACCCTCACAGAACTCCACGATGCCTACCCTGTCTACCGCTGGTACCCTGACATGCTCATCAACTCCACTCACTCCGCCGAAAATCTTGCCTACCAACTCCGTGATCATCTTGCAAAGCAAGGCAAAAGCCCAAGAGAAGACCTAGCAACCTACATCCGCGAAAAGCTCATCGAGCAAGGCCTGGGAGTCTACGATGCTACGGATGACGAGATCAATCGCTTGGTAGATAACTCGGATCCATGGCCTGCCTCCTACATCTTTGCGGACATCATTAGTCGGAGAGCCCAGGTTGGGTGGACTACGCATGGCCATTCTGGTGCGTTCCCTCCCCTCTCTTCATTACGAGCATAGCGAGACTAAAAGTAATTACAGCCGTGGACGTCAACATCTATGCCTCCAGTCCCAAACACGCCCATCCCCTTATCGGCAACCACGAGAATACGGAAATCGGCATCTTCTTGCGGGAATACCTAGACGTGGATACCGAAGCCGTGACAAAAGAGCTCAGGGAACAACTGGCAACTTCGTCGAAGTTTAAGAACTGGCTAGGAAAGCCGGTCGATGATGTGAAAACGATGGCGGATATGGATCATTATCAGGGAGATTTTAAGAGAAATCTGGAGTGTGGATGTGGTGCTGTACACTAGTGGCCATGTGCAAAGCTTAACCAGCAAAATCGGTTAGCGGGAGTGTGCTAGGCGTACGGCTGATTAGTAGCGGAAGGACGGATGGGAAATGTTTGTATTGCTAGATATTCTTGATACCCATCCAATCCATCCTCATTTCCCATCATCATTCCACCCCATCTCTAAAATCCCACACACACACACTTACAAAATCCCCGTCGCTGACGGCATGCAGGCCCCCAAACCCTGGACAGACGGAGGGTCTGCATCCTTACCAAGGCCGTCAGAATCCCTCCTCCGGTGCCAAATCCCGAAAACGCCATTCCCCGGTCTCGAACCATATTCCGTCGCTGATTATTGTATTGTAGAAGGGGTCCCCCTGCCCCGCCTCTCAAAGCCGTCGGAGTCTCCCTCTTGTTTTCTACCCCTTCAGAACCCTGCCGACGACTCCTCCTCCTCCTCGTTTTCCTGCGTACCGTAGAAATCGTCACCGACGTCGTCGATCGGTGAGCTGGCCGCTTCGTCGGGATCGGATGGAGGGAGTTCGTGGCGCTGGTCTTGGGGTTGGCGGTCGAGAGCGGTGGGGGGAGCTGTTGGTGTTGTGAGTTTGAGGTGAGTTTGAAGTTATGGGGGGTTTGAGGGAGGATGTACCGGTAGGGGCGAGGGTGGATGGATTAGCTGAGGAAAAAGGTGAGCGTGAGGAGTGGTTCGTTTGTAAGGTTCAATGGGTCACATACCTGCAGTCTGTGTCGTTGTTGGGTTCGGAAGAGCTGATGGTTGTTAGGTTGTTTCCCGGTATTGGTTTCAGAGGACTTCATTTGTCTCCATCGTGGGGTCCTTACCAGCACATATCGTCTCCATGCTAGATGAAGTTGTCAAAACCGCTTCCTTTGCTCCACGTTCTTCGTCATTGACAGCTTCGTCAGATTCGTTGCCCGTTTTGTTGGCCACTGCACCTTCCGCAGAAATGTTGTCTGTCAAGGCATCAGTCTTACTGTCGCGATTTTATGTACAAGGTTGACAGTCTCTAACCCTCTCCGTCGATCATCTTCTGCTTTCCCTCGGAGAAATCCCTCTTCAATTTCTCCCTCATCACTTCCCTTGCCATTTGCCTCCGCGCCTCCGCCATTTCCGGTGTCTCCACCGGTATCGGCTTTGGCTCGTCGACCGGGTCATTCACCAACGTTGAACAACTTTCAGAAACCTCGGCAATATCTGCTGACGGTTCTGAACCCTCCCCTGACAACGGCTCCTCCTCCTCGAAGGCTTCCGGCAGCCGTCCCAGAATATCTTCGATTGAAGCTTGGTCGATCTCCTCCGGCAGCGACACCCGGCTCATCTCGCGCAAGACCTGGTCAAGACTCTCTGGCACCGGCACCAGCACCGTTTCCGGCACGTGCACCACTTGGCCATTCGGAAGGGTATGTTTCCTCACGATATTGTCACCGTGCCAATCAAACTGGTCCGCGTGCAGGTGACTGACATTGCTGTAGTCGAGTACAGCCCAATGTTCGGTGTGATTGAACACGTACTCGGCGGCGGACTTGGGGTAATCGAAACTTCCCCAGTTCTTGACATTGTCACCAGCCCAGGTTTGCTGGCGGTATGTGTCCAGGTCCGCTCCACTCCATCCTGCCAAGCACTCATGATTGCATGGCTTTGGGTGAGTGATCGCGTCACTCCAAAGGTGCAAACGGTGCGTCAGTAATCCGGTTCCATCCCATCCCGTTAAACATTCTGCGGAGAAAGGCCCGCCGCAACCGAAGTCCACGTTGATGTATCTGACATTTGGCATCGCGAATCTCCTGTCTCGTGCTTGGAAAGCCTTGACATTCTGAACATGCCGGTACATGTTTAGCGGATAGTTCAACTCTTTGTGCCGTCGCAGTGCTTTGGGACTGTGCTCTCCTGGCTTCGCGCGGTTTGAGCACTGGTCCAGAACCGCTGCATCATTCTCGATCTGCCATTTCTGGAAAGGACCGAGGCCGTTGTCGAGCATGCTGTTGTTTAGTAAAATTCCTGCTTTCTCTTCCTCCCTGATTGTTCTCCTCGTTGGACCGTCGCGTGGTCTATGAACGATAGGGCACGACTTGGGGATATCCACCTTCGTTCCACAGTTCATATCGGCCGGTAGGTAAACCACTTGGTCGTGGTAGAATTTCAAGGCGAGCTTGACTGGAGTGCATGTCAAACTTTGTGGGACGGCGATGGTCGAGTGATAGTCTTGGAAGAATACGTTCGGTTTGGCTGACGGTGGCAGCTTTGGGAAGTGATGTCCACAAGAGGTCGAGAGGTAAAATTCGTGGATACACATTATCCTATATGTGAGTCGTCTTCGAAGGTAGGAAGAGTGGTAATGACAGATGTAAATGTCTTTGAGAAGGGGATAAAGAAAGTGATGGTAGATGTGAATGCAGATGCGTGTGACAGATGTAAGTGAAACGCGAAACGGGAGGGGCACGATGACGAGGGTAGGAAGATCCGATGCACAGTGAAGCCTTCGGTTAATGTGGCAAGGGGTGAAGTTGCACAAGGGAATCCGTTACAGGACAACGGTAAGATGAGGAGAAAGCAGCAAGTCTGCGAAAGAGAGTTATGCTCGAGTATGTGAGAGGGAATCGGTGCCTTGCAACAGGATGCTGAATGGCTCGTGCAGTGTAGTAACAAGGGGATGTACTTGGTACCGGTGCTTGATGTATGTCTTTGCTGTTCTTGTTGTTGATGTTGCTTGCTGTTGCAGATGATGAAGACGGTAGGTTTTGTCTGGACTTGTGCAGCAGAAGAAGTAGTCCTCGGTGCATGCAACCAACCGGATAAAATACACAGCCCGTCTTCGCAAATTCACGTGGTACAATGGTTATGTATATATAGTGACAGCCGCGGTAAACGATATCACTCTGCGCGGCTAATGTAGATGTGTGACTGAAACAGAGCAGAAGTGACACTGCGGCACAATATTGGGTGTCACTTCCGTAGCTAGCGTCGTAAACATAAACAGTGTTTTGGATATACCAGAAACAGCGTCTTAAAGTAGTATAGTACATCACTGCCGCGGCTATATGGCATATATCAATGCTACTGTACACAGTACGGTTCTAGAGGCAGTTCTATACAGTAGTATGTCCATATCGAGCGGCTATCGTGGGTGTTGTTGTGAATACGACCGGTGTTGTGTACGACGGAAGAAACAGTGATGGAGTCAAAGGGCCAGGGACTACGGGACCGACAAGGAACTTCGGGTGAAGGGCCAGAGGTCACAGACAATAAAGGAAGATTTCGCATGAATGCGGTGGGAATGAAGGGGAGCTACTACAAGCGAGCAAATGCGGCTTAGTCTAGTATCGTAGGGGAGTGATAGTGGTAGAGTTGCTGGGATTCGACTGCTGTCCTACACTCTCCGCATGGACCTGTGCAAAGACAGGTCCGGCGCTATGCCCAGTATGGCTTTCACGAAGAGTGATTAGGGATTTAAGGTAACTGTAGTCAAGGTCGAATGAAGGTCGGGGATGAGTTCGAGTTGGATGGAGATCTAGGAATGGATTATAGGATAGGAAAAGGCGTTTGGGATAATGTTGGCTTGAAGCGGTGTTTGAGAAGGGTCGGAAGTATGGGAAATGAAGGAATCGCGGAGGATGAAGGGGCTACGACGAATGAAGAGGTATCGGGGATGAATGCATTGAGAATGAAGGAACTACGAAAGATGAAGAGGTATCGAACATTAATGCATCGAAAACGAAGGGAGTTTCGGAAGCTATTACGGGGTGAGGGGGATTCTAACGTGGCTATGATAAGTATTGAAGGAAGTTGTGGAGTTGATTCTTGGATGAATAGGGATCTGGAAATGAACTACAGAGTGTGAAAGGGAATCTGAGATTGCGGTGAAGGTGAAAGCGGCTTTAGGGATGAGGCGTACTTTAGGGATACGAAGGAGTATCAGGAGTGATTGGGTTGAAATTGTAGGATAAATTAGGGGGAGTGCATGGAGAAGAAAGGAAGTCTTGGAGAGCAGAATTTGGGATGTGAGAAGTGAAAATGAATGAGATTTTGGAAAGACGTTCAGGATCTAAAGTGGCTTATTGAGAATAAATGGAAGCTAAGGATAAGTGCTGACAGAAGAAAGTGAAGTTCTCTTGTGCAAGAGTTGAGGATATGGTGTATAAAATAGAGAAACATCAATGGGGTGGACTCGTAGAGAGTAGTGAAGATACTAAGGTGATGTGGAGACTACGATCGAGGAAAGCTCGGACTGGAGATATTGAAAACGAAGCGGAGGTTAGGGAGAAGCTACGTACGGGGATTGAAGGACTGAGATAGAGGAAAGCTTGGGCTTGTCGACATCGGAAATGAAGGGGAAGAAGTTACGGAGTAGCTACGGAGAACGAAGAGGGACTTCGGGACGCACGGAGTGATAACGAAGGGGACCTCAGGTGTGAAGTCTAGGGCACGAAATAAGGTCGGAGAGGCAAAAGGGATGGACTAAGGTGCTTGACTCGCTGGACCTTTGGACTTCCGGCATCTGCTCGGGAATTTGATTTTCCCATCTCTACCATTTATTTACAGCGTGAATGGGTTGAAGAATACCTACCTGAAGGATTGGCATCTGCAGGGGAATCAGCCTTCAATACTCGCCATGATTGGCTCGAGTATGCTTCGGATTCTGACATGGACAGGGGAATTAGCCCTTTGACACTGGCTATTCGCGAAGTAAAGAGCCTTTCGGCACTGTCCAATAGAGCTTTCAATACTGTTATTGGTAGTTCGGGCAATCTTTTGACAACTCACCACTCGGACGGTCAAAAACCCCTTCGGCACGGGCTATTCCTAGTCCAATACGCCCACGCTTGTAACACATTTGGTTTATGAAATACTCGGTATATATCAATGAAAGGTGATCAGCCCCTTGATCTTCTACCATTCCTCAAACAGCAAACCGGAATGTCTTTGACTACGGTTTACAATGGATCCTCTTCTGCCCGCCGTTTGCAAAGGGGGCGATCGCTTTCACTGTTCACCGCGGCTCGCGGTAGGCGTATCAATGCGGAGGTACGAGGTAGGTAGCAGACCCGGAATGGGCATTGAGTCAATTTGATAGAGGAGTACGCGGTCGAGGGGATGAAGCAGTGGGCTATGTATGGGGCGGTGGGGATGGGAGATGGGTCAAAAAGTATTGGATACAGAGCTAATAATCAACGGTCTATTGTAAAGCACCCGAACGCCATATCCATGTCTCGATCGAACCACGGCGACCAACACCCACTTTCATATCCAATACTTGCTCCAACCCATCCGCTGCCGGCCCCATCACTTCAAGCGCGCCCTCCGCCACATCTATCGTGTTCACCATGTCCACCCGGTTCCTCCATATCCCGGACGGCCGTGGTTCCGAGCCCGTCTCACTTTCTTCTCCTGATCGATGAGGTCCTGGTGCTCCGCAATGTCGTCCTTCAAATGTTGGATTTCGTCCTTCAGCGCCTTGATTCGTTTCTCAAGCTGCGCCTGGAGGCTGTGAGAGGCGCATTTGCCGGGGGTGATTCTCTCCCGGTGGACCATGAAGAGAGGGCAGGCTTGGGGTGGGCCGTGGTGGTGGTCGAAGGCGTGGTAGACGCTTCGCTGCCCGGCGCGCGCTGGCCGGCAGGGGAATTGGAAGGCGGGGGACTGGGATTCGCAGCCGCATTCGAAGTAGAAGATGTTGTAGTAACACATGGTTGATGCTGAGTGTTTCCGGATTAGGCTTTTGTTGGTGGTGGGTATGCTGGTGGCGGTTGGGGGTTTTTTGTGTCTTTTGGTTGTGGAGGGTGTGCTGATGAGAAGAAGAGACGAGTTAACGAATGGGAGCATAGCGTAGATATATGCAGCGGTTGAAGTTTGCAAAAGATGTCTAAGAGTTCCTGGATTGCTGTAGCGTTAGCGGGAAGGTTTTTCTTGTCTCAGACTCACAAAGAACGCAACATGCAAGATTAGGTGTGGATTATTATTTCAATTTCCCAATGTTTCTTTGGACTGCCGACAACGCTGAGACCAAGGTTTGCTGAATTGATTCAAAAATGCACAGATCGATGTTGCCTGTTCGGAACAACAGTACTCCTTGTTCGGAGCAACAAAGCAGGCAACCTCAACAATCGGGTGTAGAACAAGGACCTTGTTTCAGATTCCGCATGTCCCTCCTTCCTATCGCCCTTTTCTTACACGAAAAGATTCCCGACAAGATTCGCAGACTTGCGTCCGTTCCATATGATGTTCTTGGACATTGACACCTTGCCGGGGCCAACAAGGATCGCGCCAGTTGACATAGACCGTTTGTCCGTTGGGGCGATCAAAACGCACTGGATACCATGCTCGTGTTTGGCACTGTCTTTTGGATCGGATGCCGCTATTGTGACCACAAGCGGCGTAGAAGAAGATGTCGTAGGTACCTGGATTATGATTTCAGAGTCAGTCTTGCTTGTATGATTGGCGATATCGAGCTCTCAAACATTTCTCGAGAGTAAAACCTCCCAAGACACGTCTCAAGAGTCAGAATCTGGTTCAAAAGAGGACATGAACCCCAAAAACACGTACACATGGTCACGTTGTTACCACGTGGTGTGTCGCGGGCAGTCGAGCAACAGCGTACCCACGGTTGTAGGTGAGAAAACCAAGTCGAATTCGGACAACTAAGATGGTAGACGAGCCCTGGTGAGATGTAGGACAGCAGAATTAGTAGAATAGGAAGAAAACTTTCAAGACAGAGAAAGCGCCGGTCGGGTGAAGTCCTCAAATGTAAGAGAAATTAGTCCGGGAGAAAAGGAGACACCTGTGGCGGAGCTTGCTGCACTGTTCCGTGGTCCGAAGGGAGGTCCGGTAGAGAGGCTCCGATGAGATGGGGTTCTTCATAGCTCATTCCCGAAAGACGCTGCCCGGGTAGCTCTGCTTGACCTTAACTGAAGAAGCTTCTCTAGCAACGTACGATCTCTCAAGAGATACTACCTGGGTGACTCTCAGCGCCAGCGGCAAGACAACAGGGATATAAGGATATGAGAAATGCCTGATAACACCACAGCATCTTGTAGAAAACTTGGGCCATGATCCGCAGGCTTGGATGTTGGGTTGCCTTCCGACTCGCGATCTACCACAGAGTGTAGAGCGCGCTGCGACCCTTGCCCAGCAGAGAATTGATTTGGGAAGATCTAGAACCAGGATCTGAGATTACAAACGCTGCAGGCTACGGAGATCCATCTCTGACAGGGTTTGCCGGTTATTTTCCCCTCAATGTAGATTTATTACTTGTTCGGTATGAGGAGCCAGTCGGCATGGCAGTGAGGCCAGATCGTGTCAGAGACCGTCCACCATGTCACACCAAGAACTTTCCGCTGCTCGCGTCTGCAAGCAATTCATGATAGGCCAACCGTTGACGGCAAACGGCGGTGGAAACATTTATTATCTAAATCAAGGGAGAAACTTCACAGAGTTTTCAATAAGAGATGTTGAAACCTCGTCAGGGTACTGTCGACACAGCAAGCCTGAGTCCTCTTGCAACGCCGAAAAGTACGCTGAGGCTGAGGGCGCAAGAGAGCCAGTGCTAGGTGCTACACTGCTTGCATGTGGAAGCCCTGGGGCTAATGTACAATGTTCCTTATTGACAAGTATAATACTAGAGGCTATGCAAAAAGACCGTTTCGGTAATTACAATACCAATCGCTATCAACATGCACCCACGAATGACCGCCAAGCGCCAGCTATGCAAGACAAGACGCCTATTTATCCTAAATGAGCGTGACTCCCCCAATGACCGTGTCTCATCCGAGAAAAATCAAGCCCACATCATGAGCACACCAATAAACGCGACCAAAGCAGCGAAAATTGAGCCTCTCGTGACCTCTTCTCCTTTGGATGCACCACTGCCTTGCTTTTGGTCTCCTTGGTCAAAGCCACCAATGCCTGTCGCAGCGGTGCCAGATGCACTTGACGTTCCGCTGCCAGAGTCTGAGCCTGAGCTAGAACCGGACCCCGAGCCCGAGTCACCGCCAACTCCGGTCCCATCTGTGCCACCTGCACCTGACAAGCCTGGTACGGTTGCCAGATTGGTTGGTGTTGCTGTAGCTGACCCTCCTTTTGTTGACGATGTACTTGACGGGTTGGACTTTCCCTTGCTCATATCCGTACCGTCCGCAACGAATGACCCGAGAATAGTTGGGTCGTTTGTGAGTTCGATGTCGCCTTCCAGCCCATCCACGTCGCCGTACTTGTATGATACGGTGCCAGTACCGTTCGCGTCCGATGGCGCTGGATAGCACTCCACGTTGACATCATTGTACATAGAATAGAAATAGCCGTTCGTCTGGACATCCTGCGAATTCCAGTTGATCAACCCCCCAGCCCAATCAATCGTGCCCTGCCCGCTCTTGGTTGTACCAGCGGGCCAGAGGGAGAGCTGAATACGAGCAGGTGTTTGTGGGTAGTGATATTTATTGTCCGTTTTGTTGAAAGTATCGGCCTTGTTCAGGACACGTGAGGCATTGCCATCCACAGACCACGTCAATGATGTTGGTGTCCAATCAACTTCGTATGTATGCCAAGCGCTAAAGGTATCCCCACCTTCCGACACGGTCAAATTGATTTCATTCTCATCTGCGCATGTCAGTGGGATCTTTCGTCAGAGTCGCCTGAGTACTCACAATCCGTGACGCCTTGCCAGTAGAAGTTGGATTGGGCGGTATTGAGATCGGTGCCCACAAATTCAAAATCTATCTCGTCTTGTACGTCCGAGAAGAGGACAAAGGCGGACACAACACCTGCGCCTCGACTTGTCTTCATAGTCGCGCTAACCTTTCCATACCACACGTAATGTGAACTAGATAGAAGTGTTCCAGATGCACTTGCCCCGTCTTCTGCCAAGGTCAAGATGACTGCGCTGTTGTCCGGCGTTAGTAAGGGCGTCCCTTGTGACACCCAGTTGGCCTTTGACGCATCTCCAAGAAATTGTGTGTTTGCTGTAATCCCGTCCAACGAAGTCAACTTGTAGTCCTGGCTTTGACATACGGGTGCTGGCACGCAGGAGTCGAGAGAATTGGAATATCTGATGTCGCAGCCACCGAGACAATATGCTCCCACACCGCATTGGCCGTATTCTGGAGAAGGACACCGGTCAGCATCTCGTCATGGGGCGGCAAGTCAGGAAGACTCACGCGAACAACAGGGGCTTGACTCTGGGCACAGGTTGCCCTCTCCACACATTATTCCACCAGATACTCCATTGCCCGCTTGACTGCTTGATTGCCCCTGGGCCAAGACTGAGGAGACAGAGTAGAGGGCGGCCGCGGCAGCAGCCCGAAGGTAAACCATGGCTTGTAACGAACGTTGAAAAGATGCTTAGCGAATGCGAATGTGAATGCTGTGTGTGAAATACTTTGTTGAAATGGGGCGACAGAGTGCTTGTCGCAGGGGTTTCGTCGTTGGTGCCTCCTGCCGATCCTGATGCGAGGGGTGAAGAAGGAACAAGAATATTATTATATGGCGTGATATAACGAAAGACAGAGGCTTGATGCACCAAGAAGATCTAGCTGAACGAATGTAGGGATGATTAGCACTGCTGTCGTCGTGGGTTGAAAAGAAAACAAAGAATGAGAGAGCCAAGAGATGGTGGAGAAGGAATGCGCTAGGAGGATTGAATACCGGCGTGGCGTGGTGGCTGCTAAATTTGGATCGGCCGCTCTCGGGCCTGGCCAAGACCTTTTTGACACCTTTCAGGAAAAACATCGACTTTCCCATGAAACTACTATCTTTAAAAACTCGCTCGTGGTCGAGTCCGTCAATAGAATTCATCCAGATTATCATGCTACTCTATCGTGATGAAGATTCGGGAGCAAAGGAACCTTGATGATATTTATTCATTCCCTGTCCGTCACGGGGACAAAGCTCGTTGCTATTACCAGAACGACTTATGATGAATAACTGCATTGATAAAATCAAACATTTCTCTCCGAGTTCCGGACTCCATACATCTCGTCCAAGCAAGGCATGCACGCCCTTTGATCTTCATCCTCACCGATCCTTCTCCTCATCTATCTCTGCAAGTCTTGACGGCAACAACCTTGCACTTAATCCATACAGATGCTGGAAAGCAGTCATCAATGGTCGCCACCTGTCCGTGTCAACCTTGTTCGGTACCCCAATCTGCATAATGTGCTCCTCGGCTTGGATCCGCAAAACCTCGACCTCAAGTCCTAGAAGGAATCCCTCCTTGCCCTCCTCATCCCGATTCATCTCATTGACAGCCACAAGTTCTGCCTCCATCTGCAGCGGACATTCCATAATTCGAGATGGCTCGACCACCTCGGATGCCGTAGGTGTCAGTTGAGCCAACGCAAACTTGTCTTTAAAATAACGGTAGCCAGCAGCTGTCTTAAAGGGGGACATGTCCTGTCTGCCCGTCGTCTTCGCAAGTGCATCAACCTAGGCGACCATAGTGTCCGACGGTAGGTTCAGGACGCATTGCTTGCTCCGCTGCAGGTTGATGGTGGTCTGGGACTGTGCTGCTAGACCCAACATGCAGCGTTGACTGAGCCACCAGGCTGAGGACGTTGGCGCGAGGTGTGTTGTTCCATCATGGTTTGTAGTCGAGATGATGATGACGGCACTCTCCCAGTAGAGGATTGCGGGGTCGATGGTCTGATGCATTTTTTCAGGTTTGAATTCGTTTGATCGGATACAGAGCGATTGAATTGACTGCTTTTGTCACTTTCTCAGCTCGATGTCTCGGCTATGCCGACTGAACAGAGACATGTTGCACTGTCTTATATATTTGACGACATGGGTCATTCCAAAAAGAATGCTCTACTCTGGCAGCAAAGTTTCTGAAGGGACAGGCCTGCTTGAAGAAATAAGAGGAACCAATGAGGTACGTCCAGAGGTAGAAGGATCACTGGACTATGTAAGGCTGGTGCAGAGCCAGATATCTACTATGGCCAAGGCCCACTATTCTTGTTGGCGAGGCAACCCCTGTAAACTCTTGGCAGCAATGCTCAATCTCGCTGCCTGGCGCCTGAGCGGGCCGGGACTTAGCGCGTGCCAAAACCATGCCATTTCCTGGCACGCTTGGTTCCCATCACCTCTGTGATGAATATTGAACGAGATAACCGTACTTGAAACTTCAAATATTTGCATGAGACGGTTGTAGTAAACGCTATTGGGATTCCACACGTGTTCTATTATTTCAAATCGACCAAATCTGTGGAATCATTGAAGTTCCAAAATTCAGACAGACTGCGATTTTTCGATTATGACGGTTTCATGCCATTCCAGAACAACTGTAGATGGTATGTAGAGATTTGGTATACAACCTCCATGGAGTTGCTACTATACTTCAAATGCCATGTTTTCTTTGGTAGTACTGATGCCACGATCAAATGGTGGTGAACGCGGGCCGCAATGCCAAGCAACTGCAAACGTTTCGCACATGCTAATTTTCACGTGCGTTTATATAAGATAAATAAAAATGTTCGCCATAAATTTAAAGTTGATCAGGTCCTCAGATATGTGATCTTGAAGCTACTCACTTTCTTTCTTCTTTCAAGCTAAAAGGCGGGTGTCCCCCATCCAGCTGACTAAATAATTTATTAATTTATTTTTTAGGTCCTTTAACGTTACGTAATAATGATAATAAAATAATTTATTTATAGAGTTATTATCCGCTTTGAAATAAAGTAGCGAAGCGAAATTTGATAGTATTGTAAGTATAAAGCTTATTATCGAGTTGGGAGGCACTCGCCAGCCACAGAGCCCGGGGGGATCTGTTTATTATCTGCTTCAGCTCCTGAACGACCTTTTTAAGATACAGAGAATGGCAGCACAAGCCAGCTTTTCAAGTACAATCAAGCTCTTGACTTTCCTGATTCCATAGAACACAACCAAATCTTCCTAAAACCACACATAGTCAGAGAAAAGTTTACATCAAATCTCGACCATCTCGTGCATTCGTCCAGACCTGAGAACCATGGCTTCGTCAACAACTTCATTGAATCAGATAAAACGTTCCTGAGGTTCGAAATTCCAGCTAATAAGGGGACTGCGAGCTGTTTATTGCTGACTTCACTCATGACCTCGTCAGCCCAAGACGATCCAGCCAGCTTTTGATCCGGCTTTGAAATTCCAACCACATGTAGTGGGGAAAACGGTACACCATGTTCCTAGACCCTTGTTAGTGTTCACGGGACGAGCTTGGACATTATCAGGCCCCAATTTCGACCTTCTACCCAAATTTTAAACAGAGAGTCAGTCCTTCGGTCTCATCCTGGATCCTCGTGCAGCAGAGTGGTCGATGCCATGGGAAGAAGGTTTGCCTGATACCGCGAGCTCCAACGCTCTCCCCGTCAGTCCAGGCAACAGCTACCAGCCAACGCCTAATCTGACAGAGTGCTCAACGCCCACTCCTTTCTTTATCTCTAACAGCCCCCAAAATGCTACAAGTAGACGCATCAACGGCTTCGACACAAAGGACCAGCGTCGGCACGCAACACTATCACGATCTCGGGCTGCAGATCGTTTCTTTCTGTACGGCGTCTTGACGACAAAGGTTTTCTGCCGTCCGTCGTGTGCATCCCCACGTCCTTCAAGAAAACACGTTGTATTCTTCTCTTTTCCTGGAGCCGTCGAGGCTGCTCGGCAGGCGAAGTTTCGGCCGTGTAAGCGCTGCACCCCCGAGACATCGGGCACAACAAACACCAGTGTCCTTGCAATTTCCCGAGTTCTTCGCAGCATTATTGACGTGACGTTCGAGCAACCGAGTGAAGCGAGAAATGGAAGTCTGAAGTTGGAATCTTTGGCTAAGTCAGCAGAATTGAGCACCTTCCATTTCCATCGCTTGTTCAAAGCAACGACACAGGTTACACCAGCGGACTTCATCACTGCCTGCCATGCATTTGCTCTCCAGGACGATTTCTGCACACAGTCGGTACGAGAACCTAGACTGGACCCAAATGCGGTGAGACTTTCACCGCGCTGGAGTGAACGAACGGCACGAAAGGCCCAGGGTGGTCTGAGGCCCGTAGAGTAGCAAATGGAGCAAAGTGAACGTCGATTGAATACTGCCGCGTCTCCGCACCGGTGGGAGATCTTGAAGTCGCTTACTCGAGAGACAAGGAAACCGCAAACGTGACTGTGCACGCTATAATCCTCTTGCAAGGCTTTAATTCACAGATAGGCAATCACTTCTGGACAGCAACAAGATCGGAAGATTATGCGCAACGCCTACAACAACGTGTCCAAAAGCTTGAGAAGAAATGCCAAGACCGGGATGTTGAGCTGCCTGCTGACGTGCTCCCGGTTCTTTGGAGAGCGAGACTGTGGCTGAACCTCACACATGACAATGCGTTAGAGTGACCAGGGTAATATTCTATTTTAAAACTCTGGACACTCCACTCGATCATAGTAGCATAGTTGGTACAATCAACCAGCAGATCGAACCTGTGTAGAGTAATTCCAGACTCGGCTTCCGGTTTCATCATTGCTACAGCAATCCAGCTGACCCACACCCCCTAGACGCACGCCTTTCAACGCTCCAAGCACATACATCTAAAGAATCGTGCATGCGGGTCTTTGAAACGGCAGTGGTGTGCATCATTCTATGATCTTCGTCCGTTTGAGAGAACGAAGTGGCTAGAAGACCTGCAGGCTTACGAGGTCCTGGGGAAGGCACCGAAATGCGATAGGTGGGTATTTCAAGCTCGCTGCTCGAGCTCACCATTACAACGATGTGGCACAAACAGGCTCCAGACCTATCCATCCCCCCAGCGTCTGTTGGGCAAGGGTTGAGACGGCCCCACTTTTTGCTTTCGGTCACGCATGCTGTGCATATGCCGCGCTAAGGAGGTCCACCTATCGCCCAGCGTGGCAAGAGGTTGGCGATTTCAGGGAGTCGGCAGGTCTATTCCGGTGTCTGATATTACCACACCTTCTCTATCGTTGCATCGCCCCCCAAGGGGTTTTCTGGAAACACCGCAGGCACCAACCTCTTTGCTGCTTTACACAAGACTGACTTGCATATGAAACTCAGCAACACGCAGCGCATTCTGGATAAAGGAGTTCCATATTTTGTTGGAGCTAGGAAGCATAATTGGCGTTATGAGAACAGGATGGACCGAATTGGTTTAGAGGCTCCGGAAAATTCAAAAGTGAAACTCGTGGAGTCAAAATTCGAAACCTGTACGATGCATGCTGAGAACTGTGGAATCTAGTACAACCCCCCCAGAATTAAGGGAGAGTCTGTGTTCCTTTCCACCAAGGTTCGTGAGGCATCATGGTGCCCGCATGCAGTTGTGGCCCCGTGATCGATGTGTAAGATACCTTCCACAACTCAAACGGGCCCCGATGAGAGACCAAGGCCAATAGCAGTGATGACCGTTGCGAATCGGAGGATCGCTCATCGTGACACATGGGACGCTGTTCTACTCTCGGAGTTTAACACAAGCTAAAGAAGCTGACTAGATCAGAAAATCGCTGCGACATGCAAGCTGGCTGCTGCCGTTTAATTATTACTCATGGATCACAATGGCTTGAGTATTCATATTTCTTAACCACTCTCATGCTATCCTTCACAGAAGAGATCATCGACCAACAATTACGATTTATGATACCAACATGGGGTGAAATCGTCGTCAAAGAAGTTTCCTCAGTACAAGAGCATATTCTCCGACCAAAACAGGAGTCACACAAAAGCCTGAACAATGTATTTTCACGTGCGCCCCGCCCTCATGACTGCTCTTGCATTCCACCAACGCACATCGCAGCGTGTTTCGTACCTTCACCAGCTCCCTAGCACCACTCCAGTCCGCCTGTCTGAAGCTCGGGTCATTCTTTGCTATGGGATGCAGTGGCTTGCCGGTATTCCAGCATGGGTCCGTTCCATAATGGACGTAACATACCTAAATTCGGGTAGTGAGAGAGGTATACCGGTATTTCTGATGCTGGACGAAGGACTCCCTCGGGATTGCGACTCGCCTTGGAGTACACCATGTAACATGTGATATGGAAGGCTCTGCCTGCGACATCGAAGCGAAGTTCCATGACCGTCTCCTCGTGCGCTGAAGACTCTGCGCGCAGGTTTGAAATCCTGATAATAGCAATGCGTGTAGACCCCCATTTCTTCTCCCCGAGCATCGCTAAGGAGAAGATCGAAATCCCAATGGGATTCCAGCCAGCTCTTCGCTCGCTGGCAGCTCTCGCAATGTCGTCACCATTGCCCTCTGCGCCCTATGCTTTCCCCCTCGGTGGTCAGCTCATTCATTCGCTTGCGTCGAGGAAGAAGTGAAAGGTGTAGTGTTCAGAGCCGGCTGAGGTGGAATATGCGGTCAGTGTAACCGGTGCAAGAGGAATCATCGAGACAGTGTCATTTCGTTTGGCCGCAATGGAAAGCTGGAGCGGCTTGGGGCGTTTTCTTTGAGTGCGATCCGAGCGTCGTTCCCGTGGGTGGTGCCGGTCATAGATGGCGGGAAAGTGAGAAGAGGATGATGAGAAGATTGACGAGATGGCCGTGGACGGATTTCTGAAGTAGGGAGTGTTACCGAGTAGGCCTTGGATGGAGACTTGGTCATCGCTGTGTTCCATCATTGGGTGAAGGTGTTTGCTGGACCCAAGATTACTTTTGGCTTGATAAAATGGTCTTCCGAAAACACTATAAATGTATTCACGCCCAGGCAACACATGAGCATTGTTACCGAGTAGTCAGCGTAAAAAAACCCGATATGCCAGAAAGCACGGAAAGAGACAAGCTTGCGGAAGCCAGAAGCCATGAAGAAAAGTCGGCGCAACGACAAGACCAACAACGTATCGAAACTTCGAAAACCCGTTTGAAATTCCCCTCTCCCCCCCTCTCTCCCCCCCTCTCTCTCTCTCTATCCCGATCCCTCCCGCCTCAGCGAACACTCACTCACTCATCCTACAAACGTATCAAAACCCCCAACCCCGAGCCCGTCCGATCCGTTCAACCATCCTCAACCACGTCTCATCCTGTTACTCCCCCTCCCCCCAGCCCGGCCCCAAACTAGAACCCGTAGTATGGATCCTCTCGTCCGTCCGTACGTATCACTCACAGCCGTCTCACCCAAGCTATCCATCCCATCCCCCCCCCCAAAAACCCCCAGCGCGTGAGATATATCACTCGGTCATTTATCCAGCGGTCTCCCACTCAATCCCCAGACACGAACGAGCCTCACCCTTTCTTCATTCCTTCCTTCCCTCATTCCTTCCTTCCTTCCTTCCTTCCTTCCTTCCTTCCGCCCCACGTACGTACGTACGTCCGGCCGACTCCTCACCTGCTCCCGCAATCCAACGCATCGCTCCACGTGCCCTCTTTCTCCCCCCCCCCTCCCCTCCCCCCCCTACCCTACCCTACCTCCCATCCACAAACGAACCGTCACCCCTTGAAACGCAACCCCCCCCCCGTTTCAGAACGACGCCTGCGCCCCTCGGAACGTGAGAGCTTTAGCGCCCCCCCCCTCCCTTGTCACCCCCGGCCACTCGTTGAGGCAGGATACGGCGATGGGGTTTGCGGTTGTGTGTGTATGGTGTGGTTGTGTATGGGTATGGGTGTTGGGAGGGGGTGGTGGAGTTTGGTTTGGTTTGGTACGGGTAAGTGACGGAGCCTGTCTGGGTTTGGGATTGAGTTTGGCTGTCCGAGATGGGGTCGGTGGGGCTAGGACGGATGGGGGGATGGTTGCGGGGAGGGGTTCGGTTGTCAGGGATGGAGGCTTGGGGTTTTGGCGGGAGGCTGGGGTGGGGGAGGTTCTGTTTGGGGATTTGGTGTTTTGACAGGGGAGGGGGGGGGAGAGAGAGGGAGAGACGGCAAGGGTTGTACCGTGGGTCTGCTGGATGAGCTGCGGAGTTTTGACAGGTTGAAGAGAGAGAGAGAGAGAAAACACGGCGTCTTTTCTTGTGATTTGCTATATAGACTGGCTATTTGGGGAAAAAGGGGGTATAAGGACCGTGGGCTCCCGCGCTCAATGACAGGATTAGACAATACTTTGCTTTCTCCGTAGAGACAGACTTTCATCTTTCATGACCGTGGAACGCCGTAGCTTGAATGGGCTCCCAATAATGACCAATAAGGGGAAAAGTTTTCGTAAAGAGGACTCGGGTGCTGATAAGCCACAATTACCGAGGCTTGTGGCTCCATGTACTCAATCAATCAATCGCCAGCGATGCAGAAACTACTCTCTTTTGATCTCCACCTCGTCCAGCTTCTTCTCCCGTCCCGGGCTCCTGACTTCCCTGTCCTCCGTGAGTAAAGATGAAATGGCGAATGAATTTTGCCTCGGCACTGTTGGCTTGGAGCTCGGGTTTTCACTGTTGATGGGAGTGAAGCCTTTGCCTGAATCTGTTACGGCGCTGAATGGAGCGCCGCTGAGGATGTTCGATGGGGCCTGCGAGTCATGCGGGCTACCGCGGGGAGTGGGGGGAAACTTTGAACTCGACAAGCCATGGGATCGACACCATGCCTCTTCCAACGTCGCCGGCGACAGGTTGCAGCCATAATTGCGGGCAATGGTGGACCAGAAATGTAAACGGTGAGCGTCATAAACGCGATCAAGCTTTGCCACATCGACGTATTGCCGTTCCTGCAAGCAGTCCATATCCTGAGTGACTAAGCGAAGCGACTGGGTATCGTTAATGCGATGGTGAATGCTAGGGACTGGCTTTGGCAGTATCGGCTTGTGGTTTTGAGGAGTCTGAGAAGAAGACTCGCTGGGACTGTACTCCATACTCTCAGGAGGACTCGCCGGCGGTGAGAAGGAGGGCAGCTGTCTCTGAGGAGTCTCGCCCCTGGATTGCGCTGGTGGTGGAGCTGATGATCGTTCGTATGAATTCATTGGGACTTGGGAGTGACGGCGGCTCTTGCTGCCCAACGAAAGCTGGTGGTAGTGGAGTCGACAGGCTAGCTCCGTCTTCTTGAGCTGGCTGGCAATGTGCTTGTATGGCATCTTGTGCTCTCGCGTCTCAATTAAATAAGCCTCCTATACATCTGTCAATGGAAGGCTCAGTTGATAATGCTTTTGCATATACATACCTCTGCATCAGACCAAGCTCTGCCTCCACCTGTGGAGACTGTCTTGCGATGCCGGTGCACTACCGGAGCGCGTAAGGTTTGCGAGTCAGCTGCCGACATGGATTTGACCATCATGGGCTTTTGCGTGGGTGCGTAAGACATGTTGAAGGTTAGACGGCGTTGTCGATATGGTTCTCACTGAAAGAATTGTTTTGTTGTTCGGATCTCAGCCAGAAACAGGCTTAATATGTAAGTGTAAAGTAAAGAGAAATGTCTGATTTGGAGCGCTGAAACGTTGGTCGATGCTAGCTTTTCGAACAGGGTCTCGGATTGGATAAAGAGAATTTTGACAGTCGAAATATTAATGCGAATAAGCGATGGTATGAACACGATTTGCAAAAGACCCAACCAGTGGGACGGAAAATACTGATTATGAGGCTGCGAGGAAGGATGAAGACCGAGGAGTCCTGCCGTGATATAGGTGAAGATGTCACCAGGTGGGTCCAGACCACTATCTATACCTTTGCTTTTTCGAAGTACGTTTGGAACTGTTTCTCTTGGTGGGACAAAGCTGATCCTCGAACTGATGGCTCTCACGTTTCCAATATGCCAGGGGGATACCGAGTCTTGGCAGCGCAAGCAGTGCCTTGCAAGGTTAGGAGAAGGACGTCAGATGTATTTGCAGCTCTGAAGGGGCGTTGGGGGCGTGGAATATTGAGTTGAAGCAGCGACCTGTGTGGGCCCTGGATGGCAAGCTGCACTCATACGCCACATGAGATGGTGGAATGGTGGAATGAGTGCATGAGTCCGCGAACCATTTGCGGCGGAGGTAGAGGCCAGGAGGTTATATGATGGGAGGAGATGACCTTGGAAAAAGCCGCTTTACGGGTGAAATGGCCAATAAGGGTATGCTGTTTTTACGAAACGGTGAGAGATCCTTTCCAGATTACGTCTAAGCGAAGCCGTGCCGTGTTTGAAGGAGATTCCACGTTAACCCGAACAGAAACATGGTTGCGAACGGCACCATTTATTACTGGCTGAGATGGAAAGAAAGATGAAGACATACAGCAAGGGTAAATATAGCGACGCGTACATGGGGATTGTTTTGTGCAGCGAGCGTTGAGTTGGTGCGCAGTGTGCCTTAATGAAGTCAATATTAAATGAACCGTTGGAGAATGATTTGAAAAAGGACCGTTGGCATGAGGCTGAAAAGGAAAGAACAAGCGCACGCAAGCGAATCGTCAGCCATTCTTGCTGTGTCCCAAGCGCTGTCTAACCCCGCGAGCTCGGGGGTTGTTCATAACTTTTCTATTCGGTTACGAACTTACGAGGATTGAAACGATGCCAAGGGTAGGAGTTGGTTAGATGATGTTGCATCTTTGTTTCATCTCATTTCCTCTGAGGCTTTTGGGGGCACTATCTTTCTTTGGGGCCACTTCATCAACTTGGGGGGGCACTTGAGCATCGCGGGTCCTCAAGGATCCAAGGGGGGGCCGAAGCGGCGGCATGGTTAGGGTGTGTAGCTTGTAACAGTAGTGAGTAGTGGCTTTTTTTCTCCCTTGAAACAATGTGAAAGTATGACGACAGGGAGGTTCAGAATAACAAGCACGCGAAAGCAGCAGCATGATAGCATGATTATATCAAGGAGTTAGGTACTTGAATGGGTTGCTTTGTTTGTGTGTGATTCGTTGGAAAGATGAAAGGGAGGCAAGAATTGGGAGAGGGAGAAAGTTTGTGAGGGCCCTAAGGGAGGGGCTAAGGCTGTTTCAGGCATGGTCTGGCGGGCAAACCGTTGCGCCGGGGGATAGATGATAGGTCAAATGTTCGCAAGCCCATAGTTCCATGCAGTTCAATTCATGCATGGGAATGCAAGTATCTTTCTCGTACCCAGGTTCACTTTCTCTATCAGCCTCCCTGCCACATCAAGACCCTTCAACCTCCCAACCTGCTTCAACTACCACTGCCTCTCGTCTTAACATCCTATCTCCCTTCAACTTCACTCCCCCTTCCAAGATATCATCATCCCGTCCCCCGTGTCGATGCTGGAGGTACACATCCGCGACGACATGTGCCCTACTTCTGATACCCATGACCTTTCTCGAAGCGTGAAATAGGCGTGACCCCGCATTCTCCTTCTGGGTGAAGTAACACCGAAACGGGCAACTCGCTGTCATTTGGTACCTCGATACTTAACAAGCTGCGTCCGCTTGCGCCAATGCCCATGTCCCATGTATCGCAACGGCCGCGTGATGCAGTCGCCTCATCACACAAAGCTATTGCGATGCATCACCCAGACCAAAAGTTCTCATTTCTCTCATCCATGTTACTACATGACCAGCGACTTCGGAAGATACATATGAATAGGCAGCACGGCAAGATGGACTAACAAAACCTGGATGCCCTCCAAAGAATATCCCAGATCGACAAAGCGCGGTGTCATCACCCGTTCAGCCAGAATCCCACACACGCTTTGACTACCCGCAGAGGCTCGGTCTGGATGACGCCAATTGCCCAATAATCATATACTACGTTGCCGTTCTCGCTTCAGAGCGGCCCGCCGCTACTATGTCGTGAGTGAAAGATTCCTGCGCTCCAGAAAATGTCACCAGCATGTCTCGCCTTGCCGCCCGCAGTCGTGTCACCTCAACGGAAATCCCCTCTTCACCTGCTAACATGGACTCCCTTTTCCCCCGCGCAGCTCACAACCAAATCGAGGACGTCCTGTCCGCCCACAACCTCCAACCACTGCTCCACCCATGATACAAGCGCAACAACCTCAGTCGTACTTCACTCCGAACCCCTACGGTCCTCACCCGACTCAGCTTCAACAGCCTTTTCAACCACCTCCGGGCCCTCCACCACAGCAACTGCTCGCGCCGCAACCGCAACCACCACCTCAAGCGAGCTCTCCTCCATCACGAAAGCGCAAGGCTCCTGGTTCGGCGCCGCTGGCGGCCATGCCACCAATGCCCTCGACAAGCCTAGGCGAGCCAAATGATGGTGGACAGCAGGTCGAGGAAGCCAACGAGGCGTCTTCATCGATGCCGCCGCCGAAGAAGAGCAGGACCAATACACCGTGGACTCCGGCAGAGGAGCAGCGACTGAAGATCATGAGGGATGCTGGGAACAGCTGGGGCGAGATCGCAAAGGTGACAAGATCAAGGCGACATCACACGGGGACCGTTGACTGACGCCGTGAAGACCTTCCCGAATAGGACCGAAGGAAGCGTCAAGAAGCATTGGTATAAGGTACGCAGCTCGGGACCGGTCGTTCGACGGAAGGCTAATTGCATTGCAGGACATGCACTATGCCGACTTTGCGGAGGATGATGTAAGCTTCGCAAGCAACATGCCGAGGTGATGCTGACTTCGGAGGATCAGAGCGCGGCTTTACTGGCAGCCATCAAGGAATACGAGGCAAGCAAGTGGAAGGCCATCGGGCAGAAGGTCGGGAAGCCAGCGAAGGTAGACCGGCTAAGCCACTCTGCATCGCCGTTCATGTATGCTGACGATCTTAGGCATGCGAGCAGTATGCGAAGGAGCATTTCGGAAACAAGGTCTGACGAGTTTGAGCGGTCTATGATAGCAGTTTTCATATGATACCAGGTCACGAATGGACCAAGTTTGCAGCTAGGGAATTGACATAGGAAGTAATTGCATACCCAAGGACGAGGCTTTACCGGCCATATAATTGCTTTAGGGCAGAGGAAGCGTCACCATAATGGGTTCAAATCATCTGCACATGTCGCGTCGGTTAATCTTGTGAAGTCCCGTGCTTGTACTGGTGACACCAGCCCGCTCCATCTTCGCTTCAAGTATCAATACTTCCCATCGTCGCCTTCTTCCCAACAGCCCACCCAGCAGGAGACAAATCACTTTAATCCCATTTTTCCTTTGCCAGACCATAGCTTGAACTGTCATGGCCGGTGCTCATACACGTCGCATCCTCGTTGATCGCGAGGTGAGTTCACGCTTACCGAAAAGCATTTCCCGAGCTCACGCAGCCAATCCAGAAACCCCCCACTTCAGAGATCCTACGGAGTCTGCAAGTGTAGATCATGTGCTCGAAGAGCACAAGATGGTCATGCACAGGTGATATTCATCAAGCTTAGAAGCTCTTCAAGTCGAACGAGACTGACACTGTTTTCAAGCCTCTGAAAATCAAAGGAAGGTTTCGACCTTACTTAAGCCTGCGGTTTCATCACACTGGAAGTCCACAGCTTTCTCCTCAAGCCACGATCAACATCCTTCGCGGCTGCTCGTGAAGGCGGTTTCTTGGTAAGCATTAAGACGCCCATTCGCTAGAGCTCGCCGCGGACCGATTACAATGACAGGAAGCAACCAGCAAGCGTATTGAGCTGCCCGATGACAACGTAGAATCCGTTGCACGAATGGTCCAGTACTGTTACACCACGGACTGTCCAGATGAGGCGCCTGAGAAAATCTTGGACCCCGGAGATCCTATGACTCCCTCCATCTCGCGCGCACACACGAACGCCCAGGTCCACGCTCCCGCAGAGAAGTACGACATTCCAGGACGCAAGTTTCTCGCGGGGATGAAGTTCCGTGCAGCTATGGCGGTAGAAGTCGGTTCTGGGTTCCGAAGTGGCGCTCCCGCCATGATGCATCTGATCGCAATCATCTCGCTTGCCTACGACGGCGCACCAGGAACAGACCGCGTTCTCCGCGATCCTGTCATCGGTTACGTGTGGATGTATTGGAAGCAGCTCTCACCGAAGCCAGAGTTCCTAGTACCTATCGCCGCGAAGCCGGAGTTCATGATAGAGGCTGTGAACAAGACGTTCGGTCCCCAATTGCCATGATGACCGGGCTTTGAACGCACCGCTATCGAGGATTTGACGCCAACTCATTCCCTTGGATGGGCCGCAGAGCGGTACACTGCTATAAAGAGAATGCTTGGACAAGATTGAGGGTACATTGAGCGCCGATGGAGGATGATACGATGGCCTTGCCACGAGGCCTACATCCGCCGAGAATTGTGTTCTGTTGCTGTTGACAGGAAGTCCTGCGATGCTAGCCAAAGCTAAGCCTTGAAACATATCAACCAGGCAGACCATTATGACTACACTCGATCAACCAAATTCGCCTTTTTCCTTGTCGCAATCTTGCCTGCGTGATATGATTCGCTGACGTCCCAGAATTTTTCACCATAGCGCTCGCAAGCATCAGCCACCTCTGGAGCAAACAAGTAAGCTTCCGAGTAGGCTCTCCGTATCTCAGACCATGCTTCCAGCCCATTCCACCGTAGTACATACGACTCTCACAATGGATTCGTTACCCTCAGAGCAACTACGTGACCTCGAAATGTCCTCACCCCTTCTCGCTGTCGTTGTTCTGACAAGATCTCCAGTGCGACTCTGAAGACGCCTTTGCCTGGAAAGAGATGTTGAACTCTTTCGGATTGTATGTTTGGGATCTGTGTCGTCCCCTCAGCCGGTCGCTGATCGTTCGTGTAGCATGCTCGAGTCAGGCGCCGGCTCTGATCTGACCACCATTTGCAACGAGCCCATGTGGAAGTCCTACACTTTCATCATATACCCTCGCCCTGATAACTTTACCGAAGCTAATCGAAGCCGTTTGGCGGAATCAAACACCCGCCAGATTGACTTGTCCGCAGAGGCGCCTCGCCTGACATTAAAGATGATACGGTTCCTCTACACTCTTGTCACCGAGGTATCCGTTCACTCACCTCTTAATAACCTCAACTCTACGCCGGCCTCCCCATTCTCAAAGATTTCCTCGCCATCGAGTCTCTGTATACCGTGACGGGGTGGAAATTTAGCTACGACGTACACAGGACATCTGGCATGTACGACAGATACATGAACTCAGAGCAATTTGTCCGTTGACACATCGGGCTCATACGAATCTCGTACCCTACGACGCCTGACCGGGATCGCTTCTTGCGAGAGCGCGCGCTTGGATTCGTCCAGCAAGCGATGGGCTGCGTGTATGAGATGCCGGATATCGAGCACTTGACTAGGGAGCTGCGGGAGACTACTCGCGACATTATTTAACAGTGTGGCGAGTCATCCCCATATCGTGACCGAACATCAAAAACTCGTTGCTTTCAACATAGCACGATTCAACAATGGAATGACCTACAGGATTGTTCTTGATGTCACGTTTACTTTTCTTGAGCAGATCTGGAGTTTCATAGCACAGGCTTTGATCATAACCCTTGGTAGTCGGCAGTTGTTGCGTTGCAATGAAGCAATGTTTTGACGCTGTGCCAAGACATCCTACTACTGTTTTGCCATGATGTGGGACATTTCTGATGAGGAGACGGCCATTTTTTAAAAAGAGCTTGGAGGAATAGGGGACGGTTGAGACCTACTCTACATTGGCACAGTAAAGGAGGGAAAGGAGTGGCATTAGGTAGATTGGGAAAGAGGGCTCTTCGGCAGTAAGGCGGCTCTCGTTCGACACTTCCTTCTCCAGCACTTGGTAGCCATGACACTCCTATCGAGGCAGGAACCCTTCTCTCTGCTTACTTCTGAGGTTGGCACACCTCTCCCACTCACACCTTACACCCACACTCGAAATCAAACGACATACAAGTTTAGGGTCTGCCAGCGATACTATTCCACCCTATGCCTTCGCTGCCATCAGATCAGCTCGCCGACTACGATGATGTACGTTGTTTTGATACTACTCCGAAGTACCCAGCTGACCAACCCTCCAGTCGCTGTCGGAGTCTCAGAATGCCAAGGCCGAACAGGCCCAGTCTCTTAAGCTGTACGTATCACCCACACATGCCACATCCAATGCTAATCACATCCTCAGGCTCCTCGATTCTGGAAACGCATCTGACCTGACCATTACCTGTGACGAGCGCACATTCCACGTCCACAGCCCGATCATGTGCTCGCGTTCCGACTACTTCGCCATCCACCGAGATGCCTCCACGCGATTCCCGGCGTCCGACCCTCATCACGTGCGCCTACCCGACGAAGATGCCTTCCTCATCGAAAAGATGATCGGATTCGTGTACACGTCGGAGTACTCCGTGTCCGCGGATGGAACGACCGGTGCTTCCGAGGCCGAGCCGTTGGCGCTCTCCGTCCACGCCTCCATGTACGGCCTCGGCGAGTTCTACGGCATCCGCTCCCTCAAATGGGTCGCCGCGGGCCAGTTCAAAGAGCTCGTCGCGCTCTGGCACAAACCGTACGGAGCCTTTCCGGGTCCGCGCCTTCTCGACTTCGTCCAGGCGATCAAGGTTGTGTACACGAGGACGCCGCAGGACGATCGTGTCCTGCGGGACCCTATAATCCGGCATATCCCGGAGAACTTGCACGCGATGTCCGGGCTGGAGGAGTTCAGAGAGCTCGTGAACGAGGTGCCGGAATTTATGGACGAGGCGTTTGGCGACGGCGTGCTTGGGGAGATTGCACGTTCGAGAACGAAGCTTAGCGTGAGGCGGATCAGGGAGATGTGTAGGTTGGCGAGGAGGGGGACGTGGCCTTATTTGGATGATTGAGGAATGAGCGATCCGGGGAGGAAGGCATGAGATCGTGGCTACGGATATCGTTGCGAGCTTGTTGGACATGTGAATCGTTCTGCCTTCCGACTCAGATCGCTTTGTGTGGTTGATGCTGTGTTGGACATGTATGTCGATTCCATTAACCCCACTCCCTTCCGACTCAGATCGCTTTGTGTGATCGATGCTGTGTTGGACATGTATGTCGATTCCCTTGACCCCACTGCCTTCCGACTCTGATCGCTTTGTGTGATCGATGCTGTGTTGGGCATGTATGTCGATTCCATTAACCCCGAGTGGTTTCCATTAGCCAGCAAGTGTTCAAATAGAGATTCATCGCTTCAATCCACTTCAATCTTCCAATCCATCGAGCCCCCACATGCTCACACCACCACTAATAAACCCCACCATTGTACCAGCGCCATTAGGAATCGAACCTAATACGAACCAAATATTCCCGCCAAACACCACTGCCTCTGCGGTCAACGGCAATCTGCAATTGTTGGAAATGTATGTAGGATTGATTGATTGATTGATTGAGTAGCTATCAGAGTGCTGAGAGAAAAAAGACCACTTATACACCCATTTGCCACCTGGTTACCACCATGAGGAGGGGTAGCTACAACACAGGTGCTGCAGTAAATCTCAATCTGCAATGCTCATCGCCATCATGTCGGCCGGCCATGGTGATCAGCTTTGGGATCGAATGAGTACGACACCGGCAGCCGCACGCAGTCGCGGTCGCGGTCGCTAAAAAGGAAATGCTACAACAGTACACGGCTCCTTCGATTCAAAGTCCACTCGGCGATCGTCGCATCGCGTTTCGACTCCTGGGGCGGATCGCAAGGTGCGAGTTCACCTTTGTTTCTTTCTTGCGAACAGTTGGAGGAGGCAGGAGGCGGAGGGGAGGGCAGCTGAAGATGACCCCACGGCCCGTTTGGACGTTGCTGCGGTCGAGACTACAGGATCGAAATCTCGCAATGACTACTTTGTCATGCAGTTGTCGATGATGACGGGTTCGGATGGCTATCTTCTCTTCGATTGGTTGGGTCTGCAACGCGTCCGTGGATGACGTACGGGCTCAAGGACAGGTAAAGTAGCCGCTCTACGGGCTGCCTGTGGTATGTCTTGGGAGGGACGTCCTCGGACGTCGGTATCGGTGCGCTGGGTACGGCTGTCAGGTGCGTCTACGATTCTACGCCCGCCGTCTGACAAGGTGCTCGCGATTCGGCTCTGGGATACGTGAGAGTCCGTCTCGGGCGGCTGTGGCCGATGGAGGATTCTCAAGGCTGTTTTGAAAGAGGTTCCGGGGTTGGCGTTGCGGGAGCTGAGGAGCTTGCGGTGGGGAAGAGGAGGATGGTGACTGGGGATGGAGTGGGCCGTTGTCGGATCGGTTTCGGTGAGGAGGTGGGGGTGTTTTGAGTGGGGCGATGGATGATGGGGCGTAGTTGAGGTCCAATGGATCCTTGTTGAGTTTGCGGGATAGCGAGGAAGAGGTTGTCTCCAAGATTGCTTTGGTACTACGATCGGAGAGATGGGGATGTGGCGGCGAGGTTGCCGGGAATGGTAATATCTGACTGTGTTGATTGCAGCGTATATGACGCATAGAGTTCGAGGATTGTTATTAGTATGATGGAAATCTTAAGACGATACCCTGTTGCCGCCTTTGCTCAAACAGTCGATGTCAACACCTGTGCTTTTGAAATCCAACCCTATCTCACAGCTTTCGCACAATCATCGATACCGATACCAAAGGATCATTGTTGATACCATTGCACATATCATCTTGTCTCCCTCCCTCCCTCCCTCCCTCATAAAAGACGGCGATTGATCATGCCGCTTCCCAAATGAAATTACCGGTCTCATCATCTAGAGCCAGTACTAGCAGATGGTACCATGTCGGTTCGTGAACGAAGAGCATACCAGCATGGAGGAAGGGGCGGTCGGGGGTTTGGAATCGATCTGATTGTGTTCTGGGATTCTGAGACTGGGAGAAGGTGTCACGTGCGAGATTCGAAATCTACCGGCTCCAATCTTTTTCTTTGCGACTGCTTGCTTGCTTGCTTTGCTCGGGGGGTTTGTGGTGGGGGGCGCATGGAGACTGGAGAGTAGGACGCTGAGGGGCTCGGAGGGATGGGTGAAGTTTGGAGATGATGCGGAATTGGCTAAGAGGATGCGTGAATACTTTTACAATTGTACCGCCTCGGGTGCGAATGCGATGAGGATACGGCGGACCACGCAATACAACAGACAGCTACTGGGCTTGCTGTTGAGGGTGTAGAAGGCGGAGAGATGCTTCCTCACCCCGCGACCAGGTTCGTCATGTCTCTGTCTTGGTCTTTGTGAGTCCGTTGGGTCTGGGATCATAGAGCCAGCTGCTCGATTGACTGTCTCGAGGATAGGAGAGACATCGGCGAACGCTTCTGCTATGTGCTTCTCTATTATGAAGACTTTAGCCGAGGATTGTCGTGGCTCACTCTCATACCGATGCTTCTTCCGCTCGGGCTCCGTCTCAATTGACCTGTGCTCGCGATTTTGTGTAAAAGGGTCCAGGAGCCTACGACAGTATATTTCCCTCGCCTTTTCATATCTGTGCACCCGACCCTCACGTTGGAGTGAAAGCTATCTTGTCCTGGGAGTCTTGAGGTGGTGAAATTTGGCGGTGGCAGTGTATGGACGTGGCATGTTATGTCACTCGATGGAAAGGGGGGAGTATCAAGCTCTCTCTCCCCCTGATAGTATTGTAGTCCTCCCAGCCGATTTTTATGTCTTATAGATTTCGAAATGTCGCTCGTCTCTCTTTCCGATATCAGAAAAAGCGGCTTGGCGCTGAGATGGAAACGTTGGAAGCAGCTTCATTTTTATATCTGAAAATGGCCGTACTCGTACAGGATGTTGGAAGCTTCGTTGTAGAGTCAAAAGCCGACGGATGGCCACTCTGGATTTCAAAACGAGGACGACTGGGGTCATCGCATCTTAGCAGCCTGCGTGGATGGTGGCATTGCTTGGGCTTGTGAAGTCCTTTCCTTCCATGAGCATCGTTGCTGGAGGCTGATCGGCCGAGGCGGTTGAATATTCTCAATCCTGCTCACGGCTGGGTGGAAGCTGGCGCTGAAGATGTGTAGATCGGGTATGAAGGGAGAAGAGAGAGAATGAGATTTGGGCAAGGTTCTGGCGGTTGAACAGCCTTAGGCTGCTGAATATAATGTGGAAGTCGATGTTTAGATTTTTGTATGGAAAGTGGGTCTTGCGTTGTGAGCCATATAGACAGAAATTGGAAAAAAAAGATTAAAAAGAGAGAAAAAAAAAAAAAAGGCTTGAAGTATTTTGATTTAAGTACACCAGTGATCCGTTCGTCCCTAGAGAAGCTATATGTCCATGCTACCCGACGGGTCCACCACTATAGCCTGACCAGAGACAGCAAAAACAGTAGAGCTCGTCGTATTTGGACGTTCATCATCAGCGTGGATTGGATCTGGTAACGTTGTATTCTCTAGTGGTCTACGCCTTGGCTCCGAGAGGTCTGGGAAATCTCGACATTGGCCGTAGATACCTATACTCAACACTCAGTTGTGTCTCATGCAAAGCCAGCTTCACGTGAGAGGGAGTGTGAGGCCGATAAGGCTTACTAGCAGTATAGTAAACATAATTACTCGGGTTCTCGACCATCTGCCTTGACCCCAACCTCACGCATTTATTCACATCCGTCGCAAAGATGCCCGAAGATCCCGTCGTGGCGTAAATGTAATACCTTAGTATGCCCTCCAACAGAGCCCAGACCTTGAACTTCGCAAAGTCCAGCCCCATGCCCCGGAATCGATTGATGGAAGTATTGACCGTCAGGCAAGTGTCCGCTGGGGGCGAGTCCGGGACCCCGCTCGAGAAGAGATAGGGGCATACGACGATGTAAGGCGTGCCGCCGATTGCGATAAAATTATTGTAGGGATCCAGCAGGCATTGGTAATAGTAGTCTATCCCGCCGCGCTTGCCGACGATTTGCCCGACGCCTGTCGCGCAGATGAAAAGCGGCGAGCCTGTCTGATGGAAAGGTTGCTCGGGTGGGTAGAGAGAGACGCCGGTGGTCACGTTCGTAAGGAGCTGTCTCACGTACGGGGCGTTGGTTGCGGAGTGGAAGAAGGTGCGGAAGGCTGGGCTAGGGGAACTGATGGGGAGGGAGGAGTCCCGGATCGAGGGTTGTAGGATTGCCCAGAGGGTTTCGAGGAGGTTGACGAGACCTGCCGCGTCACGGTTGCCGCAGTTGGCGATGGTGTAGCGGCCGCTGCGGGTGATGTCGAAGCTTCCTGAAATGGATGGTCAGTCGTCGGTGCTGGTTAGTGTGCTACTATAGCACTTGAGGTTGACACACCTTGGCGTTTCTGTAGGAGGATGTGTGATCCGGATACGAGGATGAATACGCTGAAATGTACGAAGATGGTAAATAACATTGTCGATGGTCACGCGATACAGAGAGAACAAGCATCAGACAGTCCCAAAAGTTTGATTTTTCTAAATCCAAACACTAATATCTCAAGTGTGTTTGTCGCAAAAGGCGCGACTGACATTGCGGAAGATTGTAGATATCCAAGCGCCGGGGCTCTTTAGCGAGCGAGCAGAGCGTGAGAGCTCAATCAATTGGCCCTAGTACACATGAGTGTTTCAATTGATCTCGATTTGTTTCATGCATCGCATACCCTACGGGTCCGGCCCCCCAACCAAGTTGACCCCTCTCCGAAGTGTACCACGAGTATGGAAACCACTGCGATCCACAAGTGGCACTGGTTTTGGGGCTGTAGAGGCTTCGACGTGGGGTAAGTAACAGCGGAAGACCGTCACTGCAGGTCAGTTGACCCTCCATCATGGATGGAGTGAGAGTCTAGTTGAGATAGGCCACTGGTAGCTTGAACAACTCGAGTTGGGAAGGGAAGTCTAGTCGAGGTCGGCGGCATTTGATGACTCGGATGTCTCAAATTGGGAAGGACAAATGGTGGCCATAGATAACGCGAGTATCCCAAATTGGGACGTAATACTGCCGTATATCGGAGCCTTTCTGTGGCTTTCATAAGCTCCTGAGTGTAGCTTCTGAACCCTCTGCGAATTACCCAATATCTGGAGGGCATGCTCCAAGGTATCATTTCCCACGCTAGCACCTCCATGCGTATATCAGGGCGTTTTACCTGCAGTCTCTCGAAATATGGGGAGATCGATAGCCATTGGTCTTTTGTTGGCTGAAAAACATCACACGGATTAGGTATCCTCCAGTCTAAGGTAAGTCTCCGCAGGCCAGAGAATCCCTGCAATTGGTCACAGACCATGGTTGTAATGTCCTTCCAATTTGTCCATAGGAATCCTAGAATGTCGGCCTGGTCGTGTCCGTCCCAGTTTGCCTGGAGTACAATATTTGTTATCCTGTGAATGTAGCTCATGTTCTGTATAACCGGAGTGGGGAATCCTGACAGCAAACATCCGTCCAAGAAAGAAGCATGGCGTGGAGCAATCATGAAGGAAAATTTGCAGCTTTGGTAGAGGATATAGGATGCTTCCCGGTAGACTTGACGATTGGACAGCAGAAGGTTGGTAAAAGAACTTGCCCCAAGGCGTCCTGTTGCTACTGAATGACCCATTCTATCCTCATGCCGACGCTGCATCACTTGCATCCACCTCGTTAGTATGAGATTGGGAAGGGCGTGGTCAAGGGCATGGCGGTAGATGACGTCGCGTATTTCTCCAGGAATTTCCATGAGAGGAGAACGGTGTTCTTCTTGTTTGCCAGTCGAGAAAAGCTCCATGTCGCTCTCGCTCCAGCAACTTGAGCTGGACAAACGGTGTTCTTCTTGTTTGCCAGTCGAGAAAAGCTCCATGTCGCTCTCGCTCCACCCTCTTAAGCTGGACATCATCTATGCTTTCTACCTGTGGTCTCAGGAGTCCGCGCAAGGAGAGATGCGGACCTTGCGCGGGCTTTCAAAAGTACCGAGGAAAATGCAAGAAAACTTGAGGGAGAGATGAACTGCAAAGATTGCATTCAAGCTTTTCCGACACTGCGGGAGCGCAAGTTTTCAAAGCTTGGTCTTTTGCCACAGGTTGCAGATTTTTTTTTCTCTTGGCCAGTTCTAGAATTTTCGAGACCGTAATTCGGTTTCCTTGGTCTTCGCAGTTGGAATGGATGTGATCTGGAATGGTCAACACGGAGAAAAAAATGTGGCTTCAAGTCTTTCACTTTAATGACTGGTTTCTAACTCTCTGTCATCATATTGGGATGCTTCCCATTTCTCCTGAGCTCTGACAAGTAGTCCTGCAGTTTGACATAGGCTTCCAAGTCATCAGGGTTGTCTCCAGTTTCACTATTGCTCGGTTGCTGTGTAGCTTCAACAGTGATCTGCACACCGGGTAAATCCGCCTGCAGCTGTTCTAGAGGTTCCAGTATGAAGGTTGCCAGATCAACCCTGGGCCTAGACTTCAATATTCCGCCCTTGTTCCATCTAACCGTGAGAGTCTGCAGACATTGGAAAGCCCTCAGGTGCTCACAAACGTACTCCAGAAGCGGGACCAAGCGCATACTCATCGCCATAGCAGAGGTAATGCTCCGCCGTTCCCCCCATACAAGGTCAATATCGATATGTCTGATGCTGCTTGCCATTCTCACAGACATACGTTCCGTCTGATCTAGTTCCCAGATGATTGAGGACTCGAGGGCCACGCAAGTAACTCTGCCGGGGTTGATCGAGATGAGAAAATGACTGTATCGATAAAGGACGTAGGAAATCTCTTCATGGACCTGTTTGTTGATGAGGAAGAGGGCGATTGGGGGCTTTTGCACGTCTTTAGCTTCGAAGATCATCTCTAATGGAAATTGGCGAGGACGGATGGTGTAAGGCATGACGAAGCGGTAGACGCAATGCCGTACCTCTGATGGGAGGTTGAGAAAAGGAAACTGATAGCCATCGTCGTGATTTTTGGGTGCAGAGACCATGGTCCTGGCTCTTGCTTCGAAATGCAACACTTTATTGCTCGAGGCCAGGCTGGGAAATGTCCGACGGAACGACTGTTTCTGGTTCCTGTTGAAAAGTGGGTGATTAGAAGAATGTTATTAGCTTGCAGTATTATAAGATAGGACTCGGTGGGGTAATACAAAAAAGAATGTCGGGCTTGGCTGGTGGCGACAGCGTGGCCCTGGAAATCAGTGGAGTTGAGGAAGAGAATTAATGTCAAAGCGCTGGCCGACTAATTTCAACATGATTCATTCAACCATCTAGCAAGCATGCATATTCGAGCCGCTGAATGGCAAAATTACGCCTACGCTAGCTAATCTCGCCAGTCCGTAGAAGTCTTCGTTTTACTCTACTCCTCATCCTCCTCATCTGACTCCTCAAGCGTAGTTTGAGCGATCCCTGTGGCAAATTATTCAAGTCAGCAAATACGCGCCAAAATGAACCTTATCCATCGCGACAGGATGTTGACTCACGGTCTAAATCCCTCTGCCCACTCTGCGTGATCCTCCTTCCTCCCCTCTCCTCATCCTTCTCCAACACACCGATATTCTCCAACGCCTGCATCACTTTGCGGTCCACTGATCCACTAGCGTCGACATGGTGAGAGGGTCTTGAGCCACGATTCTTGGTGCTGCCGTGAACTTTTCGCATGCGGCCGACACCGACGGTTTTGCGGAGGTAGATGTGGCGGGCGACGGCTGCGGCGCGGGTGTAGAACCTACGATATACGTGTTAAAGGAAGGTCGAAAATTCGTGGGGGTAAGGTTTTAGGATGTAGAGTAGGGTGCTGAGGAAGGAAGAGGGCATACCAGTCGATTGATTGGGGTGGGAGTTCTTTGGAAGGAGAAGTTTTGACGGTGTCGACCCAACCTGGGCGCAGAGATCCTGGTCAGCTAATGATCTGTGTTGGATTTGAGTAGAGGTGTAGGCGTAGCCGTGGCAGCCCGCTCCATCGCTGAAGACGTACCGGGAATAGGCAGCTTTCCTTGTCGCTTCAGGAAAGCGGAGTAGGCGGTGATAAATTGCTGTGCCTGTCGTCACCCAGAGTATGTCAGCCATCTCCGTCTGCATACTTTCCAGATCACTCCACCGCTTCTTTGAATCTCGTCCATGCAACCTTCCCCAGGCTGATCGTTGTTGCTCTTGTGCCCGATCTCGCACTTCGCGCTCTATTTTAGGAGAGGTAGAGGAAACTACTCACGTCGACATCGCGGACACTAACACCCCCCGTCATGATTGCGGTACCGACGAGTCTCAGTAATCAAGAGTCGGCGTTTGTTGTTACTAGGAGTTCGTCGTCTTGTTGCTATTGTCAATCTTGAATTTCGGCGATGTGGAGGCTCGCTTAAGAGAACCGCTAGTGCAGCCCTATGGAACTTCATTTCTTGGCGGAGCAGCAGCACGTTCCGGCCATACCATTGGGAATGTAGAGGATTTAGTTGGGTAAATTCTCTTTTACATTTGATTGGTGCAAGCTCTAGCAGCGTTCCTATTGATGCCATATGATATATGTACATCCAAATAGCTCCATCTGGTCACCGTACCCTTTGCGAATAATCTTTTTTTTAGTCCGTCTCCCTCAGAAGGCATCCGTCAATGCACCATGGCTTGCATCTCCCACCAGAGCCTCGTATTTTGCCAAAACTCCTCTTGTGACAGTCCTCTTAGGCCTCTTCCACTTTGACAGCCTCTCTTTGATCTCCTCCTCGCTAACGTCCATGTTCAGCTCGTTCGTCTCCACACTGATTGTGACAACATCTCCGTCCTGCACAACCGCAATAGGGCCACCAACAGCTGCCTCGGGTACGACATGTCCCACGATGAAACCGTGGCTTGCTCCTGAGTATCGACCATCCGTCACTAGGGCTATATTATTAAGCTTGGCGCCCATTATCGCTGCCGAAGATTTCAGTTGTTCTGGCATCCCTGGTCCACCTTTTGGACCCTCGTAGCGTACAATCAGAACCAGATTGGGACTGTGAGGGATAAGACCCTTGTTGAGAGCGATGTCCAATTCGCGTTCTTTATCAAAGACGCGAGCAATACCTGTGAATCTGGTGCCTTCTTTGCCCGTGATCTTGGCTACCGCACCCCCAGGGGCGAGATTGCCTCGAAGGATTTGTAGATGACCTGTTGATTTGATGGGGTCTGACAGAGGTCGAATGATGACTTGGTCTTGCTGGAGAGAGGGGAAGGAGGCCACGTTCTCGGCCAAAGTTTTGCCAGTAATGGTAGGAATATTTCCCTCCAAAAGACCGGCTGCAATCAGTAGCTTCTGTACGGAGGGAACACCGCCTACTTCATAGAGATCCGCCATGTAATATTTCCCACTAGGAGCCAGATCTGCAATGAAAGGGATCTTATTGCTGACACGCTGAATATCATCAAGGGCGAGATCCACGCCGGCCGTGGCAGCCATGGCGAGAAAATGCACGACACCATTTGTGCTACCACCAAGCGCCATAGTCATGACAAGAGCGTTCTCGAAGGAGCATTTGGTGAGGAGGTCAAGGGGTTTGATGTCTTTCTCCATGCAGGTTCTGATTGCGTCTGCAGCCTTGACGCATTCTCGCATCTTCGCAGGAGAAGTGGCAGGGGTGGATGACGATCCTGGAAGTGTGAGGCCCATAGATTCGATGGCGGTAGCCATGGTATTCGCAGTATACATCCCTCCACAAGCACCTGCCCCAGGACACGCATGCTGCTCAATGTCGTCCATAATCTCATCCTTGGTCTTTGTCAAGTCTCCGCCATCTTCTGGTTGCTTTAGAGTATTGTAATTGTATGCTCCAGATGCTTCATAGCAGGTCGAGATGTTGATGGGCTTTCGGAGGAGATTGCTGTACCCGACGGCGATGGTGCCACCGTAGATCATGATGGAAGGTCTGTTGTGTCTGGCCATAGCCATGACAACGCCAGGCATATTTTTGTCGCAGCCGGGCAGAGTAATGCAAGCGTCATGATGTTGTGCGCACGTGACCGTCTCGATACTGTCTGCAATGATCTCTCTGGTCTGAAGAGAAAATCGCATTCCTGCGAGTGTCAGCACTGAGTTGGACACTGCATTGTTTAGATTCGTACCCTCGCCACCCATCGTGATAGCATCAGAGACCCCGATAGTGTTGTATTGCCATGCCAGCATACCTTGCTTTTGAACCGAATTTTTGACAATCTTGCCCAGGTCAAGCACTAAAATCAATACACAGTTAAAGACCTATCGATGGCCCTTGGGGTTTGCTTAGAGTCTCGTAAAAGGCAGACTTACGATGCATACTGAGTCAGTGTGTCAACTACGGCAAAGCATTCAAAAAGACCTGGATCTCTTACTTGCATGGATTACCCTCCCACCACACTGCAGCCACGCCAACATGCGGGCTATTCTTCATCGACTCTCGGTCAGGTACACCTGCGGCGTACAGCATTGCCTGTACGGAGATGAGCCGGGGTTCTTTTTATTCTATAGGCCGAAGCTGACCTGCGCTCCTGGAAAATCATGGTCTTTGGTGATGGTAGAGGAATATCGATTCAACCTTAGCTTGCCATCTCGGATGACTCCGTTGGGAAGATGAGGGAAGTCGAGGAACCGTGGCTCCTCAACCACTCGCTGCTTTTCCTGGTTTGATGGATCCATTATGCGAAAATTGAAGAAGGGAATCGACTAGGAGGGAATAAGACGAGAAGTCGGACTTCTGAGAGACGGCACCAGGTTTCTTTGTATATGAGAGACGAAGCGTCACTTTGTCCAAAATGGACGCTTGCATTAGACATTCCGCTGGCGTGGCATGATTGAAGCGGTTATAGAAATCCGTGACAAGGGAAGAAGTAGAATGTAAGAAGTTAGAGTTGAAGCTTTGGGCCTTTCCCGCGATGGTCTCGTCTACTCCACAATTCAGCTGCCGGTACTCCACCACTCTGGCCTGAATGAATGGACCAGCTGGAATAGTGGCGAAAGAAGACCCTTTCGAATTGTCAACGGCTGTCAGAGATAGAGAGGTTGACATAGTTCGTCCCACAGAGGCAATGAGTATCATCGCCACCCAGTCTAGGTCTTCACTGTTGCATAAGTTTCTAAGCCATGGCGGCTGGTGGAGGCGATTGAGACGCCAGCAAAATGGGAACGAGGAGACGACCCGCCCCGAACGAAGCTTGATCCAGGCCGTTGGAATCCGGCGTTGCTCTTTTCCACACCACTGCTTCTCCATCATGAAATGCTAAATCTGCGCACGAGCAACAGATGCAACTTGCTCAATCAATACTTTAATGTCTTGCTTGCAGAAGAAGAAGATAACTTGAGATAACCTTGACTCAACGTCTTATCCGTTCAATTGGGCACAGGATTCCGTGAAGGGAGACGCAATTGCACCGTCTGATGCGGCTATCCGTCCACGTTTCACCGGTAGCCAACGATTTACGCAGATGGCACGCAAACATCCCTACCATTGGTCCCTCGACGCGGATGAGCATACATCATCGTCAGAGACTTAGGAGCTCAAAATGATGGCCATGCGGCCTTTTCTCCCTCTCTTGACATTTCCCAGCGTCCTGCTTTCTCTATCTTTGATGATCGTCGCTGCTGCAGATGCCTTGAACGAATCTCCGCCACGGCACTCTGCATCAGCTTCCGCATCGGTTCCAGCACCTTCCCAGCAGCTTTGCCATGTCTCGACCTCCTATCTTGCCCTAGCCTGGGCAGTGATACGACAGAAATACCAGAGCACACTACATGGCCAATTAGGCTTTGTGGACATGGTGCAGCTGATCGCATTGTGCAGTATTCTCCAAGGTCTGAGGCTATGGCGCAAGAGATCCCTCACGCAAAAAGAGCAACCTGGGATAAGCGATGCAGGCCATGCCGAGCGCATGGCTGGCGGCAGCACAAAGGCGTCATCGCGTAATTTTGTTGGGAGCTCAAAGCGAGGTGAGTTTCGATGGCGCATGCACTGTTAATCGAGAAATGCTTACGCAAGGCTTGTTCTTGGGCAATCAGATGTGGAATCTACTGATCCTAGTCTATTGAAAAAACATTCCAGCTTCAAGTCCTACACCACTTCCTTTGCGACCTACCCTGTAATCCGAACCTTTTACCAACCACATCCACAAGCTGATAAGCTCCCCTCGAAGCCGACACCTCTTCCACTCCTCGTCTTCATACATGGGCTTGGGGGGTCTTTGGCACAATTTAACCCCCTTCTCACTAGCCTGGTCAACGTTGCGCCATGCCTTGGAATAGATCTCCCCGGATGTGGGCGCTCGGAATTCTCACCCACTTCATGGGACGCCTACACACCGAAGGCTCTTGCCGAATTACTGAGCGTGGTGATCAAGCAACATTGTGACCAGAATGAGGGTCAAGGAGCTATATTGATTGGACATAGCATGGGTTGTTCTTTGTCAGCTCTAGTAGCATCTACAGCTCTCTCCTCACAAGCCCAACCAAACGTCGAAGTCCTGGCAGTCGTCGGCATATGTCCTCAAGCAACCCCGCCTTCTGATAAACAACTCGCTCTCTTTGAGAAACTACTCCTGGTGCCTACCCCCATATTCGATATCTGGCGGACTTGGGACAGGCGAGGTGGGCCCGAAAGTGCAAGCGTCGCTCGTCTTGTTGGAAAGGATGCAGATATTGAGGTCAAGAAGTTGCAAGTAAGGTTCAACGAGCAAAGCCAGACTGCCGTTTGGCGAAGAATGGCATCGGGCCTTTTACCCAGTCGCCCCGCCTCAAAGTCGCCCGAGAAAGGAATGCCTGGAGTCGACGTCTGGGCCAGCCTGAAGCTACCTCTGTTCCTCATTGCCGGTGAAGGGGACAGTGTCACCAAAACAGACCAGCTTGTGAAGATAGGACGAGCTTTGGGGAAAGTAGATCGACCAAAGAGCGGCCAGTCAATGGAAGCGCCCTTGCCGTCGTCCGAGAAAGGCACGTCCTCGAACGGAAGTGCGGAGCACCTTCCCCAAGACCAGAAAAGTCAGAGCAAGGCATCTGTGACCGAACTCACTGTTATCGGAAACGAAGCCCGACCTCACTCCAGCGTCCCTAGCTACTCTAGGCGGCGCCAAGTCCTCAAGACTTCTATTTTTCCTTTTCCCGCTTCCCACGGCCTCCTCTATGACCCTGCGACATATCGCACACTAGCTGGCCTTATTCATACTTTTCTCTATAAACACGTCGATACTCGCTTATCCCTCGGTTGGCAGCTCCAGCATCTTTCTACAGAAGGCAAATGGGATGTCAAAAATCTGGCCAAATGGCAAGCCGTGCGCCCAGTCTCCGAACCCATCGCTGGTATCTTCCGCGCAATGAAGACCCTTCGAGAGATCGACGATACACACTCTCCAGACATCTTCGTACGCAACTGGAAGGGCAGGATTAAGGCTGTCATCGACATTAGCCATGAAAGTCCAGTCTACGATCCCAAAGGTCTCGATGAGGGTGGCATTGAATACCACAAATTTCCAACCGTTTCCAAGATTCCTCCCACAGCGGAAGAGGCAGAGGACTTCATCAAGCTGGTCGATCGGCTACGTGCTCAAAAGCCGGAGACACCGCCCGAAGCAGCCAACGACAAAGTACTGATTGGTGTGCACTGTCACTATGGATTCAATCGCACCGGTTTCTTTGTTTGCTGCTACTTAATCGAGAAAGAGCACTTCGGTGTGCAACAAGCCATCGAGGAGTTTGCGAAGCATAGGCCACCTGGGATCAGGCATGAACATTTTCTGGATCAGCTATTTGTACGCTATTGTGTCGGATTAAAGAGAGCGCCTACGCTGTGATGGTTCGAATCACGGAGGGGGTCAGGCTGCACTGTCAGGTAGGGATGGGAGCATAGGGCATAGATTGCGAGCATACTTTGGTGGAACGGAGGAGCATTTGCTAGCATTGGACTTGTAGAGCGACTTGCTTCTTTGGCTTTACTGCTTGATACTATATGTATATACCCAATACTTCCAACCCATCCAAGTCCTGGCTTTCTTCGTCGTGGCTGGCATGCTGCTATCCAGGAGGCTCTAGGGTCTATCATCAGAGCCTGTTAGCCAGTGAGCGAGCTTATAGCGTGGCATGAGAGTAACGTACCACTTCGGTAAATCCAATGTCTACGATAGTCATGCTTTGGGGAAGATGCTCTCCATCGAACCGCGGCGGGGGACCAGGCGTTCCCCAAGCCTTGATCCAAGCTTCGGAGCAAGTGCAGATTGGTACACGTAGGCTCGTGATCCAGCGAGCGGGCCTGCTGTTTCTTGCCATGTGCGCATGCCAATTAGAGATGCTATTCATGATTCCAATTCCCTCAAATCCTGTGTAGACAAATCGAATGCGTCACACTCGGCGGCTCGCTGCGCTTCTTGACACTGTCTTTCCTTCTCATAGTCCCTGAATACCATTTGTAGGCCTGCTTGCAATTCAGCATCGTCAGCATCGTCGGAGTCGTAATGGCTGCCGCCGCCGTCGCTTTGGGTCAGGAGATCCGGTTTGGGTTGTTGGTCGTTCGGGGTCGTCGTGTTTGACGATTTGACGGACGATTCGAGTTCGAATTCTAGCACGATGTCTTCGAGCTCGTCGTCTGGGAAGTCTTCGTCGTCGGCTTCGGTCTCGTCGTGGGGCTCTTCCTGTGGTGCTGGTGGCGCGATTTGTGTGAGCTCGCCGGAGAAATCGAGATCTTGCGTCGATATGAAGGCGAGTAGGTCTGCAGCGTCTTCGTCTGCGGCGGCGGGCTCCAAGGCCCGTGGTGGTGGTGGTGGTGTAGGGGGTCGTGCGATAGAGACGGCGTCGGGTGTGGTTTTGGCTGGCGGGGTAGGCGGAGGTGAGAGCTCGCGTTGGATTTGGGTGTTGCTGACGAAGAAGTCGTCGAAGCAGTTTTCTGGGATAGCTTCGGGCTTGGATGGGAGGGGGATCAGGGGCGGCTTCTTGAAACTAGTCGATTTTGTGATTGTAGCCTGGGCAGGTGGACGCAGAAGTGGTTGATCCAGTGGCGATGCCTGGGGCCTTTGCAGATAAGCAGCCTTGGTCTGCAATCCACTAATGTCCTTGTCTTCAGCCAATGGCTTCTGCTGTATCATTGGATTCGCAGACTTGGCCTGTAGTGGATTACGAGCCAGAGACGTCCTCTTCGGTGGTGGGTGGTTTTCCTGTAGAACGAAATCTCGCACTTCTGGGGAATTCACATTCACCATCTGAGACGGTATCATCCACAGGGGGCTTGCATTCGCACAGGAAGTCTGTAGAGGTTGCCGTGACATCGGTGGCCCCATTGCACGCTCCTGTTGCTCTTGTACCGCCAGCCCCCCCTGCTTTTGTATGTCAAATTCCTTCTCCTCCTCCTCCACTTCATTCTCCCCCTTCCTCTTCACCCCCGCATACATGAACTCCGACAGATGTGACTGACTCGGCCCCACCTGTATTCCCTCCTTCGGCGGCGGGGTTGGTATTCCCATCCTATGCCTCGCCTCCCTCTCCCTCTGCACCCTCTCCTCTTTTCTCTTCAAATTCGCCTTCCGTCTCGCCTCTCTCTCTTTTATCCTGTCCGCGCGCTCTTGCAACACTGCGCGCCGCTCGAGCACGGCTTTTTCGCTTTCAGAGAGACGGACTGTCGCACCAGATTTGCGGTAGGCTTTCTTAGCTTGTTTGAGGGTTTGAGGGCGGTAGGTGAGGGGTGTGGGAGGCATTGTTGCTGTCAACGTGGGAAGAGTGGGGGATGCAGCAGACTGCAGAGGACCATGCGTGGGTTTGGTGCTTGATGCATGCGATGATGCGCGGGAGATGAGAGAAGCCGGGGGATGGAGGGGCTTGGTTGGGTTGGGTTTAGTTTACTCTAGTGTGGGTTTTGAATACAGTAAACATGGGTGGGGCGAGCCAAACAAATCCTTTCACTCACCATTTATTCTCTAAAGTATCTATCGTGCAGACTGCAGGTGCTACTCGTATTTTTTCCTCGTTTCTTTCCTCATGTTTCTTTCTGATCGTTTATCATGAAACAACGTGCGGAGTGATGTAGGTAGTTTCAACTTGATAAGCGACTCGAGCGGCAAACGAGCATTGCTTTAATTGCTTTGAATAAAGAGAAGGTTCTGGGAGGCTGCTCATCCTACGGCTCGTATGGATGAGATTCAGTGTTGTGGTCTTACATCCGCTCTCCAAATACATATTGTTATCTCTCAGCCATCATGGGCAGCTTACCGCAGTTTATGTTGTTCAATGCCCTTTAGTCTCCGTGTCCCTGACTGTCTCATTATCCCTAGCCCGATTCGCAGCGTTCCATCATCTCATATTGCCGCTACAGACTGCATTGACAGCACTAGGTGTTCAATGACGATTGTAGGGCTGTACAATGGACGACAAGGTCCGAGCTATCAGTCATCGCATATCGGGGACACCGCATGTCATATTGCCGCTTGGTAATCTGGGTCGCATATGCCCCCATGGGCTGCGATGACGCTTCAAGTAAGAGTGGCATAATGATACAGACCTATGTCCTTATCTGGTGACAAGGTACTGGAGAATGCAAGATACAATTCATCGTGCTTTCCTTCAATCACGCGTTTACCCGTATAGAGTGAAGCCTGTCTTTTCTAGGGCTCGCTGTAGGACAAATCATGAACCCAACACGTCCACTTCAAACCTGGCTTTTCTTGGTTCTCATTGTTCAAGCGCTCGTTGTCCAATATGTACAAGGCAGAGAGCTCAACTTCACTGAATTATTCCTTCTATCAGGCCAATCAAGTTCGATCGATCGCCTCAATCAGACTTTGCTACCTCAAGACATATCCGCCAGTAGACCGGCCGTCTTTTGCGACGGGAACGAATATGGAAAAGACCTAGTTGTTGCAGACTGCAGGGACGCCATTACAGGGATCAGACGCAACACACAGCGGGTGAGATTTGGCGAACGCTCCGCTGACATACGCACATGGGACGTGGGCCTTCCTTCCCGACAGATAGGGTGTAAGGACGCCACTGAATAATCTCTTCTGGTACCACTACGTTGTCATCTAACTCCTAAGCAGTACAGGGACTTTGCACGGTTCAATTGGAATTTAAGCCTGGCAAATCATCCGCTATTGCGACCTCACTTGTTGTATTCCAAGCCGCCGTCGCCGTTTTAGGGACCTGCGTCGCAGGAACAGGGATAAACACAGGTGGACTTGCAATCGATATAGGTGAGTACATGAATGAGTAATTTCAATTCGTAAGTGAGGAGGATAGTCCCAAAGCGCGCTCACGCAGGAATCCCCAGGCGGAGACAACAATTTAGGCGTGGCTCTAGCCTCGTATGATCCGCATGTGCATTGCGTCGATGGCTCCATCGGTCCACCAGGCTCTACAGTTCCCCCTCTCAAATCTTGCAATGCCGTTGTAGGCTTCATGTTCGCTACGAAAGATGTCATCTCATTTGGCAAACCAGGCAGTGGCGCAAGTAGAATCGTTCCAGGCGTGGATGCATGTAAGCTTTTATGCCGTCCCCCAACCCCCCCTCACGTTATGCTGATATAGGGTCACGGCAGCTCCAGATCATCAATGTGTTTTAGAAGTTGATACTACCGGGCCGATGGACAACGTGTCTTGGTATGATATTTGGGCGGCTGCTGTAGCTGTTACTGGAATGTGTGTAAGAAGTGGAAAAACGGGCAAGGCGACGGGTCTCGGTGAGCTAAGACGATCTAATGAGACATTTTCTGGAATGACATTAACCATGGTCTACAGGTGAGAATGGTAATATCTTCATTACGATGTGGAATCCCTCTTCGGCCTCTGGAGTACCTGTTATTACACGCAATACAACCTTGATAAGCAATGTAAGAGAGTTGGAAGCATCAAACGATTCGTGGTCGACGGCTTAGGCAATTCGATTAGAATGCCTGATCCGAGTTGTCTAAGCACAGCTTGAAGGCTCATTCGGGGCGACAAGGTTCTTGAATTTACCGGAAAGGCATATCCCTTAGAGGCGATCTAGGCTTTGCAAAGCTCTTGCACACACTTGGTGTTGTGGCGCATTCTATCAGTCCTTTTACCAGTGATTCCAGTATTCTCTTTTGATCTTGGACGGCTTTGCTACAATCCCAGTTGGCTCTATTCCGCTTTCCACTCAGTAACGCCATGCCTGTCCGCTGCCAGATGCCAAAGGTGTCTACTTATCCTACGATTTTCGCATGAAGTTACTTCGAAAGTAATTTTTTCGAAGCGAGCCGAAGTTACCGAATTCTCTTTTGCCTCTTGATATCCCATGCTGTATAACCATGCTGCTTCATCTTCTGATGTACTCTCTCTATACCCCCTTCTTGACTCCTCCCAAGCAGCATCCTCTCTCACACTCAGGCTCTCCAAGAGTCCTCATTCCGTCTTCCACCCCCCTCCTGATCAACAGACCCCTCGATGCAACGATCTCTCCCGCACAATCCCCCCTCCCCCCCCCTCCTTTACAGCCCGCTCCGCCCTCTCCCTCTCCGCCAGTCTCTACTTCACCCTTTCCCGACCCCTCCCTCTCCGCCATGTCATACCGGTCGCTTGCCTCGCGTGCCTTGTGCACTGCGAACTTTGTCGATCGCTGCTCGGCAGTCCTTGCTGTCGTTACGAAAGTCTCGGTCGATCGGGTCGTCGGTGGCGCGTATCGGGTCGGCGAAGAGTTTTTACGGCTTGTGGCTCTTTTGGGTCTTGTGGCTCTTTTGGGGCGGGTGCTGCGCTGGGTGATGCGTTTGACGGCGAGTTTTTTGATGAGTCCATGGGTTGGGGGGAGAAGGAGGGGGGGGCGGGGGTTTCAAGTGCTGTTTCTCGGCGCTGGCGGGGCGGAGGTTTGGTTGTTTCGGTGTGATTGTGTATGCGGGGTGGGTGGACGGGGTCTGCGGAAGGGTTTTAGGGGTTGGTCTTGTGTGGATAGGACAGGAGGTAGGCACCTTATTCCTTTATCGGTGCGTAAACCTTGCGGTCTGACGCGGAAAAGTCGTTGGGAGGATGGACGAAAACGGGCATGGTACGACGATTATTTTAGCTACAAAGAATATTGGAGTCTCACAGAGACATTTTCTCCCGTGAGATCGGATAAATAAGGTAAGTATTTTCAACCTATAGAATCTCTCGCCGAAACAATATCACAAAAGCAGAAGGGATCACTCTCTGTCCTCAATAATCGGGTGTGTTTTGATGTGGAGGTTGAGAACGCCCTCGAGCGATCTACAGAATCGACGTGTTCTTTACCTAGCTCTTGCCTTTCTCGCCGTCATCCGACAAGGGGCAGTACATTCATTACCTTTGCATTGATGAATCCTGAGGAGCAGAGCTGCTCTCGGCTGAAAACCGACATAGACCGCGTACCAAATCCACCCACATTTTTAGTCGTACGAACGTAACAGCACGCGTTTGGAGCTTTCTCGATATTCACCTGAATGCCTGTGTTTGCGGAGTCCCGGTCACGAAGTCAAGAGGTCGTGGGGAAGAATAGTGCTGAATCACGTGCAAGGTCTTGGCAAACATGTGAAGCAACGTAGAAGTTATAGCGATGTTAGGATAATTTTTCTTTCATGGGGCTGTTGCTATAAGGCTTCTATGGTGGGGGAAAGGAATGGAGATTTGGTTTGCTCGGTATTGCCATGTTGGCTCGGTGACTATTAGCTATCATATTTTTGAAGTAGTAACATTTGAACGGCAGGTAGATGCCGCACCTTCAGGGATATCTCACCATCGAGAAACGCCCTTTGGCTCCTTGATCTACGGAGTCTTGACGGAGTAAGGGTATCGTCCCCTCAGACGATGCCCAGAGCGCCAAACGCTCGCACAACATCCTCATCTACATTCTGGACCCATTCCCTCTGGAATGTCTCCATGCCTCCACACTTCTCCACTGCGACTGCCAATTTCTCCCGAATAAAGACCCTCACATCTATCCTGTGCACCGGATCCTCGAAATCTAGGACTCGTCTCCGCTCGTCAGCTGGAGCTTCAGGCCCGTCAGGCTTCTGGGCGTTGGGGTCGTTGTAGACTAGGCTGTCCCGGTAATCCACCTTCCCTTCTTCGAGACTAGCGTCAACCACAAGTTCAGTGACGACGTCAGTCCATACAGTCATGAGGCTCTGTAGTCGAGAAACTATCCAAGGTTGGCCGGTCTCAAGGAAGGAAGTGAGGGCTAGGCAATTCAATTTCTTGTGGGCAGGATGACCGATGTTGTCCATATGAGAGAACCATTCGGTAAGAAGCCATTCGATAACTCGATTCTGCTGGTTGCTGCCGTTCACTTCGCTGTTATGAAGCGCTGCCTCGAGCCCGGAAATAAGGAGCGAGGGGCTAGCTACTGCGAGCCGGGCACATACATTGAGGTAGTCAGTTTCGATGATGCCATCGATTGACGGTTTTGTCCTATTCGGACCAGTAGTTTGATGTGCCAGATACGCGTTGTGAAGGCCGGACAGCAGGGTAGACAAAAGATTGGATGAGATCATCGACTGGGTAAGGTCTTCAACAGCTGACACACCACCAAGTTTATCTGCCGACCGGATTAGCAGCTCCACCAGACTGGTGACTGTACCGCTTGCTTCAGGCTTGACGGACCCAAGCAACAAGCCGAATGGGCCGAAGATAAGAGCCGCGCTTGTAAGGAACTCCGAAGGGATGAGGTAGATGTACAACTCCGTGATCTCCAAGGCTTTGCGAAGTGTTTCTGACGCTACCTCGAACATAGGGAAGAGGTATTGAACAAGAGAGACGATCTCGGATGGGGCTGGTGGAGGTGTCTGACCAAGGACTGTTGACCATAGTTCTAGGGCGTCTTCGAGGAGATAAACCCTACTTTCGGAGTTTGGATTGATGGAGGATTGGATCAAAGGAATGATCAAGTGATGATATCTCCGAGACTCGGCCTGCATTGAGGTTGCTAGCGCTGATAGTATGCCGAGAATGGACTGTTTCATTAGATACTCTTCGCCAGCCTGGTCCCACAGAGGAGGAAGAAGGGATATGATTTGGTCCGCAAAGGGGGAAATCTAGGACCGTTAGCCCCCCTCATGATGTCCTCCGTTGTGGCGACATACATGCTGTTCCATCTTTGTGACAATGACATTGATCGTGTTTAAAAGCGCCATTTTGGTATCCGGAAGCTCCACCTCTTCGATCAGTGCCATCAAACTGCCTAGGATATTCGGTACATAAGGCATGAATGGTTCAGCCGCAAATTCAAATGGGTCAACGACATTCCTGAGCTGCCTTCCAGCAGTGACGCGGACAACCTGGTCATTCAATTGGTCCCGCTTGTCAAGTAAGTGCTGGAAAATTTGGTATACCAGGGGCCTATTGAGGCCTTCTTTCACGGGGAGCCATTGACCAAGGATAACGGCTGCTCGGCGGCGTAGAATGTTGTAGCCAGATTGTGGGATTTGTACTTCTTGAACCAAGGTGTTGTTGAGGAAATGCCCAAAGTCGAAGTCAACGTTGCGCTCTAATACCGGTGCTGCGAGCCCAATTGCAGCATAAATAGAGTCTTTGAGAAGGACCTGGGTATTTTCCACAGCTTTTGATAGTCAGTAGAAGACCTCTAGCCGGCTTGGTGTTGCACTTACTGGCCACATTTCTGAAGACAGTCAACAATGGCTGCATAAGCATGTCTTTGTAGTTGATCATCAAATCTAAGAATAGCTTCTCAGAACAAGATCTAATGGAAAACTCCCAATCACTGCCACCACCCTCTTGGGTTTTCTCCCATTCATCCGGCTGGGGAAAGACTTTGGAGTCAGCGTTGCCTGTTCAAGAAGAGTTTAAGAGCCATGGGACAAGCGTGAGGATTAAAAGCTCCTCATACATGCCTCAAGGCTTAAATTGAGGTTGAATGGGGAATTTGGACTCCGAGAATACGTACTTCTTCCTCCCATTCCTTCAGATCCCGTGCGGTGAAGACGAAGAAACGTGTGACCAAGGTCTCCATTACTTCACGGGCAAAACCCCCTGAAAGCAGGTCATTCCTCATCAAATCCTTCGATGTCTTACGCTCTTCTTTGTCCTCATTTTTCTGATACTTGAACGTCTGCACGGGGTTGAACACCATCTTCAAGCAAGCTCGAATCAGTAGTAAGCCTTTCAGTGTCAGCTTTTCCATCGTCGATGGTCCTTCGCCTTCTTCAGCATCACCATCCGAGCCTATCTTTGCGGATGAATTGGGGGTCTGTGATCCGAGTGTTTCCCCAAATTGACGGGCAAGACCCCAATAAGCTTTAGACAGTCCAGTGGAATCCGGTAGAAGCGCGTACCCCACAGGGTGGGACTGTACCATATTGATGTGGAGCTTAGATATCTGAATCAGGTGATTTTCGATGAGCTTTCTTGATTTAGCTCTCGAAAGACGTGAACTTTCTTGGACTAATGCGAGCATCTGTCCGAAATGTGAAACGAGGATCTTCCAGATATCCCGAATTTCCGCGTGGCGATTAGGAAAATCGTAGCCAGAAACGATCAATCGCCGAAGAACTTGTAAAGCAAGGAGACTGATTTCGATACTTTCCAGAGCTTCACCCTCATCATCGCCACCTGTTGTGAGGAATGTTATCCAAGTCTCGACGCGTCCAACATATATGTTGCCCACGACTTCAACGATATTAGGGGCTGCAGACTGTAGACTTGCCCGAGATCGCTGTAATTTGGCAGTTGAGAGTTCCTTGATAATATAGAGAAGTATGAGAAGCGTCCGAGAAAGTGGTAGAGAGTTGGGAGTACTCCCCACTTGAGGCTGCAATTGTTCAAGAATTGACTCCATCACATCGGGCCAGTCGTGAGGATACTCATAACGCGTTATCTTCGCAATAACAATGCTTATTTGGAGGGCCAACCGCCGATCTGGCTCATTGACGCCGCTTTCCAAGGATCTTGAGCGGATAAGGTTCTTTTCATCTTTGTTAATGGCATTCGTAGCAGTCTTCCGCCAGTATTTGTCTATTCCGTTCTTGAGTTGTATAACGGATAGATAACGGACCTCGAAAGGAAGTGATTTATTGAGGAGTAGCGACTGTAAAGAACTGTAGAAACCAGATGCCTTCTCCCAATTCTGAAGCTGTTGTGTACCACTCTTTACTTGTTGTTGGTCGTTTGAGGATGCCGATTGCAACACGTGAAACAGATTTTGGTCTGTCAGGGGGTTTGCTTCCGCAATGACCTCGATGGCAAAGTTCATCTTCACCCGTCAACAGTGATACCTGAAGGCCAGAAGAGTCTCCTTTCAAATAAGTCAAATCGTAGACAACCCTTTCTATAGTATCGTTAGCTGCGGCTCTCTCTCATCTGCTGACCAGGGATGGTGTTGGTCTTATGGTCAGTGTCGACAGTGATATGGAATCATCAAAAATTGCCGCACCCGCGCTAGCCGCTTTGCCTCGGCAAGTCCTGCTATCACTCATTCTCCTGGTAACGGGCCTACTGTTATTCCCAGGCAGCATGTTCTTGAGATGACATCTATAAACTTCGCTGCTGCTCAGCAGCGAGTAGAGGAACGCCGCCGGCTTGGAGCAGTCGAGTCAAGAACGCGTCTCGAATCGCAACAAAATCTACAAGCCTTGAGCGCGTTGACCCGATTACCTTTCCCTCTAAATGACTTAGGGCAACGGGGCTTGGAAGCTTGGGATGCTATAAATGGGAGAGAAGGAACAAGGCCGGCGTATCGAGTGGGTCAAGTTGATGCAGAATTGCTTGATGAAGAACTTCACGAGTTGCTGAAAGGTCAGGTTGGGGAAGGCCTCAAATACTTTGGTGTACGCTTCATCATCCTCGCTGCTACCAGCATGTAAGCTTACGGCCAGCAGTCTCATATTCGAGACGATTGGTCCTCAGAAATCCTGTTAGGCTTGAGAGCTGTCCTCTTCAAGCTGTCCATCTGGGACCACAACACTTCATACGGTGCCGCTCTACAGAATCTCCGGTATACAGACGCTCGACATCAAGGACCTGTGTCTGCAGCCCCGACCAAATGGCAAAAAGGGCTATATGGGATTCTCACTGTTGGTTGTCGATACGGCTGGACGAAATGGGAGGAGTGGCTTGCCGACCAGGAGGGAGGCTACGAAGAGGTACCCCGACATCTGCGACTATAAGTATCTTCAAGCATTCTGACCGTTTCTAGCCAAGTGCCAGTGTCCGACTGCTCTCCCGAGTGTCATCCATTGCCTCCATTACTCATTCGATTGCAGCGTTTGCTTCATTTCTCATCTTCCTGGTCAACGGCCGATACAGAACCTTACTCGACCGTATCCTACGCCTCAGGCTTACCTCTTCGAGCAGTCAAGTCAGCCGAGAGGTCAGCTTCGAGTATCTCAACCGCCAGCTAGTCTGGCACGCTTTCACGGAGTTTCTTCTCTTCCTCTTACCTCTGGTTGGCATAAGTCGATGGAAAAGATGGATATCCCGAGCTTGGCGCAAGACGAAAGCCCTAGCGATAAGTGATATGGGCGGCGAGGATGAAGCGGTCTCGAACGGCGAGCTCGCCTTTCTGCCGGAACGAACGTGCGCCATCTGCTACCAGGACCAGAATTCTACATCGACATCTGAGAATGAAATCATGGCAATCTCAGGTGCTTCTGGAGGAGTCATTGGCTCGGCTCAAAGTGATGTAACCAATCCATACGAAACAATACCATGTAGCTGCATTTACTGCTTCGTTTGCATTGCTAAAAGGCTAGAGGCAGAGGAAGGGGAAGGCTGGGCCTGCCTTCGTTGTGGAGAGCTGGTTAAAGAATGTAAACCATGGGCGGGAGATGTCTTGGAAGAAGCTTGCTCAACCCTGAATAAGAAGAATGTCAGCTTTTCGGATGATAATGGAAGGCGAGAGACACAAGAACGATCAAATGCTCAACATAGCGGGTGAACAATGAGACCAAACAACGGCTATGGTCGTGGATCTGGACAACTGGAAAAGCTCCGGGGAAGGTCTCGCTGAACCCTAGGAGTGACTGCGCGAAGAATTGGATCCTGGAATTGGCACTGGGACCAGTCGGTAACGGCTCGTTCGCGTCATCTTTCCCTGCAGTCAATCACCTTGCTGACACGCATACGTTCCATGAATCGATAACGTGCGCTATTAAACATGAGTAGGAACCTTTCCGCAAGATTCTGCGATATCCTTAAAGTAGCCCTGCATCGCTCGGCATCTCGGGTCGCTTCTGGTGCACAGCCTATCTGATTATACTTGCGCGGTTGCAGAAAACAAGCGTGCTTGCGTACATTTTTTGTGCGCATATGGACCTGGGAATTTCGTAGGAATGACAACTTTCGAGATTACATTTCACACGGAGAATTGGAAGCCGATATCTTTTACAAGGCGGGTCCAGTCTGCCCTTACCGAAAAAGCTACATTATGTCGTAAAGACTTTGATACTTCAATCACTACGCTTGCAGGGCTGGTTGTCCTTCACAACAATGACGAAATATTATCGTATTCTCCTCTCACTCCTCCTCATCTCATCGTACCTCATCGACGGCGCCCCAACCATGGCTCCCATATCTTTACCAGCGGATGACGCTCTCTCCACCTACTACTGCATTGATTCCCCGGCTTGGTCCGAGCCCTCCTTCCTCCCGAAAAATTGCGCAACTGCGATGTCACAGTTCTTTGTTCAGGAAATGCTTGTGCACGGGGACGTTGTTTTCGAGTTCCATGCTGTCGGCGCCCAACCCCGATCACGCTATCCGTCACAACATACGCCACAGAAGTTTACGTATGGTGAGGCCGCACGTACATAATTTCGCCAAAAACGTGTCCAAGAAACCACAATGTGCATTTTTTGCAACGAGTTGCACGAGATAGCTGACTTGAAACGCCCTTTGATAGGCACATGCACCATGGCAATCGTCATGCTTGCCGCTTTCCACCCAGAACAACTCCCTGGGGTTCCTCCAGCAACAATGTTTGGTCTGACGGATGTTGCTTCCTACAGTGATGCGTGGAATGCAGTAAAGCGAGTGAAGAACAATTGCATATCAGAATATCTTGCAACCAATGAGACGATTCACGAGAGTGGAGGAGGGATGAATTTTAGAAGTCTGACAGGGTGGAGTGCAACTGGTACGCTGCACCTCCTAAGGACATTGGGCGAGTCGGTTGCCGACGTTAAGTATGTTCTACAGGAAGCAAAGGCGCTATTGGTGTCTTCCTATGGGACACAAATTCGGAAATAAACCAGATGATACGAGCGGTCAATTTGCCAGCTGACAGTCTTCTATCGAGCTACGGGCCGCTACATTTGACAAATTCGACACAGCTAGAGACCGCAGGGCCACTGGAAAAATGCTGCTGAACATTACATAAGAGGACATCGATGCACATGCAATAGAAGGAATCCAGCAAATGTCAAGCCATGCCGAGCCATTCCTTATCTTGATCTCAAATGACGCTCCAATAGCAATCACCTTCCATTTTGGACGTTGCATGGGATTCTCCCAATTCGCTGCTTGGCATTGCGCCACTTTTCTTATCAGCTTTGCTTCAATCTGCCTTCACCCCCTTAGTAGCAAGGAGTTGACCTACTTCATTCATGGCTGCGCCTAATAATAAGTCAGATTTCCATGTCTTGGTCGTCGGAGCAGGTCCTGTAGGACTGCTAATAGCGCACAGACTCAAGATGCTAGGTATCAAATGCACAGTGTTTGAACGAGAACATTACCTTAACGAGCGCCCGCGCGACTGGGGCTTTGGCATATATTGGGCGCAGAGCTCGCTCATAGAGTGCCTTCCGACATCGCTCCTCAGCAGATTGAACACTGCCCAGGGCGACCCCTTGCGGACTCCGAGGCCGAAAAATTATATGCGGCTCATGAACGGGGAAACGGCTGAAGAGCTCTCACGTGCGCCCACGCCAAACGTGTATTAGTTGAGAAAATCGAGGTTCAGAGCTCTACTAATTGAAGGCATAGATGTTCAGGTCTAATACCCTCTCTTCGAGATCGAATGTCATATTGCAGTCGCAATTTACTTACAAAATGTCTACTATAGTATGGCAACAGACTCAGCACCTTGTCCAACAATACTCACAAAGGAGAACCAAGAGTCGCAGCAACCTTCGAAGACGGCTCCAAAGCTGTAGGCAACCTAGTAGTCGGTGCAGATGTCTCGAAGTCCATAGTCAGAGATTATGTACTCGGCCCGGAAGCCGCTGCCATGCAACCGCTTCCGATTATGGGCATGCGTGCCACGTTCACATTGCCAGCTGGCATTGCAAAGAAGATGGTCACTGAGCCCCAGGGTCAGTTTGCCGCGATTACTTATCATCCTGCGGGATGTTGTGCCTTCTTCTCCAGTACGTCTCCATCTTATCTATCGACTAACAGAGTTTAATTACAAATACTCGCGAGACCTAAGTCTACGATGTACGAGACCACGAGCGGCCGCAAACGTGGATATGGTTCCCGACGCTTTCGTTCCGCCACGAGGGGGGTTAAGATGGCTTGACAACCCCTGCGGAAACACGAAGTGTGTGGGATCAGTGGGCGGGGGAGCCCGCGGATCCTTTTCGTTCGGCTCTGCTTTCGTTGCCCCAGGATACTGTCGTATGGTGCGAGAGGCTTTCCCAGTGGCCGACTGTTGCCTGGGACAACAGACAGGGAACTGTGACTTTGGCGGGGGATGCTGCCCATCCGATGACTTTTCGTAAGCGGACTACGCTTCAAGACGTTCCATACCTTGGCTTCTCGCTTCCCACTTTCCGATCACTCGTTGAGTCGTTACTGCTGGGACCAGCTCTGACCAATTACCTCCGCAGATCGTGGCCACGGTCTCAACAACGCCGTGCACAACGCCGGCAGTCTTTGTCGAGCCCTTGATGAGCATATCCATAACGGGAAGCCGCTTTCAGACGTTATGGCAGCTTGTCAGACTGAGGTTGTGGAGAGAGGTAGAGAAGCTGTCATTTCTTCGGGGAGGAACTCGATGATGATACTTGACTGGGAGCAGTTGAAGCAGTCTCCCATCTTTACACAAGGCGTTGTTGGCCGTGCCAATGGTGGACAATGAAGAACGATGTTCCGGTTGAGTCGGGCTGGAAAGCTTCATGCATGTCCGGTTCTGCATTTGGCAACACGCGCTTATCTGCTGTAGGGACGGCGGATGGGGGGTTACCCGTAGGTGGCAAGGATTAGAAATTCTGCGACTGTGTGGCTCTCGCTGCTTCTAACTGGTCGCAAGGGAGTGTTGCGAGACCAAATTGCGACATTGGCTACGAGGCCATGAGCTACGTCACCCGCTTAGTGCATGTGCTCTAGTCGACGTGTGAGTTTGGCTAGGGTTCGTCTAGACCATTACAACATATGAAAACCCTTGTGAGATGTTGAGAAAAGAAATCTGGGGGCAACTTTGCCATCTTTGACAGGTTTACCCACCGCATCAATCGGTATTGCCGTGGGGAAACCCGCGCATGCTCTCTTGGTAGCGCCGATTCCTGCACGATAATACACTTGGCGATGATCTGGCCGTGTTGATCGGAATATGCATCAATGGATCGGTAAGTCTGGGGGTCTGGATGATTGCTAAATGGAGTTCGTTGACTCGTGAGTTGACCAAACTCACACATCGACGAGAGCAGGGGTTCATTATCAACCGCTCTTTAGAACAAGATGTCGTGAAACTTGTCTCTTGCATGCTCAGGACGCATTTCGCTCCTGGGAGCTCTACTCTTTATTTTGTTCCTTCGTCACCTCTCTCAGCACTTCGCGTCCATCCATCCATCCACTCTTTCATTCAATCACTCTTCCTCCCGACCTTCCCACCGCTCCTCAACCCCATCACGTCATCCCAGTCACTACCACCATACTCGCTGCGCAGATCCAAAAAACCGCCTTATACCCCTCAAACAACACCCCTCCCTCACCCGCCGCCCCCACTCCTACCCCTTCATGATGCGCACTCACACTCGCCGCCACCGCCGCCGCGACAGCCAACCCGATCGAGTTCCCCAGCTGCGCAAACACATTGAACACCCCGCCCGCCAAGCCGTTGTTGCTCGGATACGCACTCGTCATGATCAGACCCGACACCGTGAATATCGTGTCCGGGTTGATGGCCGACAGCAGCATGGCGACGAAGGCGTTGGTCCAGTACGGCGAGCTGGGGCTTATAGTCGCCATGAGGATGGATGAGATGAGACTGGTGGCCGAGGTTACTGAGACGAGGAGCCGCACGTGCACTTTGGATACGAGGATGCCGGTTATGATGTCGGTAACGGCGGCGACGACGACCATGGGGAGTAAGCAGAGGGATATTTGGAGCGCGCTGAGGGATTGGACGCGTTGGAAGCTGGGGGGGTTTAGGTCGTTAGATTGAATGGGATGGAAAGGGGGAGTTATGGGGAAAGGGGCCTACAATAAGGTTGAGAAGTACTGGAACGCGTTGAAGACGGCCCATGTGAAGAATACTGCCACGCAGGTCGTGGTGAGGGCCGTGTTCTTCCACAGGCTGTTCGGAATGATGGCCGGTTTCCCCAAGCGCTCCTGGCGATGCATCCAGTACGCGAACGCCGGCACCAGAAGCAGCGATAGCGTCAACAGTGCGATGTTCTGCGCGTCTCCCAGTCGTGAGTAGCTGGCCGTGATCATGACGAGGACATAGGACAGCAGTCCGAACGCCACGCTCAGCGTCATGGCTCCGATCCAGTCAATGTCGCCACCCAGCCGCTTCCACGACACGACTGTTGCTCATCCGGCGGCAGGCCCCAGAACACGGCGAGGAATAAGGAGAAGTTGATGATGGCGCTCATATAATACCCCCAGCGCCAACCGATCGTGTCGGCAAAGACACCGCCAAATATCAACCCTAAAGCGTAGCCAAGAGGCTGGCCCATACCCTGACACGCGAGAGAAATTTTCTTCCTCGTACCCTGATCAAACGCTTTCGTGGTGATACCAACCGCAGCGGGCAGGCACATGCTGATGGAAACGCCCAACAGTGTCCGAAAAACAAGGAGCTGGATCCCCGTCCTGCACAACCCGCACGCGAGCGTGAAAACGATATACAACCCCGTTCCCGTCAGCCACATCCTCTTCCCGCCCACCACGTCCCTGATATTGAGGGATCCTCGTACTGTTAAAACTCTCCCTCCCTCACTCCTCTTCTCAGCTAAGCCGTTCCCAATTCCATCTTCACGCTGCCGGCTCGGAACTCCGTCTTGTGATGGCCTTGATACTTTGGACGACTGAATGTTTGTCAAATTTCATTGAACATTTACCCCTTCTTCTTCCCTCGAGACCTTTTTGAGGTCCTCTCCTCTTGCAGTCTCCTTCCCCCTGGGAGAGTTATGACAAAGAAGAGTTAGCAGTCTGACTCACCTTCGCGGCTCAGGCGCAGTGGTATGATCTCCAGATCCTCTATGACTCATCAAGAAAAGCAAATTCACAATATTGTAAGCTGAGCTTTCAGCCATAGAGGCAATATCGACTTGCATGGTGGTCGTCAAACTTTGGAGAGAATTCTCCTGGGATTGATGAAGTGGTTGTTCTTATGCTTATGAAGCAATGTTATTTTTGAATAAATGGAGAATTGAGGAAAATGCCAGAATGATCCCCTACCTGGAGCCCAAATCTCCTCAAACCTCCAACTGCTTTCCACTTGCAACACTCAACATCGGGCTCCCGAAACCATACCTCAAAGCCACCGTCGCATAATTCCCCCCCTCCTTTCTCATATGCGGCGCTGGCCATTCCTTGGCCCGATCACGATAATACTCCTCGTGCAAGTCCCCTTCCGCCTTACAATTATATGTCGCATACACGACCCTCCTATCCTCCGGGCTCTTATTCGCCCCACTCCGGTGAGCCAGGTAATTGCCAAAGACGAGCAGCTCGCCCGCTTGCAACTCACACAACGACCAAACCGCATCCGCGACCCACGCAGGGTCGATGCAATTGTCCTTTCTGTCGATGGAGACGTCCATCTTGTGGCTATCTCTGACGATTTCGAGGTCGCCATTTCGCAAGGTTGCGGCATCGACGGCGAGGAGAATGGTAAGGTGTTTGATTTTTCGGATGTGCGTGTAGGCCGTTGAGTCGATGTGGGGCGCGAAGCCGCCGCTGCCGGAGAGCTCGAGGAGTTGGACTTTTCTTTGAAGAGGAGCATGGGTTCAGCGGCGAGGCATTTGAGGACGCTGAGGATGCGCGGACCTCGGAGTAGGGTGTTGAAGCCGGCGAGGTGGGAGGCGAAGTTCTCGGTGCGGCAGAGGACGCGGGCGCTGGTGGAGTTGACCTCCTGTGGTTGATGTGCGCGGGTAAGTGTATCTTAGCGCGTGTTTCAGAGGGGGAGGAGAAGGGACGGGGTGAAGACAGAGACGATTGAGGATCGGTAGTAGGGGAGGTTGTTTACTTCGTAGGGCATCCATGGGGCTTCTGGTGTTCGGGGCAAGTCATGAACTTCTTGCGCCCATTGTTGGAGATTTTTGGTCTCTGATGGAGTCAGCAAGTTGCGGAGGAATAGGTAGCCATTGTCGTTGAAAGAATTGAATTCATCCTGGCTTGGGTCATGTGATGTAGACATTTTAGTGGATATGTATAAAAAGGCGGAATGGTGGGGCTAATGTGAGCGGATGTAATTATGTGGCCACCGTAAGTAAGATGGTACCTAACGACATCACAATGAGATTGTTATATCTCAACGGATATCATTGGATTGTGATCTAGAAGAAAGAGCGAGAAAAAGAGCGCAAGAGAAATGGCAGAGTACCCCGCTTTCCAGCAACAGTCGTGAGACTCCGAGGAACAAGTTTCCCAATGAAATAACGTAGGCATATGCAACAATCAACTTCTAAAGTTCGTACTTACTGCCTTTCACGCCGTTCTTGGAAAGCGCACCCGAGAGTCCGTACCATCTAGAGGTATTGAATTCACTGTCGGTAGCGGCCGTGGCTTTTCTACCGGACACAGCGTGGCAGCAGTCACCTTCCTAGATAAGTATTTTAAGATCATTTGCTCAGGCCTTCCTGCATTCATATTATAGCTTCTTCCACGTACCTAGATTTCAAAGCCGCAAATACCATGGCATCCACCACCTCCAATGCCCACACGGCGGGTGAGAAGAGCCGACATATCATACGTCTCCTTGAGGAACGCGGTCAAGATGACTACATCGGGGAGGATATCAGCCAGCTGGAGCATTGCCTACAAGCCGCCCATCAGGCAAAAGGAGCCGGCAGTCAGAATGAAGTAAGGCTTGTTTCCTTGATAATTCTTCCTAGAGCACCCCTGTCTTGGCCATGACTCCTGAAGCATGTCTCGTAGCTCGTTTTGCATCCTGATGAACAAATGCTAATCTCAAATTCTCGAATAGGTCAGCATCGCCGCCTTGCTTCACGACATAGGGCAGTTCCTCCCAGCGGACTTAGAGTCTGACCAGATCAAAGAGCTAAAGTCGCAGAACGATTCTGTCTCAGTTGGCCGAGTGGGGCACGAGACTATTGGAGAGCACTACTTGCGCTCGTTAGGGTTTGGTGAGACAGTTTGTCGTCTCGTGGGATCTCATGTCGCCGCCAAGCGTTATCTCACTGCTATCGATCCGGCCTACTATACCGGTCTGTCTGCAGCATCGAAGAAGAGTTTGCAGTTTCAAGGGGGCCCGTTGAAAGGGAAGGAGCTTGAAGTGTTCATGACGGACCCGTTGAGCAAGGATATGATCAGGTTGAGGAAGTGGGATGATGGCGCAAAGGTTGTCGGGATAGCGGACAAGACGCCGAGGTTGGGAGGATATGAGGCATTGATTGAAAAACACCTGAGAGGGAACACAGAAAGGCTTTAAAGTGAATATTTACTTCCTCTCTCTCTTAGTCGACCCTAATTGTACGTTTGTACATGATGAAAGATGATTGGATGCATAGAACCGAGATATTGTACAACAGTATCAACGGCGGTTGCCTCAGTCCCTCCCTCAGAGCGTGCTAAGCTCGTTCTTCGCTAGCTAAGCCCCTTCGGGTTAGCGCCTTCTGCCACCCGAAGACTGCGAGGGCTAAGCTGATGACCGCTCACCCGAAGAGGCTTAGCGCTATTGGCACGTCTGAGGGACTGAGTCAAAGACCGAAAGGTTTTCCCGCAGTCTCAGAGGGCGCGAAATTTGCTCCCGAGGTAGTCCTCGAGGGTAGCCCGAACAGCCTTGATAATGCAATAGAAGAGTATCCCGAAGCCATCAGCGAGGGAGCGCGTCGAGAGTCCATGATCAAGGTCATGCGCATCTCAAGTATATTGACAGTCTTGGTATCTGGTGTCGCGCTGTTCAGTGATGGATACAATGCTCAGATTAATAAGTGTTCGAACCATAAGAGGAAGCCAGTGATGTGGCTACAGGTTGAATACGGCTAAGCCTGACACCCATTTGCCTAATTGGATATATGGAGCCTCTGTTCTCGGATCTGTATGTGAATTCATGCACGCTGTGTTCTTGGATCGAAGCTGCTAAGTGGTGTTGGTGGTGGTATCAGGCATCCCCATAGTATCTCTTCGACCATCAAGAATCGCTTGTCGAATTCGTACCTCATCGGCGAGATTTCTGGCATGCTCATCTTTGGGTTCATAATCGATAAGCTTGGACGTCGAACGGGCATCGTCTTCGCCACATGCTTCCTCATCCTCGGCATTATACTGGCGACTGCTGCCCACGGTGAATCCCAAATTGGGTGCGTGAATTCGAACAGTGCCTCGAGCTACAAGCTCATTCTACGTATCCACGGTGCCACTAACAGTCACTGGTGAGTAGCATGTTCTGGATGATGATCGTCGGCCGCGGCGTCGCCGGCTTTGGTGCTGGTGGCGAATATCCAGGTACGTCCCCTAAAGATAGCGCCACCTACTCAAGGAGTCTAGTCTGCGGGACCAGCTCTGCCGAAGCCTCAGACTAATGTGCGTATGTTCGGAAAAGACGAGGGATACTCGTTGCAATGTCAACTGATTTCGCCATTTGACACGGTATGTGCGCTCCGACCTGTGAGTATTGCCGCTTGATCCTGGTATTCATGATGCGCCTTTACAAATTCAGGGTTTCGTTGTCGCTGGTGTCTTAGCTTTGATTATCTTGGCCTGCTATCATCAAAGGCTCTCTGAAGGTGTCTGGAAAGTGGCATTCGGACTTGGCAAAGCCCTTTCGCTCACCGTATTCTCCTTTCGGATACGAATGATCAACTCAACGCAGTACCGCAAGCATGCCATCAAGCAGCATATACCTTATTGGCTTGCTCTTAAGAGACACTGAAAACCTATGTCAGGGACTTGTGAGTAACCAAAGCCAAGCTTTCAAGTAAGCATTCCTCGTCGGTTGACAACACTATCTATTAGCTCTCGTTTGGTTCTGCTATGACTTCGTGACATATCCGTTTGGCATTGTTTCTTCCACAATCATCTCTCAATTCAATCCGAACAATACCTTGACCGAAAATGTAGGCTACGGAGTAGGCTCTCTCTCTTGGCCCTGTTGCCTCCTTCCTCTTTCGCAGCGGGAAACCCTTCCAAAATGCTAAGCACCCTTTCTTCAGACCGTGGTGAACTGCTTCTACCTCCCTGGCTGCATAGTCGGCGGCCTACTTATGGACCGCATAGGCCGCAAACAGACAATGACCCTCGGCTTCTTCTGCTGGGGCATCCTCGGCGGCGCGCTCGGGCCCATCCAAACTGTCTTCCCCCTCTTCGTCGTCCTCTACGGCACCTTCAATTCCTTCGGAGAAATGGGCCCTGGGGTAGCCACTTTCCTCACGGCCTCGGAATCTTTCCCGACGCCTCTGCGCGGCCATTTTCTGGGCTTCGCTGCTGCGGTGGGGAAAGCGGGTGCGGCGACTGGAACGCAGGTGTTTACTCCCATTCAAAATAACTTGGGCAGTGGACAGAAGGGACAGCAGGGTGTTTTCTTAATCGGGAGTGCGTTCGCTATTGTGGGAGGCATCATTGCATGGGTGTTCATTCCTGATATTGAAAGGGATTTAGAAGGGGAGGATGTGAGGTTCAGGCGGTATTTGGAAGAGAATGGCTTTGACACGAGTGGGATGGGTGGGGAGTCTCTGACTGAGCAGGTGAAGAATACGACGTTCAAGCTGGACGACTGATTGGGTATCGAGGACTTCTAGAAGAGCACATTCGATCAGATTGCTAATGGCTCGTCAGTCAGTCGCTATGATGTCTCAGTCTAACCATCCAGTGTTGAGTTATGCAAGTAGAGTCCAGGGCTTGATCACGAACGAGGGCTCATTCATCGCACAAACTCAAGCCTTGACACTCAGCATACGGCTTCAAGCTCTGTTCTTTATGAGACATAATTTTGCCACAGTCATGACTATCTTCTGGATGACTTGCATTTTCGTCGTAATAATGGCTGTCAGCCCACACTTTGATACTTGATTAGGGTAGGTTGTAGCATCATCTTGGCGTTGACCTCGTCGCGGTGACGCGTTGAGTGATGTCACAGCTCATCTCAGTTGTCGGTGAGGTGAAACTTTGCAGTTTGGAGTTTGGGCAAAACACCCAAAACCACCACCACCACCCACCATAATCCTTTGTCCAACAAAGCCGTACCGCATCACCGGCGCAGAACGGCCATAAGAGCGATCATTGTTACATTGTCTACGGGGCAGTACGTGAAATCTGGTCTCTGTGGTTGGTGGCTTTGTTGAAGGTGAGACTCAAATTGAAACCTCACTTTCATTCCGCGTCATTCTATTAGCGCGCTTTGTTGACCTCAATACTCCAGCGGCATCAAACATCAAAGATCGCAACTTCCACCAGATTCAAGCTGATCATCATTCCACACTCGCTCTTCCCTGGCCAAATATGGAAACCCCAATACTCTCAACTTGAAACCTGTTAGTCCACGGTTAATACTCTCATCCTCAAATCATGGCGAAGAGCTCAACTTTGCTCGCCCTTCTCGAGGCGGAAAATGAGCCCACACCAAAGTTCTACAACGAAGCCGTCAATGACACCATGAAAAACGCTAAACAGATCAGCTACCTGGCAGAGGACAGCGTTCGAGACGGTGTCTCGATACTGCTTACAACCCGCAGCCACCGCTTGGCCCACTTTTTCTCCTGCCTACGCTCCTTTGTGCGACCAATGGCCAAATCTCTGACTGCAGGCAATATTGCGGCGGAGACGGTCATCCTGCTAGTTTGCATACTCCCTGACCTTTACCAGCTCCTGGAGTCTACAGAGGCACTGGAATTTCTGGTCCCTGCTCTTGATGTCTGCTTTGGTTCAATCCAGCGTCCGGCACTACGAGAATTGGCCTCAGTGCTTGCCGAAGCTGGCTCGTTGTTGGAATACTTATCCTCTGATCGCCTCGGCAGTGAGATTCTACGACAATGGGCTTGCACACCAGGCCCGCTCACCCTCGACGCTCAGACCCTTGAGACATGGACCCAAAGATTCATCAAAATGGTCTGTTCTTGTAGGAAAGACCATGACGTTGGGCACGCAATTCAGCAATGGAGCAGCCTGAAAGTTCTGAAAACCTCCCTTCAGAGCATAAACACTCATATAAAGCATTCTAAAGACGGCTCCAACGGCTCATCACTGGTGGCTCGACACAAGCTTTTGCCGCTTGGCAAAATGACCCAACTTAGCAAGGAAGACAAGAAAACTCGTCTCGCCAAGCGCCAAAACTACAACACCTCTCTCCCACCTATTCCTGATCACGTCAAGGAATCCTTGAAAGCTATTGATCTACAAATCCCAGGCTCGATAGAATCGCTCCTAGACGTCATCAAGCGCCTCGAGGGCGATAAGACCAGTGCAGTTTTGCTCTCAATTGCAATAAATTTTCCGTGCAATCTTTGCATTCTCGGGTTTGAGTCTTTACCGAAAGCTCCGGATACAGGGAAAGATGAGCAGAGCATCGGAGCTGTGCCTAATCTGCAGATCGGGGTACGAGATAAGACAGTCAGACTTTGGAAGGTACTCCTGTCATCACTTGCGCTTCGAAGCCTGTTGCATATGGGTAGCCACGGTTAGCTTCCTTCCCCCACAGCTTGTGCTCTACTTTGGCTGATGGTTGATTTAGGTCTCGCCCGTCCAGCAACGGAAAAGCTGGAAACATTGGAATCTGGCAACTGGGAGCCACCAGGTAAACTGGATGCCGCATCTAAATCTCAATCAAAAAGCCTCAAGGTGCCCCTTAGTGGTACTCGTTTTGGGCAGGATCACTGGATCCTATGGCAGATTGAAATCGGATTGGATGATGATATGGAGGCATTGCAGCAGACCATAAAAGGTCAGCTATTGCCCCACCACATTTGATGAAGTGCTAAAGGTGTGCAGTATGGGAAGTGTGCAAAAAATCTGAAGTTCGTTGAGTTCGGTCGCATCGTCGATCCACATGTGCCTACCAGTACCCAAACTTGTACTGACGCCTCTCAGGTCTCGAAAGTCATTGATCGAGTCATATGTATCCAACGAAGCTATTCGGATGAGATTGTCAGTCGCTGCCACCTACACTCTTCTAACCATGATGGGAAGCAAATTCCGGCGCGTTTCGACGACTCTACTCTACCATGCGGAAATCCAGCCAAACGATTACTCGATCAGGACATCAGGATTGTAAATCAAGATATCATCGACATGACTAGTAAGTCGACCTGTCCTCGCGACCGCGTGCACACAGCCACTGACTCATTGTCAGACAAATTCTACGCTCTGACGGAGCCTGTCAAGCGCTCTATCCTTTCCAGTGATCTATCCGCCGAGTTCCCTTTCGAGATATCTAAGGAGGAAGCCCGAGTGATTAGTCACGTCCAGACAGCGAGCCTCATCTTAGGCCGCAGCGGAACGGGAAAGACGACGTGCCTAGTGTACAAATTAGTCACGAAGTATTTGGTTAGCAAGGCAGTGCTAGATGAAAATCCGGTTCGGCAGGTTAGCTACAGAGTTTCGGCATGGTGGGTTGATCGACTGACCGGGAGTAGGTGCTCCTCACACGATCTAGCTTTCTAGCAGAACAACTAAGATCCTACGCACGAAACTTGATGAAGAGCCAGTCCTCCAAGTTTCTCACCTTAGAGTCGTCTCAACAGGACGCACATCCTGTCTTGATGATGGGAGAAGAGGGTTCTGACAGGGATAGCGTACTAAATCTGAGAGACGAATCATTTCCTCTGGTCTACACATGGGATCATTTTCTACGAGTTCTCGAGAATACGACGAGGATATGGCATGGTCAGGATTTTCCCGAGTTGACCGGCCAAATCGTCGAATTCTACACCTTCAAAGTGAAATACTGGCCTCGGTTCTCGCACACCCTCACAAAGGAAGTTTCAGTCAATCTCGTTTTTGCCGAAATCATGGGTGTTATCAAGGGTTCGGCTTCGTCGGCAGAAACTCTTGCACCTCTCCGGCGTAAAGAATACTTGACGCGAAGCTGCCGCATGGCGCCCACCTTTGCAATGGAAGCCGAGCGATCTCGTGTATATGACCTTTTCGAATCGTATGAAGCTTTGAAGGTCCATATGGGAGACATGGACTATGTTGACCGTGTTGTGAGAATACTAAGGGCAGTGCGTCAAGATCCTTCACTGACGAAACAATTGCGATCTACATTCGAGGAAGTCTACATTGATGAGATCCAAGATCAGCGATGTCTAGATATCGAACTTCTCTTGAGCATTGTCAAGGACCCACGCGGTTTCCATTTTGCGGGCGACACCGCGCAGGCCATATCTCAAGACTCCACAATTAGATTTGCAGACATCAAAGGAATGTTTTTCCAGCACTTTGCTGCAGTCAGCACATCTACAAGACAAAGCGATCTTGCGCGCCCTGAGCTGTTCACGCTCTCCAAGAACTACCGTTCCCACCAGGGAATCCTGTCACTCGCTTCATTTGTGATGAGGATGATATGGCAAGGCTTTCCGGAAACAGTCGATAAATTGGAGCCAGAGATCGGGAACCTTAGCGGACCGAAACCTGTACTATTCATCGGTGTCGACTTCAGTATCCTCAGTTCGAGTCGTGTTGGTCACACAGCACTTTCGGCAGGGACTGCCGACTTTGGCGCTGAGCAAGCCATCCTCGTCCGCGACACGAAAATGAAGACAGCTCTTCAAAACCACATTGGCGACGTGGCCCTAATCTTCACAATTCTTGAGAGCAAGGGAATGGAATTTAACGATGTGATAACTTGGAACCTGCTCACAGACTGCCCAGATCAGGCAGGACTGAGGAGCCTGGAGACCTTGAAGAATGAGCCAGCAAAATTCGACCCGAAAAAGCATGGGGGCATGTGTCCAGAACTAAAAAACCTGTACGTCGCAGTCACGAGAGCTCGTAATCAGCTTTTCATGGTTGAGTGTTCCGAAACAACAGCGGCATCGGTTTTGAAGCTGCTCGCCCATGATTCCTCGAAACCGCTTGTTGAAGTGACTCGACCCGGGCAAGAAGACTTCGCGATGAGACTTGATTCACTGCGGCCAGATTCATCTGTCGATCCTGTGGGATGGCGCCGAAGGGGCGATGAGTGTATGCGTCAGCAAATGTACAAACGCGCACTCATGTGCTTCCGCAAGGCAGGAAATGAACATGGAGAGGCAGTTGCACAAGGCTACATATCGGAAAAAGACGCAACATCTTACGATCCCGACACTGATCCCGGAGAGTTCACTCGCCATCTTGGAGTTGCAGTTGAGCATTTCCTGAAGGCAGGTTTCATTGAAGAAGCAGCCAGAGTTCTCATAAAAATGAAAAAGCTTGAAGATGCGGCAGAATTGTGGGCCCAGCACGATGACCACGGGAAGGCTGCGCGTCTTTATGCCAAAGCTACTCTCTACATGAAGGCTTTTGACAGTCATCACAGCGCTCGGGAGTACAGCGAAGCTGCTGCAATGCTACGAAAAGAGAGAAAGTACGATCTATTGGTTTCCTACCTGGACGATAACCACGGAAACATCCCCGCCAACACGTTCCGAGGCCACAGCCTCCTGTGCAAGCTCTTACTCAAGCAGAACAGAATTTCACCTGAATACCGCAAACATGCGATCAATGTTCTCGGATCTTTGGCTGAGCAAGAAGCATGCTTCATTGAGTACGGAATGGACGAACAGCTTGCGAACCTATATATTGGTCAACAGAGGCACAGAGATCTCTTCCATCACTATTCAAGAAAGGGAAAGCTGGAGCGAGCGCTCAAACTTGCAATAACAGAGAATCTGTTGCAATCCACCGCCGATGGTCTGGAACCCGGGGTGCTAAGGTTGATAGATTATCTCTGGGCCGGTCACCTGGAGAAATATTCCCAGCAGCACTCTGCACCGTCTCTGAAGTTGCCGTCAGGGTTTCTCACGCCCAATGTCGTACTCAGAGCCGAGCAATGGGAGACCAGTAATCTCGTCTATAACGTGGAAGCCTCCATCGCTCATCAGCATGTTGCCAGTATAGAGATTACAGTACCAAAACAAGTCTTGTGTCTTCGAAAGATTCTCGACGCTACAGCCTTCACCCGGATAGCCAATCTGGATGACTTGCCCTTCGAAATGATGCAAGAGGCTATCAAGTTCGCCAGGGATCTGACTCTCGACAATAATAGTGACGCGCTGAAAACAGTGCTGCTTCTTACCGGCCTATGGAAGCCAAGAAATGGTCAAGAAGGTTCCATTACTTTACCGTGGTCGCCCCTCCGAGAGACTTTGACCCTCGTCAGCAACGATGACCCTACCGAAGTCGCGAAGCAATGGGTTCTCGACCGCCTGGTGTCAGCAATCTTAGCGTTAGACGCGAAGGCGAGACATTTGTGGAAGAAGAAGTGGCCGAAAGGCTGTGTGCAGTTCATGACAGTAGGATTCTGCCCTAGAACCCGAAAAGGGGAAAAATGCGACTGGCCACATCGAACTGCCAGTGCAGGCGATTGTTCTGGAATGCTTGATGACTTGTTACAGATGAATAGTATCTTCTGCGACTCGGCAGTACTCTACTATCGTCGATCCATGAATGGGATATTTCGAGAAAAGTACATGGGTATCAAACGCCATTGGCTAGAACGACTTCTTCGGGAGCTTACTCATCTCTCCTCTGTGGAACAAAACACTTCAGCCATCGTGAGAACGCAGGCGAAGCTCTTTTGTGATAAGAGATTCGTTGCTGTATCTTCTTTTCTCGAAGAGTTGCTCTACTTCCGCCTTGGGAATGAGTGGAAGCAGAGAAGCGATTTTACCTCCTTGCTCGAACAGATGCAGCTTGCCAAAGCTTTTGGCTCAAGTGTGCAAAACCGTCTTTTCCGAGCTCTGTCACACAGACTGCTCATTGACCAGAGAGATCTTCTACAACATCACTTGGTTCTTTGTAACTCACTCAAAGAGAACATCGGCCGCTGGAACGCTTCAACCTTTCAAAAAAACCTCATGACCTTCCTTGGCAATCTTGACAACATTGAGGTTCCTGCCTTATCAACCCTCCATTCATTGACTTCCGTATTCGAGTACTTGGCGACTTACCTGATACTGAAGACGTGCGTCACAGCATGTGCGATTCCCAACTCGTGGATTGACCTGCACGTTGCATCGATCAGCAAGACCTTCCATACGCCCGAGCCGCTGCAAGAGGACGACAAGCACAGATACCAGCAATGCCTTATCCAATCAACAAAGAGCTTTGGTCTTATCCTCAGCCGGCTGAATCAAGCTGCCCCGTCAAAGGATTTCCTATTGTGCAGCGGCAACACCCACCAGTCATTGCTATTACGGCAACGCAATGCGGAATTAGTCGCCATTGCAGTAGCCAATTTGGCAGCCACGTCTCGCGAACGGCCGAATGGTTTCAATGATGTATGGGCCGGAGCTAAAAAGGTTCGTTCCTCAGAGACTAATTTCTGGTCTCGGCAAGTGCTGACGCTTGCGAACCAGGTCTTTGAATTTGACTTCATTAAAGCTTTTCACCTGAGAAGCCGCAACCCTGATGACCTCACCCAAAAGCTTGTACCTTCATTCGCAAAATACAACGGGAAAGACACTCTTGTGGTGGTAACCAAGGATCGAAAGAAAGTTTCCGTCTTCACCAATCTTGAGCACCAGCTCGGCGTAAGGACCGTCCCATTCGATCAAGTGTGTCCGCGAACACCGTCTCCTGCAGCTACCCACGGTTCCGCCAACACTCCTCCTTCCGCGTGCATGGATAATTCACAGGAGGAGTATACATCAGCAGAGATGGAAGCAATTATCAAGACTCAGCGCTTGTGGAGATCTTGCTCCCGCAAAATCAAGAACCGCCGCTCTTACATGCAACTTCCCGAGGCCCGTGCTATCGCACACTTCATCTTCCTGGGCGCTGGACTACCGGGCACGCTCACCTTCATAGATGGAGTTGCCTTCCGACATGTACTGATCTCACGGGGTATGGCAATGTCATTGAGACTGGCGGTAGCGCATGACACGCTGTCTAAATTACGGCAAGACGCAATGACATGCATCGAGAAAATGGAGATAAATACTGGGTTATTCGAATCTGTTGATGACGTTTTACATCATAGCAGTCAGGTCGAGATCTTGTTGAGGAAAGCCGACGAGAAGATGTCCGATGAGTGCATAGCGGGAGTGGTGAAGCTCGGTGCACTATCTGTGTTGGAGAAGGGAATGAAGGATATTGAAGAAATTGTTGCGGAAGCTGAGCGGGATATGTTGGGGACGAGGGACATGGTAGACAAGGTGTCCTGAGATTGTACTAGGAGTCGCGACGGTCCGACCGACGCTGTGAAAGATGAAGTGTGACTGTACTTCAACATGAGCCATGTTTGATAGTGTATGAACGAGGCCGCAGCGACGATGTCTTTCGCTTTAAGATTTGAAAAGTGCATTCGCTACACGGTATACAGCCCTTTCAATGCGCTTTCCTAAGGTGAATTGAGCGGTGTGAGACTATGGGCTTTTTGAATAGTGAACGGGAATGGGATACTACTAACAAACAAGAGGTGCAGGGAAAAATCTATCAGTGAGCTTTCTGAGTTCCTTTCGGTCAATCAACTTCACACGTACGAATGTTCACCCAATTGCCGATCGCGCAGCTTCTCAAAAGTCATCTCTTATCTTCACCGTTAGCTTGTTTCGTAACCAATTTCATGTTGATGCGCCCATGCGCAACCTCTTCCGAACCGCAACGCCGACATAGCCGCGTTGCATGCCTTCAAATCCGCAGATCCCTAGATAAGAGGACGGACGCAGCCGTTGTGAGACTTATATACGTTCTGCTGTTTTCCTTCCTTTTCCAATTCATCTCAAGGCTCTTCAACTCGCTCATTTCTTTCAATCCCACCCTTCATCTTCTGATCTTCTTGGAACCACTCACGCATAAATACACAAAATTCTAGCTTTTCAAACTTCAAAATGCGGCACGTCTCAACCCTCTTCTCGATTCTCTTCGCTTTCTGCGCCTTTGGCAACGCATCACGTTTTGCGCCCGCTCAACGATCAAGACTCGGTCCCCGAAAAAGTTGCCCAGCTACTTATACATCGGAAACAATCGACGGAGAACAACACTGCGTCGCACCACGCTCAGATGATTACAGAAGGGAAATCGTCAACGGAGTACCACCAGAAGGCGTCCGTGCCAACCCCTCCAGAAACCCAGCCCAACAATCCGCCGTCGCAGCCGAAAGAGCCACAGTCAGCGCCACCGAGGCCCTAATAATCTCTCAAAACAACCAAGGCGTCAGCGCCGGCGCCGTCGTCCCGGCGAACCCCGACCCCTGCGGCCCTCCGACCGGCCAGGCGCCGGGTGTCGCGGGCTCCCTGTCGACGTGCCATGCGAATGTCAGCGTGGCGGATTTGGGTCAGCCAAGCTATTATGGCGTGCAGTGCACGAATGACAATTCGGGGTTTACACTCGAGCAGGGGACTTGCTCGGATTCTTTGCTCACGGTATGCGATCAGATTTCGGGCCAGTGGGGGGTGCAGTATCAGGATACCGATACGTGGATTTGGTCGACGGAGGATGGGAACTGTACGTTTGGGTATTGGTGGGTTTTCCCAATTTTCTTAGGAGCACTGGCTCTTGATGCTGTTTTCACGACCCGACCTCCGCCTTTTCAGGAGAATCCTACTGATGGTGAGGATATCAATAGGTTGCCCAAAGGTGGTGCACCGCCTCCATCAGTCGGAAGGTGCCAAGAGCAGATCACCAGCGTCATTAGCCAGTCTTGCGCGGGACCTGTGTTCAATGCTGGAGGGGTCAATGTAAAAAAATTTCCCAGCGCCGGCGCGTCTAATACTTCGTCGACGGGGTTGCCGGTGGATCCCATGTATCCGAGTTATGTCATGATGCCTTTCAAGAGCTATTGCGGGATTAACGTCATGGATAATTGCTGAGTGGGTGGAGTTGGGCGATCATGGGAAGGCGGTGCTTGTGTGTGTAGATGGACGGGAAGGTCACGAAGGTGGATCTCAATGAGTGTGATTTCGGTGACTGCTAACAGATCTAAATTACGGTGTTGTAACAAATAGCAAATCTCAAGCGCAGGTTCGTAAGCCGTAAGCCAAATGGCGGATGTGAACATGAAAGACATCCAATACTGTAATGACGGTTCCCTGCCCTGTTTCCATAGTCGGACCCAGCATAGAACGAAAGAGTGCTTGTGTCCCCCAAGCGTTCTCCTCCCCGCCTTCCCTTCCATGGGCACACCAACTCTTTTTTCCATGAGCCCGGTCGCCATCTCCTGCTCACACTTTCACTCGCTCTTCACCTCTTTCGCCATCTTGGGCAGCGTCCCATACACCCTATTCGGCTTGATAGGCGTCCCTCTCACATCCTTCTCGTCCACATTGCCGAACACAAGTTCCAAGTGCTCGCCGTCCCCCTCGTCATCACGAATCGCCAAGACGCGAACTGGGAGTTTGAAGATATTCAGTTCCATGATACCAGCGCAGGTGTTCTTCAGGAGAGTGGTGGGGGTGGAGTTCATGGCTAGTGCTGTCACTTCGCCAATGGAGTCCCAGCAGGTGGAAGAGATACCTAAGTAGTCAGTATTAGAATACAATGCCAGGGTATGAGGGGGCTCTTACCAGAGATTCCGGCATATAAAACGAGACTGAGAGCAGTGATACAATAGGTAAGTAGAAAGGAGATCGCAACTTTCGGCGATGCACCACGGATATTGTAGGCATAACCGTTGATCGTAGAATCGACGCGGAGCTTCACCCAGTCTTTGCTTTCCTCTGGGTCAACGACAAATATGTCCCCCTTACCGGAGAACCAGTAGTTTCCATCCCATTCGCTTGAACCGTCAGATTTCACGATCGTTTTGAGATTTCCCTGAAGTGTACTGGTGGCCCCAATGCTTGCGAGACCGTTGGCTAGAAGCCCAGCTAACGCCCATTCCGCTGTTGTTACTTGTTGTTTGGAACTCAGCTCTCTGGCAGGTAAATTAGTAGACATAAGCGCATCGATCACGTTTGTGTTTAAGGCTGGTACGAAAGGATTCAGATAGTTTGCCCAAGCCTCGGTAACTGTAATCGGCTTTTCAGGAAAAAAAGGCGGAATATAATAGACAACACTGCCAGCAGCTAGATTCTCATCTCTGGGTTCTATGTTGTAATGAGGAGCGTCTTGATTGAGTGGTGTTGGGTCAATGGCAGACGGGTCGATAACACTTGTCGTGAAAGATGTACCGCCAGCAAATGACGAGGTCTTTATGAAGGAAGAACCCCAACCGGCGCCAAGGTTGCAAATTAGAACCTCTTGGGTCGAGTTCACGGTTGACCCAGGAAGTAAAATGACAGCCCCGATTGCAGAGCCATTGAAGGAGTCTTGCGGTAATTCGACCCATTTGAGCCGACTCTCTTCGAGGGGCCCAGGGGTACCAAGGATTTGATTTTTTGTAATGCCAGGGTACACAAATGCATAGATGCCCAACCTTGAATCGTTGTATTCGGCTTGATTTAACATCAAGTTTGGCTGACCCCCCAGAGAAGTTGGAAAAGCAACCGCACTATCATCATTTGGACCACGGATTACGTCGGTCATACATGAAGCTATAGTGTAGGGTTGATAGTAATCGTTACTGATGGCGTGTGCTGCATCTTGTTGTCGTAAAATGCTGCCGTGTCCGCTCGTGGAGACGTTAGATACCACGTCGGCCCAGAGCTCTCCAGTTTCAGTCAAAGCATCTGCAATCACTGATTGTTGTGTAGTTGCCATAACTAGGCCCGGACCATTACCTTCTGGTAGAATATACCCGCTGCCGAATGTAAGACGCCGCTGCGAACCATGGCCTGGCACTCCTACCCAGTCAGGGCTACCGACCAATCCAATCAAAGTCTCATACTTGGGTTCTAGAGTGTGGACGGTAGTGTAGATAAAGTTCTGGACCGCTTCCCATCCATGAAAAGGACATGCAAAAGTGTAGATATCCGAGATATTTGCATTCAGGCATTGCTTCGGCACGACAGAAGCATTAGTGCTAGGAGATGATCAGCATCGATATCGCATGCATTGAGACTAAGAACGGGATTTACTGACCGACTTGGCCAAAGGCTATCAGAGGTTACGTTGATCCAAATGTGAGTACTTCCAGCTGGCCAGTAATCCAATCTGGGGACAAGAAGGATAGCACTTGACGGTCCGGCAACAGCGGCAAGAAAGACTGATGCAGTAACCACGACCAATAGACGTAGTTTGCTTTTCAAAGAGATATTTTTCGAGCAAACGGTGCCCCAGAACTCCATAGACCAGAGGTAACTAGCTTGCGAGACTTGAAGGCCGGAAAAAAGTGCGCCGAACGGTATACCATCCCCAAGCATCAACTCGTATCTCACGTACGAGAAGATGACAGCGGATAGCGACGCCTCGATAGCTATTTCGTGTATTTTAGCTCCAAACTGATAGTAAGCCTGATTGTAGATAGCATATCCCACGAAGTAGGTGTTCCAGTTCAACACGATCTCCCACAAGGCCACACCCACCGGGACGATATGGATCAGAGCTCGCAGTAAAGCTGTCGTCCGGCTCCTACGTATGGCGATCTTGGTCGGCTCGGTGTATCCTTTTCCCACTGTTTTGTGACGCAGAAACACAAAGAAAGAAAATATGACATTGAGACCTAGAGCTCGGCATAGTGTCTGACTGCTGTCCTGTAGCAGCTTTCTGGGACGTTTCATGACTTGGGAGAGAGCCATTGAGAAAGTTACCAGGGAGGAAAAGAGAGCGATCCCCCTGTATAAGGCTTCAGCAAGTTGGCGTAACAGGTGAGAGAATACTCCAGACCAACACACCGATCAAGTAAGTTTGGCTGTGGCTTTTCGCTCAAGGGTTCACCCTTTGAGAGAACCTTTGAGGAAACCAAACGAATACTTTCCCTAGATAGAGGGAGCAGAGATTTTGACAAGGTTAAGGGTTCATGGGACTGGTGCATAGCGAGTCTTATAGACATTGTTGGCGGAGCCAGACGCTCTCTGGCCCATCGTCTTTCCCACCACACTCTATCAACTGGGACACTCTGAGACACCAGTCGTATTGGCAAAAGTATCCATGGGGCATACAATTCGGAGATGGGCTCTGCAGTTGCGCAGAGGAGTTTCAGCCCCGCATGGTCGGGCGTCAGGACTCCACCTTAGGCGTGACAGAGTAGAAGTGTACCTTTCAACGCAGTCGGTGATCCTCCACGTTCGAAGTCTGCATTTGATCAACATGTCGTTGGGTTGTGTGACAAAATTGCAGGAAGGAGCAATAACCGTCAACGATATTGGATAAATTGGGAAGAACTGCGCACACATATAGGCGTGGTGGATTTTTGACGTGCATTGTCGGCACAGATGAGTAGAAGCGCAGCATAATCCGCGATGGATACCACGGACCAGTATGCCCTGCCGAGTTATTGATTAAGGCGTGCACCGAGCTGGCATCTTGCAGGTTACGGGTTGCGGTATTCCGCCTAGCTTGCAAGGATAAAGCAATAGTGAGAGGCAATGTTTGATGCAGAAGAAGTGGCGACTAATTAAAGGGGAAAAAGGGTGATACGCAACCCTCAGCCCGAATTGAAGCGTTTCTATTATTGATAGCAAATCTCTCGATTCTCTGGATGGGAGGGATGAGGCTGTGGACTATGCATGCAGCTAAGATACGCTGGCAAAGGATATTTGTTCCTCTAAGAAGAGTGGGGGATGCTGCATGACAGCGCTAGTGTCGATGGGGAAATTGCCAGAAAGAGCTCAATTGGTCCGCGTCTGTCAGCCAATTGGTGAGGCTGCATGAGCGCCAAAAGGTTTTTCTCGCTGAGACGTGGCAACTTACCAGCTGGTGGTCCTTGAGGACCATAAGAAAAGTGGGTCTCTGTGATCTGAAATTCTCGGAATCCTGCCTATGCAAACGTGGACGGACAACGGATTGATTTCAGGACAATGCATTAACCAAATTGTAGCTTTTCTCAATAAGGCTTCGAAGGCTTAGACCTTGAGTACAAGGGTCTCAAGCGTCCGATCTCACCTATCTAATGGACGAGATTGTCGTGAAGTCTAAGCTAGAGGGAGCCGTTTACGTGCTCATTCGACGATCATAGCCTAGCGGACACGCAAACTTGTTCTCATCAGATGGGCATTTCCTTCGGCATCTAGACTAGCACCGTTGGAAATAAGGCGCTCCACGATCATCTTATTCTCAGAATTGCAAGCCGTGCAAAGGGCGCATCCGGTGCGTATGATCTTCGTGTTGGGATCGGCTCCCGCATCGAGCGAGGCAGCAACAGTTGCTGCATCGCCTATTCTCGAGCCCTTCAGCCATGGCCGCGAAAGCTTAATCTCAGTCACCGTAATCTGAAAGAGATGAGTAGCACGCCCAGGCTCAGGGGAAAGGAAGTCACTTCTAACAAAAACCGAACGCCAGCCCACGGTAAAGCTGCGTGGCCTGGGTTGCACTGCATAGCTATGTCGTTTATATCTTTGGATCTTTGAGCCCAAGATATGGTCTTTCCGGAGATGTCGCAAAAAATAATCGCTTCCCCGTTCTGCCTCTTGTACTTCCAGCGCTTCCGCAGACAGCGAGCTTTTTTTCCCCTGTGCGACCCTTGAAGCAGCAATCACAATGTAGTATTTGCTTGAGTTACTAAAATTAAGAGTCGTCTTGATATCGTCATCAAGCTGGGCAAGAGCCTTGTCCCAGAGACTCCAAGAGCCTGGCGTGATGGCCGGGCACTGGGGAGGCCTGACGGAACAGACATGAGGTGCGTGGATTTTAGAGGATGCAATCAAAAGTCGACGAGCATTGATGCATATCACCCAAGACGAATGTGCTTATAAATAATTCGTGATGAAGTACAATCAAGGCCACGATTGTTGTAGAGAAGGCGGATCTGACTCAGCCGGTCAAGATATTGGGGCCGGTCTTTAGCGCGTGCAAAAGGGACTGCAAAGTTTGGCATCGCGACATGATCCTGCCTTACTGACCCCACCATCATCACTTGTAAAGCTACTTCTTGACTGATGGGGGATAAGAAAAGTTGAAATACGTCAGTGGGGGTCGGGATGACATCGTGATGCCAAGCTTGGCAGTCAGTTTCTCGCGCTAACTGAGCCGCTGGTGAGGTGAGGGCGACCCGCGCCTCTGCCCATTTCCGCCTATTTTCGCCTACAGGTAGCATGAGCAGAATGAATGCCCGGATAATACGCAAAATTCTTGCGTCAGACAGTCTACAGATATCCCATTTCGATACTGCCTCCAAGATCGCATCCGGATGCTTTTTGCAAGTTCCCGTCGACGATAATGCATAGCAAACTGACTTTGTGGATGACCTTGCTGAATCAAACATTCCGTGGTAACTTATAGCTTCTTGAATATCTGTGGAGTGGCCCACCCTTTTATTAATTTGCACGTGAAGGCTTTTGTTCAAGCTGATCTACCGAAGTCTCCTCCGCTTTTGGGTCAAAGTTGACTGTTTCAGGACTTTCAACAAGCATGGAAGTCTCCAGCGCCTCGCATCCACAAGGCCACTTCCCCTTTATGTCCCTACCCTTGGAGCTCCGCCGGAAGGTCTACTACTTTGTAGTCACTAGGACACGTCCAATCAAGCTTAAGATCAATTACCACGGACTTGCTACCACCGATACCATAGGTCCAGGCCGGGTCAGAATGTACACCGCCCAGGACTTCCGAATGCTGGAAACCAACATTGAGTTCCGCAAAGAGTTGAGCAACGCACTGTACGCCAAGAGTACCTTCGATCTTTCTCTGTGGTGGCAGGAGACCGAGAAAGGAACTAGATTGTTCCAGATTGATCCTAGACGAATCAGGATCTGTCGACTCTTCATTCACAACCTGGCAAATACCATCTACACTCCCCACAGAGATGTGTGGGGTGGAGCTTTCCCGCTGTACTGGCACCATCATCTCCGAGCCTTTGTTGCTACCCTTGTCTTCAATGGGCATCAGATTGAATCCATGTTAGTCGAGTGTGAGGAACAAGATTCGAATTGGCTCCTGGAGTGCCTACGGCCAATGGCTATGCTAAGAAGCTTCGGCTTGGTACATTTCCGCTCTTGTCGTCGCGAGGTACATCCTTACTTCCGATTTCTCGAAGCCTATATGATGAGCGATCGCGATGTGCCTTTCAGAGATTGGCAAGGATTTCGGAAGCAAACTGAACCGTGGCGCCCGCATTTTCTTTCCGAGGAAGCAAGAAGGGGTCCGCCACCACGAAGCACAGACATGACGGACGAAGGCGTGACGAAATCGAAGGAAGAGATGGAGGCTACGGCGAGGACTCTGTATGCGATACTTTAGATAGAAGATGAGATGAGACCGCAGCAAGACTTGTAGTGTGGTCTTGCCGAAACGTAAATGCGTTTTCTCTGCAACTCTACTTGCCTAAAACTTAGATGATTTTGCGCATAATCATTCCCTAACCACGATCTGACTTGCTTCCCAGTCATTGATGTGACCCATTTACTGTATCACGGTCTGAGAAAGTCTGCCTTTTTGTGTATGATGATTGCCTCGCTGGATGTAGTCATCTAGAATTAGTCTGTATCACGTGCGTCGGGAGCCACCTAACGTAGCCATGCTTTTCGTGACTTCTCGTCGCCGGTAATGTCGAGCAAAACGGACAGTTGGTTTGGCCCGACGCCACGCAGAACTTCGCAGTCGCCCAGTTGATGCTTCCGTTTTGAGCATCTATATAAGCTCTAGTCCCTTCTGTCGATCTTGCTTTGCAGAAGAAGATTGACGTTGAAATTGGTCGGACAAAATCATCTCGGTCCTAATGTCAGAGGTAGTTATTTCAGAACAACCTGCAAATGTGGATAATCCCTCCGCTTTCGACCGTCAGGGTGTCTTCCGATTCATGTCACTGCCACCGGAGCTTCGGCGAAAGATTTACTATTTCGCAATTGTCGAACCCCATCCTCTACCGCTAATTGCGCGCTATGGCGTTTCAGACCACTACTCCGCATACTATGCTGTAGAAAAGGACTTGCGAATGCTAGAGACTTGCCGCGAGTTCCGTGCAGAGATGAAGAACTTGCCATACTCGGAAAATAGCTTCTCGTTCTCCATTCGACAGTCTGAGCTTGAGAAAGGAACTAAAATGTTCCCGGTAGACCTGACGCGAATTCAGAAATGTTATATCTCTGTCACAGAAATGAAGGGCTTGGGGGGAATCAGCGACGAGGACGACGAAGCCGTGCTCTACACCGGTGTTCAGGATATTCAGGACTTTGTGGCTACGCTGGTTTTCAAAGGCCACCAGATGAAGTACCTTTTGGTCGAGTGCGAGCCTCAAGATTGCCATTTTCTGGCGGTGAGCCTCAGTCCATTATCCATGCTGAGGAGGATCCGCTCGGTACGTTTTCGCTCCTGTCGAGCCGAAATGCATCATTACTTTCGTTTCCTGGAAGGTCTCATGATGGGTAGTTGGCCAGTACATTTCAGTGATTTAGTCGATTTCTGGGAGGACTACTCAATTGAGGACGACCTTTTGACACGCCCTGAAGAGTCGTGGCTTGTAGAAGGCCGTGATGTGGCGACGAAAGTGGTAGTCAAATCTGAAGCTCAGATGGAAGCTACAGCAAAGGATCTTTACTCAATTCTTGGCATAGAGCACGACTTCATACCCCAAGGCGAGTTGGATGAGACGTGTGCCTTCTGGCACGTTGGTAAAGAGAAGCTTTTGGTCACGTAAAGCGGTTGACCCGCATTTCTAGCTTTTGAAGTAAGCATTGACTGGCATTAATAGGCGCTAGCGTTCCGACCGCGTTAACCGCCACCCTTCCGGGCGGCTATGAGGTTATCCAACTTTGTTACGTCATTGTGGGCGTATCTATTGGCATATTGAGACAGTCAGACTTATGTAACACAAAACTCTTGCCTCTCCGCATTAAGAAAACATCAGTTGCTGCATCCCCAGTACACAAGAAATATATACAACAGTAATAGCTCTCCGGCAATGATTGTGATCTTCATCGACGGGTGCCTCCTCGATGCCCGGGAATCACTCCCTGAGTCCTTGGCCACACCCGAAGCGGCTGCATTAGCGTTCATCCCCGGGGACCTACTAGTGCTTGTCCCATCGTTGCCTAGGCGAATACCCGAGGCAGCTAAACTCGCGGAAGATGATGCGGAACCTACCTCCTTTGAGGTCCCAATAGCCACGTCCGCGGAAGCTGAGTCATCTGTGGGTGCAGTTCTGCTAAGAGAAACTACAATGGCATCAGAGTATGTGCTTGGCAGAACATTGGCAGACTGCTGATGTGAGAGGGAATGATCATCTGCAAGCGCAGTTTTGCTGGGGAGGCCTGCCATGGTACCGGAGTCTGCGGTCCAAAAGCCTTCGCCGAAATTGAAGGCCGGCTTTGCTATTACGTCATCGTCATTCTGATTGCCCCCAGATGGTGGGTACTCTAAATCTTCTGGTTGAGATGACGGGTCGTGTTCTGAACCATTTGGTGTGGAATACTGTCCATCATCAGACTTTGCAGTTGGTGAGAGAGCATCGTCGATGTTGGACGAATTTGTGGGCATGACATCGAAGGGGTCGAGCTCAAGGTCTGGGCCTTTGACCATTGAAACATCACCGTCGTTAGCTTCGGATTCTGCGGCTGGTGACTTGTTGGGGCGAGACATTGCGGAATCCTGTCCATGAGAATTCAACTGCTTCGATTGACCCATGAAAGAGTCCGGGATATTGGTATCAGGGTCTGCTACTTCTTCCCCCTGCGCGTTTGAGCTTGAAACGTCTATTCCAGTTGCGTCGAAGACAGTGGGGGTATAAGCATTTGGTTGATAATTCTCAGGATATTCGTTGCTCGAGTCAGCATCATTCGAAGAAGTGTCTGGAACGTTTTGCTGAGAGCGGTCTGGGCTTGAAGTGGCGGCCTTTGGGTCATCCGGATTTGAGACTTGGGGAGTAGAGCTTTGAGCCCCTTGGGGCTCATCATGACCATCTACTACTTGAGGGTTGATTTCTTGCGAGTCCGATGGTGGTGCTTTGGCCTGCTTTGGATCAAGATTTTCGGGCTTTGGTGAATCTGGCTTAGACGCATCGACGGGAGTAGTTTCGGGCTCAGGGGCGCTAGGTTTCATAACCTGCAGGTCTGCATTGTTCGAATTTGATTTGTGTATGTCGAAATCTTCGGAGTCTACGGCGTTAGGGTCTGTGATTTTCGGGTCTACTTGCTTTAGACCTGGACTTGAGGGATCTCCAACTTCAGAGCCACTCTCGCTCGTGCCTGGGTCTGATGGAGTAGATACTTTCTTATCATCTGGTGTAGAGGGATTTGGTGTCTTGCTTGGCTCATTCGCCCGAACGCCCGATGCCGGAGCAGCCACAGCAGTCACTGAGGCCGTGGGTTGGACTCGAGTAACCCGGGGAGTGAGAATTTCCGCGGGCTTCAAAGCTCTTGGTGGATCAACACCATTGAACAAGGCTGCTGGTATGATGCAACCGGATTTCGACCACTCAGGCAGAAGAGAGCTGAGACGGCGCGGTGGGGAGAGAACAGGCCGATAGGGTTCCCCAGGAGCAGGCTTGTACTCCACAGCGTACTAAAGCCTTGAGTTAGGATTTTTTTGGGCCTGTTGTGGTGTTGAAACTCACCATTACGCTTTGGGGCGGGCATGGGAGATCTGCAAAATTGAACGATCTGATTGCTGCTTTTGGTGGAACATCTGCTCGTACCCAAGCTGGGATTTGAATGGTGGAAAGCTCTCCCGGCGCAAATGCAACTATAGTGTATGGGATCAGCTCACCGTCAGTTGACAGTGCACCGCATGCATCGGCCGCATAAAGGTCGCTGAATCCGACGCAAATGGATGGAGAGGTACTAAGGAATTAGTCAATATATCTACCACGGTCCAGAAAGGATTTATCCTACCATCTGAAGTTACCTATGGTGGCTATAGCCTCAGAGCTGGAGATATTACTAGCGGCTGTAATGTTACTTTGCCAGTAACCTCGGGCCATGATTATGTTCGTCGGTCCGCTCAGAGGGTTGGGAGCACCAGCCAGAGCTTGTTGCGGAGGAAGTGTGATGCTGTTCACATCCTGACTACCGTTCTGTCCCCAAGGGTTCGTCTGGGCTTTCCAATAAGGAAAGCCTCTATCATCGGTGACCAGGAGCTCTGTCACTGGGTTGTTGAAGTTTGAGCCGATAGTCGAGACGCAATCGCCATTCGCTCCGGAAACAGGCCAGTAATAGACGTCCACATTGCCACCAAACATCGTGCACTGTCCACAACATCCTACATTATTTGTTGTAGTAGCGATAGTATTCCAATCAATCATGTGTGTACTCCAGCCGTCGAATATCCGACCAGACCAGGTCCAGCGAAGTTGATCTGCGTGTTGGGTATGATACTCATAGAAGCTTTGGACGCATTCAGGCTGTCTCAACCAGTCTAAAAACTCGGGCAGTACTGCTGGAGAGGGTAGCCAAGGAGCGCATTCAAACTCGCGTGACCAAATGCAATGCGCGCCGTAGACCACGTTGTATAGTGTCCCTGAGTTATTGAAAAATAAATCGAGGGCTTCTGTCCGGTTGCCAGTGCACTGATTGTCCCAGAGTAGACACTGGTCCAGAAACTACAAGCCGAAGTGTCAGCCGTATTTTCTTTGGTGTATAAGACCTTGATCTGAAAATGGGCAGCTTACGTTGTTGTATATGTCCAACGACGGCCAAGGAGCCTGTTCCAGTGATGAATTCGGGCTACTATTAAGGCTTTGTCCAGTAGCGTTTAAAGATGGGCTAGAGGCTCCCAACACGCCTAGGCCTGTTTCATTGGAGAAGGGGCTGGAATTATTCCATGAGCCTCGGTCAATGGGACTGAGCGCTTGAGCCACGGCGCCATTCCTCGTGACTGGCAACAGCACCACGCCGGTGGTGGGCGTATAAAGGGTACAGAGCAGTAGCAGCGAGTGCAACATTTCTCGTGCTGAACGACACAAAGGCGATTTGGGACTAACGAGAGCCTGCACTGTGCGGCTGGTGAATTGACCAACAGTTTTACAGCAGGTGTAGAATGCCGAGGGAGTTGTGATTTCTCACCCGGAAAAGGGCAAGAAGAGCATTTTCTTAGATGAGCTATAAGGCAAGCGGGGAGTAAGCCTGCAGTGGAGTTTTATTTGTGTAGAATGTACTGTTTCCAAATCTCATCATGCTTCCAAATCTCATCATGCTCGGTGCGGATCAGGAAATTCTAAACGAGCAAAGAAAGGCGAAATACAAGGTGCATCATATTCTCTTCAAGGCGAGAAGAATTACAAAGATGTGGAAAAGGGTGTGAGAGTAAGGCTGCGGATTGTTAGCCGACCTCATGGGGGTTTGATTCTCCTTTACGGCTCTAGGAATCCTTCAGGATCCTTGCTTACCGAAGGACGTGTTTCAGCAAGCGTCAGGCCCACTGAGTGAACATAGAATCACGGGTTGTCCGCATCGATCAGTAAGTATCAGTAGATACATCATGGAGGCACAGGCTCAACCGAGTCTATAGCCGAGGTCTTATATGTATCCGAAGTGGATGCAAGACGGAAGGAAGCGGGCTCGTGCTCCAAAGTCAGGGCACACACCGACAAAAGGCATCAGCTTCTAGGTTACCTACCAGCCAAAACGTAAGCTCCAAACGTCATTGCAACCATGACCGTTCTTCTGCTATCCATTTGGATCATCGCATTCCGCTATTCTAAGACAAAATCACCGTATTCAGGAGACTGCGACCGGAAATGAAAGTACAATTGCGCTGTCTTAGGACGCAGACACGTGTCATATCCTATGGCACAGTGCATGCGTAGGAATTCTTGTGATCTCGCCGTCAAATGCATGCGCAAGGTGAAACGATGCAGGGATGACTGATATCTCCGCCGCCTTACGTAAGCGTTTTCGAGCACAACCACACTCGAGTGCCGACCAATCACATAGTCTTCATTGTGAATCGCACGTGACCTTGAATGCGGCTGAGTATGGCTGTGTTATATTGAAGATCAAGGGTGACGAGGCTTTAATATAGGGATGTCGCTTAAAATATTCAAGGTTCTGATATTGGAGTTCATGAAAATTGCTCGCGCTTCCATTGGCGCGATTCTTCCATCGTGGGGCTCAGCTTCGCAAGGCTATGCAATGCAGTCAGCTTATATGGTACTAATGCATCCCTTGGCACTTAATCCGGAACGCTCTCTATCTGCAATATTCTGATGCGTGTACTCCTTTTACCCAGTCTGTGCCATCCTGTTATGATCATTGCCTGTGAACTCTCTGTAGCCTTCTGATCACGCGTAAATCAATCTAAGGCCCAGATATAAGGCGAGATGACGGCAGAACAAACGAACGGAAAAAAAAAAGCTTATCTCGTCGAGAACTTGATTAAGATGCATCGACTCTCCCTGGTCCACAAAGAGGACGGTGAGTATACAGAAACATGCCAGTCACGGACCCTATCCTCGACGAACGATTGCTCTCCTATTTGACCAGCTTCCGCTTTCGAAGACCCACGGAGGGTGCATCAACATTTGAGTGAAATGCAGCTGAAGCGACGATAACTTCGTGTGTAAGAAGTAGGTACTTCAAACCCCGCGCCACGCCTCTCCGGGTTCCTTCGTCTTCACTTGATATAGATATCGTCGTCTAAGCAAGGACTGTGCCGTTCCTCAAGGACGTCCGCGGAACAGTGGCACCAGAAGACATCTATTGTCGGGGCGTTCTCGGGCTACATCCTCGTGGATGGTCTTTGTACTGGCACAACTTCGTGACTTGAGCTAAATGGTTGAAAAATTGTAAGGCTTCTCTTCGAACAAACATAAGCTCTTATAGATAAGTCTAGGACTCATCTAGGGTTAAGAGAACTTACTTATTCGAGGCTTTTATCCCCCATCGTCTTTTAACTAGCGCTTACCTTTCACGAACAGAGATTAATTGATCTAGGGTTCGAACCATTGGAAAAACGCCCTGATGATCCTTGAAGCCCATGCCAGTTTGCCACGATGAGGGGTAGCATAACACAGTGCTGCAGCATTTCCAGCAATCTTCCTCTTCACCGGGAATCTTCTTTGCAAGGATTATCTGTGCTGACTGAAAATTATAGTCTTATTTTGGGTAGGTTCTACAGTTGCTCTTTTCGGTAGAGATCACGTGTTCTTTTTGGGTAGGTGCTATGATTGGCTTTTTAGGTGAAGCGCCAAGAATTTTCCCGCGCCTATGGCATAGACCTGGAGTGAAATGGTAGCTAGCTATGTACAGGTGTGGGTGGGATAAAGAGTCCGCAATGGCTCTGAAAGAGACGAAATCGAATGAAGAGCAATTGACAGGTGTAAAATAGGTGGATATGTAGCTCGTAGTGAACAGGTGTCTCCTACCCCTGACAGGATACCTGAAACAGCGGCTATATCGTGAAATCCACTAACCCTTTTTGGGTAGGTGGTACAATGTCCCTTTTGGGTAGGTGCTACAATGTCCCTTTTGGGTAGGTGCTACAATGTCCCTTTTGGGTAGGTGCTACAATGTCCCTTTTGGGTAGGCGCTACAATGTCCCTTTTGGGTAGGTGCTACAATGTCCCTTTTGGGTAGGTGTTACAATGTCCCTTTTGGGTAGGTGCTACAATGTCCCTTTTGGGTAGGTGCTACAATGTCCCTTTTGGGTAGGTGCTACAATGTCCCTTTTGGGTGGGTACAATAATGTCCTTTTTGGGTAGGTGCGATGATATCTTGCTTGGGTGACTGACACAGTTGCTCCTTTAGATCGAGATCTACTCACAGCGATCTTTGCAGTGATGAGTGATATTGAGTCGTCCGTACCTAGTAAAGACGCGACTTTGCTTTCAAACCTGTGACAGCTATGGCGGGGTGCTTTTAGATGAGTCTTTGTCTATTCTGGGAAAAGATGGCTCTCCCCTGACTCATTTTATGCTCGTGGCATCGCGCTCCGGCGACGAGAGAAAAGTCGCAGAAACAGTCAACCCTGGAACCTGTACTAAGGCCACCCCTAGGTAGAAGTTTAATGACTATTTAAGATACTCTGACGGCCCTTGGGCGCTTCCAGGCTTCAAGCGCTGGTCGAATTGCGCCGTTAGAGACGCTTCTGTTGCTCAAGCGTCCAACACGGTCACACGGACGCTTCCCAGACTGTACGTCTTCCAGTGTCATGGGCGTGCCATCATTCAGCACGATAAGCCATCTCTCTTCATACATCCGCGTTAGAGTCGTTTACTAGTCGTAGATCTTTGAATTATTAATGACATGCACTGTCAACGAAAGAGGCGAGGATAAATAGCAAATGTGAGATGGCGCAAAGACTGATGAGAGTAGTCGCGCGATGCGAGACGAAATGTTAACTTGTTCTATTTGATCTTGTGGCGGATGATGGGCGACGGGTTAGAGGACGAGACGGCGATCAGACGCTGTTCATCGGCATATGAGAAGCCGGATGTACCTGGGCCCGGACTCACGAACGGTCGCAAATCGAAATCTTTTTCCCAAAACGACACTCTTAAGCGGCCATCCTCATCTCCCTCTTCAGCTGACTCTATCCGACTCACCATGGAGCTCATCTCCATTTTTGCCTCAGCTATCTTTCTCGGCATCACGCTCCCCGTGCCCGTATGCAAGGCAAACGAAGATCGCACTACCCAGAATTTCGCCGCCCATTGCTAAATAGGGTCGTATTATAATCTCGGTAGCCATGAGAATAACGCCGATGCGGTAGTAGCTAATAGTCTTGAGGACACGACTCCTGTATCTCGTGAATGAACACCGACATATTACAGTGGCCAGCAGAATGCTAAAGCCGCTGCGGTAGCAGCCATTAGTCCTGAAAACACCACACCGGCATTGAGCAGTACTTCTGAAGATACGGCGGTCACGGCAGGGGACATGTGGTCTGACAAAGGCTTTGGAGGACCTCACATTAGCGGAGAACGAATGTGTGGACGGCATGGTAGCGTCCTTTGGTTTGGAGTTGTCATTGCGAGACTGTGCAGTTTCGAAGCGCACAAGATGCTATGGTAGCTAAACGTCGCATTTGGAAAGTAGTCGAAAAGTCATCTATCAATAGGCTCTAAGATCGGTCTTGGAGATCCAGACTTTTTGGAGCAGCTGAAACTTTTGTCAAATAGATCTGTAGTATTTGGTGGACCTGTCCCCCCACAAATATGTTCTAAGAACTTCCTTGGTTGGAGCAGAAGCCCCTTTGAAAGCGGCGAGTATAGCCTCGACTCGAGATATTCTCCTAGCCTCGCTTGCGAGATGGAGAGCGTGACTTGCTCGGCCTGCCAAGTCCAGGTGTAAAGTAGTCGGCTGGGGAACGCGGAGTCTCCCATCGCAGTGTAGAGTATGAAGTTCCTTGGAAGGCCGCATATTCGGAGATTGGTCTTGCGGCAAGGTTATTGGCGGCTTGACAGATGAGAATTTCGTCACCATTTTGAGGGTCGATATCATTCTCTCGGGTGCTTGGGGGGTTCGTGACATTTGACGACAACAGTTGATGCTTTGGCGGTAGTGGTTGGCCATTGATATCGAATCCGTCCGCAAATTTCTGATAGAGGTGAGACTGACCCGTAATTGGTGAGGACGAGGCATCGAAAGGTGTCCCGAAGTCATGGCCACTGAGATGGAAACTTGTGAGATACTGTTCCAGGGTGTTATGATACACGAGAAATGGAGTACTGACGGAAAGAGTGTGTTGAGATCTTCAAGTTCCACGCCTTGGGCCAAGCGCTGTTCAAGGCCACGACCCTCTCCTGCAGAAACTCGCCCATCGAGTCCTTGTAGCTGGACCTGCCTAAAAAATCTTAGTCGCGCCTGATAGCAATCGTAGGTATTGAAGACATACGCCTGTACTCCACCAACTTGTGCCGGGCGGGTCCCTAAGAAATCATGTCTAGCAGAGTCTTTCAAGAACAATGTTATTGGTATAGAAGCATCATTTTGCGAGTTCTGAGGCACCTTGACTGGACACTCTCCTGCCCACTGGGCATGCTGAGCTTTCCATGGACCGATCCTTTATCATAAGCCAGAATGTCAGCTGAATCTTCTTTTGGCCACTGAGTTGTAGACTCACGTGGCTCTGAGATGTTGACCTGTAGATGCCCTAAGCTCACTTGATAATCTGTCGAAGAATTTCCTCACTTGGCCGACTATGTGCTCCAGTGTCTGGGGAGAGCACGACATCTCCGGTAGCTCTACCATGACCACGAATCGAGAGTTCATCTTTCTGGGACTTGATGTTGTAACTTCTCCTCGTTGGATCCTGGTGAATGAAATGTAGGCACTGAAGGCTGCCAAATACAAATTGCAAGATCCAGCTCTTATAACAAAGGCCCTCTCGTCTGCAGAGAAGATGACAAACTCACATTTCAGGGAAGACGCGACACTGTGCTGGCTTTGACAATGATCAAAGAGTCTCGTCGAAGCCCACAGTGCGGTCCTGCGATGTTGGGCGAATTTAAAATTTAGTAACCCAGATTGGGAAACATGTGCATTAGCGAGCTTGGAAAGACCTCTGTGCCCAAGAGCATCCAATCTGATGCTCTTGTCGGCGGCCAGTAGTTGACATCTTCCATGCTCAAAACGTGGGTACGGGGAAGGAGAATTCGATTTCGGCGTTTCTGCTACATCAATGCTCAGGCCCCACTAAGACGGGGCTGTGGGCAGCATACCGCACAGACCTCAGCCTCGGATTTCATTTCCGGAGCAAGCTTGCCATGATCCTAGGCAACAAGGCGCCAAATGCGACTAATGTCTGTGAATCTGTTGTCGGGCAAATTACATATTCATACCCCAAACTATACCCCATCTTACATTTCCTTAACCCCAGGGGGTAAGAAGTTGCTGTTAATAGGGGTATGATTTTGTAAGAATCCCATAGTGGCCTAAAATTGCTATCTAAGGGCGTACTTTCGAAGTTTAACTAGATGCGAGTTAAGGACCCCTTATTAACGTCAGCGTAATCTCGACTCTAAAATCGTGATGTTTTTCTCGTTGTGGGCGTCAGCGTTGAATAGGAGCGGGGTTTTAGGGTAGGGTTTCGGGGCGGGCTGGGGTAAGGCAGCCTGTACGAGTAACCCGCCTTAAGCCGGTAACTCGTCGATTTAATCTCTCAGTCTGCATGCACTCTACCCTACTATATAATAGGGTTCTTATATAGAGGCATCGGGACAGCTACACCTATAGATTGATGACATTTTACATTTTCATGACCTAAGGAATGATAACTCGCCACAGTGGGACTGGGTCACATAATATGCCTCTGTTCAGGGCCTTATCGATACCCTTGCAAGGGGTTCCAAAGCTGTTTCTGACAAGCTTGATATTGCAGAAGAGAGTCCAAAATGACAGCATACAGGCATCAGTCCATGATGCTAGAGCTAAGGGTTAGAAACAGCACTTTCGAAGGCTTGTCGCTGACTGCCATGTCATATTGCTCTAGTGCTAAGTCCTGTGGTGTGCCGATAGTGGGAATTACCAGGTTGGTATCTTACGTAGAAGCGGCAGGACAATGTCATACCCGCTTCCCCGACTCGAAAAAGCCACCGAGCGGCACGAAGACGCCGCCTCGGCTGCCCTCAGAAGGCAGAGGAATGGCATGATTTTGGATCAGAATTTGCCGCTTCAACTGAAGTTCAACTGGAGTTCCACTTTTATTCGATACGAGAGGCCCGGAGTCCAGGCAGCCAACTGCAGCAAGTGTTTCCAACTGACCGAAGTTAGTCAGGGATAAATGAAGATGCTGAAAGGGCGCAAACCTCGAAGCCCACGCGCTACACCGCGCACCAACATTCGACGGTACAATATTCAGCCAATGATGGGTTATACACACAATTCAGGACACTAGGTCGCAACGTTGATTGGAAATTGACCATGCAGCTGTTGGGGCTGGGCCTCAACACCCATTCTTACCAGGGGATGGCCCCCAAACAGGGGAAACAGGTATCGTTGTCAAGGCACCCCTGCTGTATCTTCTGAGAAACACTTACTGTCTAAAGACACGATCCCATAAGGATGCACCATGAAAACAGGGTCTTGATTGGACGTCATTATAATGTTATCTCATGAAAATGCCGATCTTGTAAGGTCGCACCGTGCCTATATATACAAGGTCTTGATTGGCTGAAGCCCTCAGATGTTTAATGCGCCTCGAAGTAATCTCAAAGCCTCCATCTACACGGTGGTAATCCTTAGTGCGGATGTAGAGTCTGGATTCAACCTCAGCAGATGGACTGACAGGCGGGGCTGCGTGGTGGTCAGGATCCAGTCTTCGTTATGTTCCTGGGAGCTTGTAACGTCAAGGCATAAGTCTAGGAGTATCCATTACTTCATGTAGTGTTTGGATAGGCAACGTGGTTACGAATGATCAAGAAGCATTTGCTCAAGGAATATGTTGAAGTCGTGTGGGAATAGCCGGCTCCTCTTCGGAACAAAGGAACGCAATCAGACTTTGGCCACACTTGAGTCGATATTAACCCTAGTCCAAATGAGGCGCTAGGGTGTGCGACTTCGGCGTCAATATCGTATGCATGGGCCGTCGAACATTGATATGTGTTGCCTCTCCTAGTATGCTTGTAAGTATCGAGACGATGGAAGATTATATGGAATGTCTGGGAAGAAAGGCAACATATTGATCAAAGAATATTCAACGCCCGCGTAGCTCTCCCACATCCTGCTCGGGCTTTCCCACCTAGAGATCTGCCAGCAAAGGAAAAATCATCGTGCCAGGACATGACGTGAAGCAGCAAAACTGCTTGGCGGCTATCGTGACTTTCGAATCGAATGTAGTCTTGTTACTTCCAACCCCTCGCAAGATCGTCCCATTCTCGGCTACCCTCCGATCAACTTCTTTTCGGGCAGGTCTCTTTGTCGACAGCCTCACAGAATCCGTAGAGATGTCTGATATTCTTCGTGTTAGACACAGCTGCCCAGATAATTGAAGGGATGTCCACGTGCGTTTGGCAATTGATGAGAGTGTTCCACTCACATTTGGGTTCAAGAAGACTCCAATGTGTCCTCCAGCGTCTCGGTGGCATTGCAGGTCTTTGCTTCGGTGTTTTCAGGTTCTTTGTATCTGTCCTTCTGTTGGTGGATCTTGCAATACAGCGGTCCGGATTCATCCAGGTACCGCTCCATAGGTGGAGAAAGACGACAGTCCTTCCAAAGGCACTTGTTGGGCGAGGCCTGAGTCGCGTTTCTGTCATGTCTCGTCAGCCATCCTCCCATCTCACAGTATACATCAAATTGCAGCCTCCATACCCGGATCTCTGCCCTTCGATGGCATGTTCGAACTCTTTAGCACCAACGTGACCGTCCTGAGGTTGGCTTCGAGACTCGTGTTTGATTCTGTGTTTCTTTTCTGAGGCAGACATGATGTGTCTAGAGGTTGCTGAAGTTGTGCGTAGTCGTTGGGCGTTTAGGAGTGAGGAGAAGATATCCTGAGCAGGCGCAGCGGTGGGTCATATCACCCTAGCTCAGAGGTTTTTTGGCTTGGCTGGGTTTTTGTATGGGCCTATTCTGGAAAGGGACTCATGATAGGACAGTATTGAGCCTCATGGCCGCTTCATCAGCGCCATCATACCGCTCCGCATATGCAGTTCGATGCGTTTTATGATAAAGTAGGGTGTGAATCCCTGCTGTTTTCATGTGCCTGGAAGTGAGGCAGACTTGCAGTGACTGAGGGTTCCGTTGGAGTCTTTAGATGGCGATTCTTGGACAACTTGAATGTTATTGGTCCTAATATCGGCATTAGGCCATGTCCACCCTCTTCCCGTGCCAAGCAGCAACCAATGTCGTACCTTGTCCATGTCAGGATCCGTTACAAGGATTGGTGAAGATTGGACTAACCGGGCATTCAATTAGACGTTTGACGGGCGCTTTGCATCGCCAGATATGCTCGTCTTGATTTTGAGCATGCTCTAACCAAATGGCCTTACTGAGCGTGATTTGTGAATCAGTAGCGTGGTATCAATTGAAGATGCTTGGTATGGATTGTTCATGCTTGAATCATGGGTGCTTGTGGGGATTTGCGTAAGGTTGGCGGGACTGTCAGCTGATCTCTGGAAACCAATAAAAAGGCTAATCACGCATACCGAGTGGGTATGCAATGGATCTTAGGGGTCGATGCATCGTGTGAATCATATGTATCCTTCCTCGGGAGATAATAAGCAAAGAGTGGAGTGGAATAAGTTATTGTCAGCCTGGGGAGGCTTCTGCAGCCCGCGACGGGAAACGAAATTGCAGGTTGACTAACATGTGCAATACAGTAAGGCACTCGAATCATGTCAACTTCAAATGAGGCCGCTCAGTACCCCTGTCGCAGCTGTCGCCTTCAAAAGGAGTGTATAGGTCAACAAATCTTCGGGTCAAAGCGAACGAAGATCCTCCAGTTCCACCTAATGAGTTAGTTCCACAAGGAAACAGACGTAGACGTCAATGTTACCCCGACTGAAAATGTTAGCTATTATTCAGGGCGTCATACGGAAGACGGTCACTGCACAAGTCCGTCTCCTCGGCGTGTCTCGCCGAAGATGGCTCGACTTCTCCTTTCCCCATGCCAGACAGTACCTTGCATTCACTTCATCACTTTTCAACTAGCTCAGTGATCTCCATGCTTGCGCACGAATGATCGACCAACGGCTTTTACGAAACCTGTCACACTCGGTGTATTGGGAAGTTCCGGGCTTCCTTCAATGCAAATTGGCAAAAGTAAAACAGTCCGACTTGAAAGCTTTCAAAGCCCTGATTGGGGGAGCATTGGACCTCGTGCCTGCTACGTTCCGAAGAATTAGGAGGTGCCTATCTGTTCGGTCCCCACGCTAGAAAACGGAAAATTGTGTTGAGCGCTGTCTGAGGACTTCCCTTGTACCTAACCTTAGCCACCGAGAGAGACATAAAGAGGTAAGTATATGTGCTTACAAGCATTGCTAGTCTCTAAAATCCCTCATTCTTCTGTATATTGTTGTCAAGTATTTGGTTCTTGACCGCACTGCTCGCCTTAGCTTGCAAGCTTCTAGGTTCGATCAGAGGACTCAAGTTCCATGATGCATGTCAGTTTCCAATTAAAGCCATGTGTGTTGGATAATCGTTCAATTGGGCTCCTGAGAATGCTCTAATTTCCACCTAGCAGTGCGGCCGAGACACGGAAGAGGATCCATGCAACTGCCGCTCTGTAATTTATCATTTCTTAGGGGTTAAAATGCGCTGACTGCAGGAAGAAGATTTGTCGGGACAATTTCTGGGGTTTAATACAGATTTTATGTCCCTTTCTGTACGTTGACACGGGTCGTATCTCTACCCCACGGGCCCCCCTCACCGCTAGATAGCAAAACGGCCCTTCAAATGTTCAAAGGTTGCACAAGTCTACTGTTGATTGGTTAAAGACCTCTGGATGTTAATCCTGATAGGCACGTGTTACGGAGTCTGCGTTGGTGTCGCTCTGGTTCTAAAGTACTGACCCTATCAAATATGTACGTTGGCAGGCAGGGAAATTGGTGGCCTGCTCAGCTTCCGATTCCTTTGGCCTGCAGAAAATGCGCATGGCTTTGCATCCGCCCAAAAACCCAAGAGCTCGGAGGTTCCGAATTGTTCGTTGCGTGTTCTTCACAGTTCAGTGCTATGACAGACCAATTCACTTCCCATGGCACGGGGCTCTCTCATTGTTACTTAGACTACAAACGCAATCTTAGCCAGGAGTGATCATCGATGCTACCGCCATGGGGCCATTAGGCCCCTTCATACACCTACATGCATAATTATGCCGTCGAATTTCCTAACCCATGCGACGATCCATCTCGAGCAGCAATGGCAGAAACCACTGTTAATCTCATGAAACTGTGGCTTCGCAAGTTCATCGCAGCCTTCTCGCGGTCGTCTCGTGGTCAGGGCAGCAAACCGAGAAAGCCCGAGCAGTCCTTTACTCAGAGAGGTCTAAGGCTTATCTCAGCAGAGAATGCGCTGTATTCAGACTGATATGATTGAACTCGAGGCTTGCAACATCTTGAAGACAATTCTTACAATGGCACCTTGTCGAAAAGCGCTACATATCCGAATTCAAGAAAGAATGGATCAACCGACGAGAGCCATGTTCCTTTCCGGCTACAACTACAACCTCAAGACCGAGTAAGCTCAGCGTCTACTGATTCGTTTGCTGTCGGCGCATTAAAGCTTTGCTACAGAGAGAATAGATGTAAAAGACAGCCTGGAAGGCGAGCCACATCAAAAATACCGGGGTCTGCCTATACCTGCGGAGATTGCCAACATGCTTGTTTGGATTGAGTGAGATCAGGATATAGCAAGTTGAAGAAACACGAAATCGAATGAGAGCCATCGATACGACAGGTTTCTCACTCCTCGCTAGAAAGACTGAGCTTTTTGGCTTGGATGTCTCGCTGGTGCAAGCAGAGGAGCATCATAGCCTCATCAGAACATCAGTCGCTGGAACGGACAATTTTCGGAGCCTCAGGGTTAGTGATTTCTTGGGTCCCTCACTAAAGCATGTCTAGGATCGAAAACAGTGACGCTCTCGAGTCCCACACCTCTCTGCCAAGCACACACAGATCTCCGTACCCATCCGACACTACCAAATATTCTTGGGTCACGCTTCTCTCATCCATTACAAGAATCGCACCCTGGCCGCAACGGTACTCTATCACCTCTGCGGCTGTACTTTCTCCCCTGTGGCCCCAATCTGATCAGACCCGCAACACCCTACAAGACTACATATCCGGCCTAAATGCATAACACGAGGGCTATCAAACAGCAAAACCTGCTCCTACCACCACCCTACCTCTCACGAACTCAGTTCATGGAAACGATCACGACCATTTGTCCTACATGAGGCACATGGAGTTGTCCCACATACGTCTCGAGAGCTGGCTTCGAGAAGCCTCTGCTTCGATCTTGCAAGATCATACACACCACGGTCAAACTACATATCGAAAGGCTATGCTAGGGTTTTGCAGCGGGGCAATCTCTGGGACTTCAAGTACCGTCACGGATTGCAAACCAATGGGATGGCTCTCAGTACGACTCGGCGTCACGGTACGGTGCAAATGGTTTATGAGCGGTACGAAGAGTGCATACGCTGGGTTGTGTAAGGGCAATGAAAATTCATTACTCCACTCAGCTCGCTTCGAGCGGAATTGCAGGGGCTACTGCGACGGAGGTCCTAGAATGTTCTCTCTATGGCTTTCTGAAGCTAGGTATTTAGTCGAAGGCCATCTTGTTCCAGAACAAGCATCCTAAAATATCTCGTAGTATTTCTCACCCAAAATATCTCTTGTGCACTGAATACTAGCATATTTTGTTTGCACTGTTCAACGACAGCCGGTAAAGGGTTTTCAGAAAAATTCCATGTTAATGATTCTGTTGTTTTCCACCCACAACATTTAGCTCGGCCAGGACGTACGTTGAGCGGTATGTGCAAAGGCCGATCGCCACGGAGGGGGGTAAAAAGGTGGAGATGGACATGGAGTCCCAACCGGCGGCTGCGGAGACTCATAGGCAATCGAAAAGGGCGTTGGAATGATGGAACTTCGCGAATTCCATATTGATCCGTACTTCCTGCGATAATATGAGGTTGAAAGGGCGAATATCCATAACGGCTTCACTAGGAGACGTAGAGCCGCGGGTGTGATAGGTGCGGGAGCGCAGGTTTTTCGGACCACTGAAATCCTTGCAAGGTCACATTTGCTTATCCTCGGGATGTTCAGAAGGTACCCCCTTCTGCCTTTCTTTTGGAATAATCCTTAACAGAGAGAGGTATGCGGACGAGGGGCTTGCGACCGTACGAGGCGGTCCCGGAAGGGGAGTGGAGGTTCGAGGAAAGGGCGGGAAAACAAGTGGGCGATACTGTCGCACACAATAGTCAGCAATATGATTCATTGAGAAAGGCATCATCCAAAGGACGTTTGCTCGTGTGCACAACCCTGAAAATCCGCTTGCTCTTGTTGTCGCCATCATCCTTCTGGCTATACAAAATCATAGTCTCGGTGTTGGTATCCCCAATCAGGTTGGCCTTTTCTTTGGCTTTGGTGTAGAGGTGGGAGTCACTGTCAAAGACGTAAGAGATACCTGGGGGGGGGGAAGGGCCGGGAGCGACAGGAACGCGTGGTACATCCTTTTAAGGCGTTAGAAGGCAAGAGAAGAAGGGAGAGGACAGAGCCAAATGACCACCGAACACTTACCATGTTTATTAATGGCTTTCTATACGCGAAAACACGGAAGAAGAGCTACCAGAGTCAGTCTGCGGCCGAGGTGGAACTGGGCTGATAGTTTTGAGGTATGGGTGGCAGTCTGTGACGAAGACTTCTAAGGTCTGCTGGATCGGTACTAGAAGCAAAAGCACCAGGAGGGCGTATTTCTATGCCTG